ACGAAACCAGAGGGCAGCACAGGATGCGATCGCACGATCCCTTCCGTGAGCAATCTCCCAACTCATCTCTGGGCTGTAATAGTAACTTGTTATTCGCATCGGTAAAAGCTTGGTCTTTTCTTCAAACTCAACAGTTTTGGGATAGACCACCAGGCTCCGAAATGTCATATTTAAAATCACATGTAGATAACATAAGTAATCGTTAACGAGGAACGGCGTACTGACATCCGTTACTATTTCATTTTTAATCCTGTCAATTGTCACATTATCACGGTTTCGAAAAATTCCTCCATAAGATTGAGTTTCTCTCACATTGCAGCTATAATATCAGAGATGAGTTGGGAGACTGCTTACGGGCAGGATCGTGCGATCGCATCCTGTGCTGCCCTCTGATTTCGTACGTTAGCTTTCACCGTTTTTTACCCCCAAGGGCGGCGCAACGAATTTCTGATAGGAGCTCGCGCACTCGCGATGGCGGTACCATCTATCAGTTGCCGTTGGCGGCTTACGTACTCGTGATGATAATACCATGCGGCAGTTGACGGTGTTGGCTTACCTACGCTTACCGACACTGCTCGCTTTTGACGGTAAGGGAAGAACACTCGTGACGCTCCATTTGACTTTATCTACTTATCTACTACTATTAAGTACATTGTTGCCTCAAAGTCGACGTGATGCGGAGCTTTGGGGCACGCGTCGGTGTCGCGTACGGAACCCTCATGCAGCGAATCTGTGTGAGTGCGATCGCTCCTAGAAATCTTAGCGCGTCCCAACCAGCCAAGCGCCAAGCTACGGGTCAAGACGTTGAGTATGTGTGCGTTCAGCGCTACACTCGGCGAGTATGTGTGAGAGTCGAATACTGCGGAAATCCTCCCGAGGCTTACCTACCCCCGGATATAAGCCGAGTCATTTCGCGTATGATTTTTTTTACATTTCCCTACTAGCATTTTCGAGCGTTATCGATCATTTTCGCACGTTTTTCAAGTGTTTTCGAGCCGTATCGAAGGCCGTACAGTGCGGTTGCGGGTTCTTAAGTGTAGTAGAGCACCGGAGAGTTGCCGCAGAGGGCCGGAGAGTGCCGGAGACTAACGGACAGTTGTCTAATTGTCTCAGTATTAAATATTGTTTTGAAAATCGCAAGCCACGAGGCTTATCTGAATTACCCACTGACTTCCACTACTGTTAATCTCTTTACCGAATTACAAGAAAGGATCCCTCAAGACTGAAATGTCCTATTGTTTCAGGAATGGGATGAAGTTTTCAGTTCACTTGGAAACACAACAATGGACGAATCCAAACGGACATTTTATTATACATAAATTATAACCATAAAGTTGCTACAACAGAACCGTTACATTTTTTTTTATCATTATGTTTACCGCTTGGTTTAACTGTATGGAAATATATATTTTGTACCGTTATTTTAACACATTTTATTAATTTAGAGATGAACCTACCGAAACTGGACCAGAAGATAAATCAATGTAGTCACGTGTATACTCTAATTACAGGAATTTCCCGTGGTACTTGCCGCAATTACCAATAGTTCTATTTTGCATGTCTGGTACTTGATAGGTGTATATTTTCAATACAATATAAAAGTAAAAAAAGAAATATACGTGACATGATAGGACGAATATTTGCGAAATGTGGACTTACATGTATGGACGGACAATTTTAAACTTACAATTAACAAGTAGATAAATGGAACAGGGATTTAACGGGACTGACATGAAACATTCATAAATGGACGACACAACTGAAACAATTTATTGCCAGATACGAACTTAGAGGAGGATATTTATTCGCAAAGATATATTTTTTATGTAATTGTTGTATTGCAACAATCGTGAATTACTCACCTCTCCGGGATAATTATTATACTTTTAATTTCGTGGCAATAATCCACCTCTAAAATTGTCTCCAGCATTGAAGTCAAGTCAACGTGTTTATGCAAAGTCAAAATTTATATATTACAACATAATGCGCCCTTTTCTTTCGCAAGAAAAGCGGTGTTACATCTACTGAATCTTTAACTCTAAGACTCTACAACTCGTACACCGTGGATGATCCTCCTTCAATTATCATTATCATTAAGACACTCTACCGTAGAATTATACTCGCATAGTGCGAGTAATATCACAATTTAAACAATGTAGACGACGACGACGATGATGACGATCCTATCTACAGTGGCAGTAGATGATAAATCGTTGGCAGTGATTACATATAAATTTGTATATATATATAAAGTAAGCGAAAGAGAATGAAACACCCGGAAGGAACGCCATTCAATTTGCCGGATGTGCCCTTACGGTTTGTTCAAATAAATTACAGGGTCACTTCGAATGTACAATCAAGTTCCTTTTTTTAAAGTCATGGCAAACTTAACTGCAGCGACAATACCGGGTGAAAAGAAGATCTCGTATTACAGAGAACGTGCAGACTAAAACTTCATGTGTATAGTATGTGTTTCATTTCTACGTGAAACAAATATACACATAAGTATTCTGTACGTTCACTTATAGATATTGGGCGATTTCATTATATGTATACAGATCTTATCACCCGGGATATAACAATTATCTTATGTTGCCATAGCAGCCTTCAACGACATAAAAATGGTTACATTGCTGCCGCAGCTTAATTTGTAATTAGTCCGTACAGAATAAATCCACGTAAGCGAAAAAGCAACGCATCGGCTGAGTACTCACAGCATGTACTCGAACGATCAACTATTTGATATAATTATTCAGTCTGATTACTCACGTGCACGTAAACTGTACCGAGATGGAGAACGCAAATGAGGAACATTAATTTAGCCCCGAATGGCGCATCCGACACGCCGAACAAATCCTTCAGGGCGTGAATTCTTCATGAAATGATAATTCTATAATCTAATTTTATAAACTATTTACAGATGCCCGGCCACACCAGACGACGCAACGAAAGCAACTCTTATTCCTACTGCGGGTGTAATTACTTCTTAAACGACGAACGTTTCGATGGGCTTCCTGTGTCTTATGAATCCTCTTGCAATATCTTATCATTAATACGGAGTAGCGATAAAAAACGCTCGGAAATACATGCACAAATATCGGTGTTTATAATGATGCGACTAATGAGTGAAGAAAGGGAGTCCCCGTTAAAAAAAAAAGTAAACGGTACTTCTTACTCCTACGTCTACTGTGTGTATATATATATATACATCTTACATATTTATATAAAAAGGAATCTCTTATGCGACGTTTCAGGTAAATTAGCGGACACTTCCGAGAATCTCTATTGCTGCACTTACAACTAATGGGCTGAAGTCTAATCGCAAAGTGTTCGCGCGAGTGCGAAACAATTGTAAAACGTACCACCGCGCGCGTGCCTCTCTCTTCCCTCGGTCTCCATTTTTATGGGACAACGCATACCATTTAATAATTAATAATAAATACACGTGAACGGTTGAGGGGCTTGTCGACTCGTCGTAGTTTGCTCTAAGGTCCATATTCCAGGCACAAAGTCACAGGAATATGAACCTTAGGTGAGATCGTATGAGTTTTGTGAAAGCAATGCATCGATGTGTAACTGCCGCATAGAGTAACATTGTAATTGCAGTTAAATTGTCGGGAGTTGCTAGAAACTCGTTCCCCATTCGAAGTTATCTCGAGTTGACCTCGATCGTGTGAATTATACATACATACTAACACTCGATATGCCTGATTCCATGATATATCAAAATCTCTTAACAAAATATTCCATACAAGGAGGCATAAGTCATCTTGCTCTCCTTTCCTCAATTACATTCACATTTTGCGCAGACGTGCTTGTCCAATTTACATTAAGGCATAGGACCGTCACAGTCGTGGAATAGGGGGAACAAGATTATGTACAGATGGTGAGATCGGTGGTATAACGAACTACTAACTAAACGAGGGAAAAAAAAATATGAGCTTGAAAAATATAATACGTGAAAACTGAGCTACGATCACGATGATCTAGAAATGGACCGTTCGATTGTCACGGTAAGTCAAGAAAAATAATCAAAGGACAGAGACATTAGATGTATGCCTCACGACGGTGCCACTATTATCAAGCTTTGGAACCACCTTCTCTTGGTGGTAAATCTCTAGTCAGGATTCTAAACGACATTTACAAACGAAAATTCTTAACAAAAAGAATTCAAGATCGAGATTTTACATGGCAGTTTCCAAGGGCTGGCTCTTACTCCTCGCCGTGGCTGAAAGCTGAGTGAGCTCTGTGGGTTCGTTAGGCAAGAACACATCGAAGTTCGTCTCGAGGAGAGCTTCGCTTTTCGACCTAAGAGGCTTTTCTTCGGCGGTGTCCAGGTTGGTCTCCAGGAGAGCTTCGCTCCTCGGCCTCTCTTCGTAGTAATAAGGATGAGGAAGCGGAGGACTGAAGTACTCGGGTACAGGTTCAGATCCCGGAGTGAGTAATGTAGCGTCGTATCCATCGTACTCCATGGGCGGGTACGTAGGTGTCACTTCAATGTCCCGTTTCAACTCCGTTATAGAGTCGGTCAAGGCTAAGCTGGAGTTCAGGGGCAAGGTGGAGGCGTTGTGAAGGTAAGCTTCGTTCATCGGGTCCTTGGGACTGTCTTCAGGGGCCACTTCGCTGTTAGCCTCCGAGGGCCAGTTGCTGTTGTTTCTTGAGGTGAAGGTCGAGTGGTTTCTGAAACCCTCGTTTCGGTAAGCTAAATCGTAGGGCTGACTATCTGGCTGACTACTTGGGTAGCGATGATCGGAGGTCTTGAAGTCACTCGTGCTGGGGGAGTAACGAGGATTGTGGGCCTCGTAGACGTCGTAGCTCTGGTTGTCCTCCATGGACGAGTTCAGCTGAGACTTGTCCATGGAGTCCAAGCTACCTCCGTTCATCATCTTCTTGTAGTCCAAGGACTTCGAATTCAGGGTGTCGGTGGACTGTTTGGTCTGAAAAGAGATATCAATGTGAGACTAAACTTTTTCGGGGCCCGTCAATAAATTAGACATTATAAAGACATTTCACTGAACGGAACGATGCAAGCAAAAGGTCCAAATATGGACGTTTTAGAAGCTGAAGCGTAATTATCAGTGCCATTTAACGCTACCACTCTACTCTGGCGGGTATTTACAATCGTCTAACCTGCAGCGGTGGTACCAGGACCACTCTTTTTTCTCGCTTTGGCCGCGTATGGGATTTATGATGAATTAGTGACATGTACTACGAATTCCGAAAGTGGTTAGTCATATGTAGATGTAGGTTTGAGTTACGTCAGAAAGCGGAGGTGGTATTAAAATTAATTGAAGATTCTTTTTATGTAAGACTTACCGGGATAGGTTTCCTTCGGTAAGCTAATTCCGTGAAGCCGGAAGTCGACCCCACTGATCGCAGGGAGTGCAAGGATTGCCGAATAGAGTTTCTTCTTTCTAATCGTTCTAATCTTCTTCTCTTAGATTTGGAAACCCATAAACCGATTGCTGCTGCTAAAAGAGCCAAGGCCACACCGATGGCCCCTAATACCCCGACAGCGACGATGTCTTTTCGCCAGGACAATGGATCTATGTGGACTCGAGGATCTGAGGAAGTACGTTTCATTGTATTCATTTTCAAATTAAGTCTCGCTGCGAGAATTAACATTTTACTTACCAATCTCGCAGATGAAAGGATTCGGCTGATCGCAATAATCGACCTCGATGGTCTGATATGTAAACATGGTGCATTGATCTACACGTTCGAGTTGTTGTACCCAAACACGCTCCGAGTAGTCAAAACGTTGCTGCTGCTTACGCAGAAATTTCCATAGCTCCAAATAATCGCCCATTATGAAGGGCATTGACGCATTGGCAGACTGAATGAGTAAATTAAAAAAATCAACCCTCATGTGTAATTTAATAAATCGACTTTTGTATCAGTCAGTGTTAATAAGTAATCATAAGACGTGGAATTTCTTACGCGACAAAATTCTCGTGCACTGAAAAAGTCCATAGGTGCTCCTATAAATATGTAGCACGTGTCGCCAACGAGGTCCCACGCAGGTGGGCATTTTCCGCTTAACACGGATTTATTATTCATATGATACGGTTGATAATCAACTTGCAGTAATTCCGGGGAATCTCCTCGATCGCGGATTCTTCCTGCTACGGCCAATGTTCTATTATATCCCCACCAGTTATGTCGGGCATCCACGTGGGATCTCCACAATTCCAGTTGACTGTTAGAGAAAAAAAAAAGAAAATATAATATTTATATTATGGCTATAATTAGAAATTTAGTAGACAAATATGCACAATCAGCGTTACGAGTGGCGTTCTCAATGTTAAATGTACTAAATTTAGAGAAGCTTATTAAATACGATTTTTGGACGTACAAGGTGTAAACAAGATTAGGACGACACTATTGAGCTCTAAAGCATTGAACACAGCAAGTACAAAGGTGCGGTACTTGTGTACTTACTTATTGTACCATTCCGTGCCGACAACGCTGAATATTTTTAAATATGCACATGCGATACGGTATATGAAATTAAAAAGGTGTAAATTAAAAGAACCAGGAGGCTTGGAAATGTACACGACTGTTGTTTACTCACCTGGATCGGTTGACAGTCAATATTTCGTAATCATTATCTGGATTGAAGAAGACATTGTCAACGTATTGTTGACCTGGTGTTCCAGCAATTATCGTGCTGCGGCCTTGTCTGTCAACTGCATAATTTCTGTAAATAATAGACGCGTTATGAATAATAATTTCTGAACAGCCATTCATGTCTCCTGACAACGAAACTCACTTATAAAATCCGTTATGAGATGTGGTCTGATAAATAGGAAGGCGGACTCTTTCGAATCCTGAAATTTCGAGAAGGTGCATTCCCAGATTTCCATGCAAGTAATTCAGGGTCATGTTACTGACTACTTGCTTAAGAACGATATTGTTATCGTAAGGTGCATTGTTCTTGGTGAAGTAATTTCTGAATATAGTCACTTCTTGATAAGGGCTGCTATGCCGTCCTTCGACGTATCTAAACTCATGGAAAAATGAAAGACGTGTATAAAAAAGATATTCAAGACCCATACAAATGAATCGTCAAATAATTGTAATTGCGGGGAAAATAACAATTTACAACTTACAATGCCGGCTTGTTAGAATTTTCAGTGAATAGATTATTGTGAATCCATCCTTTCAACGAAGTCGCGGATCCTCTCGAATCGGCTCGAATTGAAAGTCCGCCTTGGTTTCCTCTGATTAAATTATTCTACAAATAATGAAAAAAAAAATATTTAAATGGTCATTTAATTAAAATTCAGGTATGAAGGTTGAATGTAAAATGACGTACTCGGAAATACAACGACTGCGTATTTTGTACGTCTAACCAAACGGCAGACTTGCAGGTGGAAAAGTTTCCGTACAACTTTTCGCAATTATTGGTAAATTGATCGCGTTCCACTGTAATAATGGCATTAACTTCGCCTGCACTTGCATATCTTAAGGCACCTTCCCGACAATTTCTTATTGAAGAATACGACACATTATGTTGAACGTCACGATCTGAAATATACATGCTAATTATTTTAAATATTTGTTGGAAACGGCTGTTAGGAATTAAATTTGAATTATTTAATCGAACTTACTAAATCCAATCGCAGAAATCGGTAAGGTAACCACTTCTGCTATAAATCCATGAACGTTGCTCGCACCATTTGCAAACAGCCTGACACTGAGACTAGGTCCCTGAGTCTTAAACAATTTTTTTTCATACGGACTATCAAATTCCAAGTGTCCTATTTTCCTGGCCGTGACGTTATAAATATCACCATCGTAGAGGGTAATGCCATCGGCACGACCTGGGTTCCCAGTAGAATTAAATAAATTAAACTGTAACAGCCTGTAATAAATAGACAATTTAATATAAACCATATTTAACTACCAAAATGTTACCGAGACAATGTACTGTACATTAATAAATGAACTTACCGGAATCCAAACGGCTTGGCTCTGTAAGCACTCCTGAATATCTTGACACAATTAACGGGATTGTTATCATATTTATAATATACTAACACTCGTTCTTCGATTACGATTTCTTTCGAAGTATCACAAATGTGGACCATACTGAACAAGTGGTACGGTATATTCAAGTCCTTCAGTGGTGAAAAAGAACTTTCTTCAGCTTCGCGACCTTCGCCAGTTAACGAAAGTAAATTGACTCCATTGCCAAGCACATCATTGATGTTATTATACAACAATTCGACCTGTCAGAAATTATGTTTACTATAATTTTAACCGAATAAAATACTAACTTATTTTTATATATTTCACTGTTGATAAGACTAAAGAAATTAATGATTTAATTACCGTATGTGTCGGTGATACCACGTTAATCCCATGATAAGCACTCCGACTGACGTTAACTTGTACGACTACAGGTGATTTCATAATCGACTGAATCGCTGCTGATTTTTCATTGTGTAAGATTCCAGCCCCAGTAATGTTAATAAATTTCAATACAGATTCCACTCGCCGTACTGTTTCGTGAGTGACTACATCATGGATCCGATGTTCATAAAGATGATGTTCAAATTCGCTGTTCGCTATGCGAATGCCTCCCCAGTAGTCGTAAGACATGTCTAAATTTCTTTCCCCACAGTGTACGAAAACAAATTTTCCATCCCACGGGCAATCATATCGGTGTCCAAAGAGTTGACCATTCAGTCTAATTTGGCAATCTTCGAGTCTGTCCTCGTTGCCGGAACACTGAAATTAATGAAAGTCACATTTAGAAGATAATTACTCGATTAATAAATTATGACATCCTGAGTTCTAATAGGACACATTTTCTGAGAAATTTGTACAAACTTAGAATCTTCCATTGGTTTATATATCCTTACTTGTAAAGGTTCTGGCCAGGACCAAATGCGCGTTAACGAGCCTGGATGCAGTTCGTATCTACGATCATGAGATACATAAACATTCAAAGGGTCATATCCTAACTGACGACACACAACTTGTGCATTTCTTTCCGTAAATCTCCGATCGCAGAGCGGAATCCATTGTAAGGTCGTTTGGTTGAAGAATTCCAGAAATCCTGCAAAAATTAATCTCCATCCATACACGACAAATCTTTTGTATATTAAATAATTCCTAAATAAACGAATATTTTTAAAACATACCTTCATTGCGCGAAGAAGTACAGTTTCCTTCCGTGCACAGTCGGATGGTTTCTAAATGAGAATTAATTTCCAAGCCTCTTTTGGCGACAGGTTTTGGACTCGAAGCATATTCTGGACTTAATGGTCTCATAATAATTTCATATCCATAAGCCCCGACGGCTTTTAAGGTGCCCAAGACCAATATTCCAACATTGGGAGCAAACTCCATAACAACATCTGGATAGATATGTAAAGTAGCTTCCGGCATGACGGTAATGTCGGATCGGACAATATATGGAGTCGGTCTGGCATATAAGGAAATGCTTTCTGTGATGCGTCCACCAAGATTATCCAAATCTACTTTTGAGGGTAATTCCCAGGATGCCGAAATAGAGGCATATAAATCGTCGCTGATCAAGTAAGGTCTAAAGTTAGCCACCGCGTGATCGTTCCAGTCATCAAAGTCAAAAATTCTTTGCCTGTAAAAAAAATGACAATTGCATTACCTTATTCTAATCTGATAAAATATAAAATATAAACTTCCGAATTTACCTAATCATAGAGTCGTTGTCAGTGCCCCACCAGTTTTCGGAGACGTCGACCTCGTTATTAATCTTCGCCGTTTTTATGCCAGCAAGTAACTCGTAGTCCAACGAATTTTCTCCAAATAGATTCCTATTTACTTGCACCTTCTGAATGCCGTGAAATCCGACAACGTAAGTCGGGGTATTATATATTTGGTGGGAACCTCTACCAACAATCGGACTGTAGCTATTCTGCTTGATCTCGTTGTAAAAAAAGTGCGCGTCGACGTCACCGACAATTTCTGACTGACTGTCAGCCTTAAATTCCACCATGTATGTCCCGGTATTTTTTTCGATTTTATTGTTATTAATTTTCATTTTTTTCTCCATACCACGGATAGAAATTAAGCCTGTCTTGCAGCGGTTCCTGTCGAACCGATTATGGGACATATTGAAGATGGCGTAATGACCGTCCACGAAGAAGCTAAAGTGATCGTTGTTCTGCCAAGTATTGTTGCCAAAGTACAGCGAGTGCGTGAAATTTTCATTATACTGCCAAACATACGGCAAGGAAACTTCGAAACCTCCACCTTCGTTTCTTTCGATGGTGCTATCTTGTAACACCCAATGAAACAGATTATTCGAATGGCGCATATCGCGGCTGAATTGCAAGATACCTTTGCCATTATCAGTGATCAAGGTGTTGTTAACATGAATTGCAATCTCGGATATGTTCAACTCGAACACGTTCCAATGCGGCGAGAGAACGTAAATCGCTTCCTCGACGTTGTGAGAAATCTCACAGTTGATTAATTTTATAGACTCGTTGGCTTTTCGTAAGAAATGATCGCCTAGCTCGTTCAAATAACGATTGTAATACGAAGCCAATATTCCTTTCCGGTTGCTTCGAATTTTTGTGGCCGACATCAATAACGTGGGAACCGGGCCTTTAACGATTCTGTTACGAACGTCCTGAAATTAATTAGTAACTTGATTAACTCCCCAGGAAATAATAAAATAGGTGCTATTTGGCTTTTCAATATTCCTAGTGAGCTGTATATGTTAAAAAAACAATACCTGAATCGGCGCTGGGAGAGCAGTAAGAACCATGACGGTACCGCCAAGCGCATTATTTCCGCTGCGATACTCGAATATAACCACGAAAGAGCTGGATGCAACTGGGAAGACGGTCAGATCTCTTTTAACGTTCCAGACGTTGCCTTTGCGATTAATATGCTGGGAATCATGTAAAATAATTTGCTCCGTGCTCCGATTATGGATCGGATTCAAAAGTTGAATTCCTACGACGTATCCTGGGGTACACTGTAATGATAAATAGGCCATTAGTTCGAATTCAGCGAGAGATTTAGGGAATAATAAAAAAGAAATCCAAACACTCACTCGAATATTTATAAACTTCTCTACGTTCTCCTGGATCTTGGCAGTGACGAGATACTTGGTCTCGCCGACAGCGAGCTCGATATCTCTGCTGTCGTTCGGTATGATAATGGGATTGTAGGGACTGTCGACAGTCATATCAGGCGACCTAACGAACCATCCTGCAAATTCTCTCTGCTGGACCGCAGAGAACGCAGGATTATGTCTGACACCTGCCACTTTGTTATTCTCGATCCTTGCGTTGAATATTCGCAAGCCGAGCTGCTTGAAGCTGATGCCACTGCCTCGATTGTTGGAGAACTCGCTGTTTCTGACCGTGTTGACCGCGTCGGCGGAATAAATATCGGAGTACAAGATCCCCAGGCCGTCTTGCAAATTGTTCACCACTTTCACACCCTCCAGGGAGTGGCGAGCAAAATCGATCTGCAATGCTGAAAGCCGATGGCAACGGAATTAAGTAATAGGATGTGGAAATGTTGGAGGGATGGTGGATTTTCAAATCATTGGATATTTACCTGGCTTGAAGGAATTCGTCGTGTAATCAAGGAGGCCAGCTCTCTCGATAGTTACATATTGAAGGTCGCTTCTCTGAGCCAAAGGTCCCAGCCTTAGTCCAGCCCAAGCTGCCTCGGAACACCTCACGCCAACATCATTTTCGTGGGTGCACGAATTCTCAAACTCGCCCTGGGACTCGGCACGACATTTAGAGACATCAATGTCGTCGTCGGAGCACTGAACGTTGCTGAGCATAATGTCCTCGTTTGTTCCAGCATTTGGGATTTGGGACCTTTCCATGAACCAGTTGTCCGGATCTAACGTCAATCCTAACTGATGACAAACCAACGCAGCGTCGCGAATGGTCCATCCATAATTGCAAACGGTTCCCCATCTCTCGCCGATTCTCACCTGAAAGTTAAACATTTGTCAAGGTTTGAGGTAAAAAGATGCCTGATGGCTAAAGAAATCCTGAGAGCACTTTAAAAAGGACTTTGCAAATTTACTGACGGAATAATTTATTCTCTAGTTTCCTCCTATTTGAAAGGTGTTTAAAAAGAATTTGTCCAATCACCTGCAATCTTCCTTCTAGGTTCGTTTTTCCACCCAGAAGTCTTACTGGTACAGAGTTCATGTCATCCAACATCGACACTTCTATCAGTGTCTCGTTGTCTGGCTCAAGTACGATTTCTTCCTTGAGAGTCAGCAAAATGTTGCTGGGCCCCTTTCCTTGAGCGTCCAATTTTCCGGCGACCATCATACCAACCGCAGGTGGAAATCTTAATGTTACACCTGGTTGAAGCGTTAGCTTCCCTCCTGGCCTTATGTTAATGTCCCGCTGAACGATGTACTCCCCAGCAGATAAGGTCTCCCAGCCGTCTACTTCTCCGCCAACGAAATTTGTTCCTGGCACGTTAAATTGCGGAACGAAGGTGGGATTCGAAATTATGGTATTTGCTCCTGGATTGCTGCTGTGCAACAAATACGGTAAATATTCTATCTTGGCAAGATTGTATCGGTCCTTCCTGAAAATCGAAATATCGTAATTGTTCATTAAATTTCAAACTTAATACATTACATTCCTAAATCAGAAAATCTTATAAAGTTATCTTCTAAATTTCAAAAAGTGGGAAATTACCTAATCCGCTCTTAATAATGTCGATTTTTTAATACAAATAGAGTAAAACAGTGACACCTCACCTGTGGAACAACCTCTCGATTATTTTCTGCTCCTCGGCAAATCCCAACCAGTTGTAAGTGCAGTTTATCACTTTACTCTGGTCCTCGAGGTGCGATCCAATTTCGTATTGCGACTCCAAATTGTGCAAAATATTTCGAAAAACGCGAACGTTGCTGGATGAGACGACCACGGCGGCAGCTACTCGAGACCTTGGAATCAATCTGGACCCTTGGATATCTCCATTATCAAATGGCTCCTTGATGTGATTGTCTCGTAAAAAGTTCCTCGTAAATAACAATTTCTGAACATCGCTATACGGCGACAATCCAATGCTGACCACATATACTCCTCGATTGTCGTAAAATTCATTGTGTTGTATCACTATATCAGTCGGAAGGACATTGAACTCTTCGAACAATGGATTTTTAATTAATATCCCGCCGTAAGTGTGCTCTCGGAAATGATTGTACTCTATACATCCATTTATGTTCAAAGCAGGACTCAATTTGAGGCCCAATTTTGCATTTTGAACGAATACGTTGTGACCAACTTGTAATTTCAAAAGACCTTCGTTGTACCTCCAACTAGATTCAACTTGCACGGCTGTTTCTGTGCTACTGTTGAACCAATTTCCGGTTATGTTCACATATGATTTGCCCGTGGAATTGCCCACCTGAAAATATGAATGAAAACGAGTTGCACTTTTTTTTTCACATAAGATTTTATAATACTGAAAATCGATGTATTTTGGTACTCACCAAGACCCCGATGTCTTTGTTTCTGAATATTTCCGAGTACTCCACCACGGTGGTCTGATTAAAATGTATATATTCCGTGTAAGAACTGTCATTTAACCACACGGAAAATCCGTAGCCTAAATTGGAAGAAATACTGCTCCTGGAAATATTCCTGCTGCCTCCGGTCACAGTAACGTTCACACCATCTCCTCGATTGAAGGAAATACGGCTTTCTGTAATATTCACATCCAAAGCACCACCAGTTACATGAACACCACCTACGTGGTTGTTGTTCGACACCGATGTATCATGTATGTGAAGTGCAGATCGCAATTTTTCCGCCGCAATTCCGCGACCATTGTTATCGGCTATGGTACTTCTCGTGACGTTCAAGTCGTACGTCTTTCCTGGAATAATTTTTTATTATGATATAAATGAATTATATTTTGTAAAAACGATATATTCGCGACTTTAATTTTTATCGTTAATGCTTACTATAGCCAGAAGATATCCTAATGAAAGCAATCATCTGGGTCCTTGGTTCTGCCGTGAATTTTATATATAAATTTTGCCTGGTCGTTGTTACACTTTGGGGGAGTGTATTATTCCTGACCTTCACCCTGCCCAACAATTTCTCAGCACTACTCATTCCATCGTAAACCTCGAAGAGGGCACTGTCGTTCCTATCCGTCGTCATTTCTAGAAAATGCAAAGTCAAGACATGCCCCGGTCTGGTGAAAATATGCTGAAACGAGAGAAAAATTAGATCACGATCCCGATTTTTTGAAAAGATTTAAGTCTTCTTATTTATTAAAATCTTATCTCGTGATTGACTCACCTGGGGACAACGTTTCGGGTTTGGCGCATACTTGCTCTGCTCCATAGATATCGTGATCGGAAAAATCTGACTTGTAGTTGTGGGGAATGTACATAAGTCGAAGACATCCGTCCGGTCAAGCTTGTCGTTCGGCCTCTCGTCGTGATGGACGTATTTAATTCCATCAGCACCATTATCCAGTACCAAACAATTATCAATATGCGTTAGCCCGGTCGAGCTGTTCACGTAAATTCCGTAGCCTAGAAAAAAAAAATGAAATCTGTATAAAGTACCGCGCGGGTATCGAGACATTAAATATCCGAGACAGGACTTACCTTTATTACTACGGATGGTGCAATTCTTGATGACTACCGGGCCATCGGGAACGGTGACATTAAGTCCAGTAAAAGATGAATGAAGAATTGACAACGACTCCATACGAGGCGGCACTCCTTCGACGTGCAGGGCAGAAGTAACATTGAAGTCTCTTCCTGTACCAGCGTACCTGAAATAATTATTTCAAGAAATCAAAAATAACATTACCTCGAACAGAAATAGGCGAGAAAGAATCCTCGACTCTTATCATTGATATTTTCCTTTTTTACTTTCACTCATCCCTTATTAACACTCCAAGAACACGATGTAAAGCAACACCAGACGTCAAGGCTCGCCTGACACGCAATCTCAAATCTTTGCGGTACATCAATAAATCAGAAAGTAAAGAATATAACGTGCAATCTTATGGCACTGAGACAGCAGACAGAAGGAGAAGGCGTAATTACTTGATTTCGACGTGCCGAAGGATCGATTTGGATCTGCGCACATAGAGGGTGTTTTCCTGCGTCAAGGGCTTATCATAAAGCGCCCCTTCAAACCTGATACCACGCCAGTGTTTAATTGCCTGCGTCGCACCGTCATGACGAGGGGAACACGAAATTCCTATATCCGGATGGTAATCTGAAATCAAATCGCCCCGAATGAGAATCTCAGTTTTAAACATTAAATTTGATTCTGAAAAAAAAATCCGTCCACAATCCCCAGCAACTAAACCCTCAAGATTACATTCTACAAGATGTACTTCATAAAATCTATGACCTCACCGTGGATAACACGGAATATCCCATTTCGCTCGCCGTCTCCATTCACCTACATACCCTATCTTCCATAAATATTTGAGGGCTTTATTATCAATCATTTCCTAGTACATTCATCCCTGATAATCCGGGCCAGATAGTCTGCCCCGATTATCGGTTTTGGACCTCTGGATTTCATTTGGTTTAAATTATGAGAAATTTACCGCATACTCCTGCACCGAGTTGCCTGCTAGACCACTGGTCGCAACGTTGCAGAGAAGACTCGGTGCCTCGACATTGCGGTTGCTCGTAGAGTAGTCGAGGCCGTGCTGGCCATTGCCGATCCACCCAGCCCCACCAACGACCTCCTTGAAGACCCAGCTCTCTGCATGCCGTCTCCAAGTCCGCTCGAGTCCAGCTGAAAAAACGTCACACCGCACATTTAAATGGAGAACTAAAAATAATGCTCGCTAAATTATTATTAAATTATTGCTAACAAAAAAAATAACAACGGCCTCTTGTAAACTCTGATTTGAGTTTTATCCTCATTTTTCTTTACTTCCAAGAATAATAATTTTACTCAAATAAATTGTTATATAATTCCTAATAAATGTTGCATCCGATTTAGTCGAGCTCATCCGAGTCAAATAATTATTCCTTGAATTAAGAAAATATTTCTTTGGCTCAATGATAGTCTTTTCTCAGCACAGATTTCTAAAACAAGTTGTACGCTTTTCTTATAAGTCCGTAGGTTACTTACTTTCTCGAGTTGCTACACACTGATCGCCATTCCCCCTGATGAAGAAGCTGCAATCGGCCTTCTAAAGGACTTGGACCATCGACCAGACGAATTGACCGTGGCTCCGGCTGACCGGACGGAGTCTCCGAACTCGTCAAAATTATCGGCTTATCTTGTTCCCCCTGAAAGTAATAATTCAACGTTAGGACGATTGGAAATTTACTCCAATTACCGATAATGCGAAAAAGTTAGATTATGAATAATGAAGTAATACGAATAATTGGCCGTAATGCGAGGCAATGGAGAATAATGGAAGGAATAAGACAACCAGGACAGTGATCGAATGAATTATGGTCACGAATCGTATTTATCTTCGACCTCCAACGAATTCGCGATTGATTTGGGATAATACTTAAAAAATCTATACCTCGATTTTAAACGAGAAATAATTATTAAAGGCACAGTGGATTCTCCTTGAATTCCAAGAGTCCATTTTTTAATAAACGCTGTTTCCTTGGGTATACACAATTTCTATTTGCGAGCAAAGGAAATGAAAATTGGACGTCGGTGGAAATGTAACGAGTCATTGCAAAATTCGCGAGATAATCGTACGGTGATGTAAAATCAGGTTCTTGAATGACGGGGAAACTCATTGCGCGAACTTGGAGAAAGTCCAATAGTAAGAAGAAAGTTGGTAGGAAAAACTCACCTATTCCATGACTGAGACTCGAGTGTTACGAGTTCGGGTACGACAAGTGTATATATACTCTCGGTGACATAAAAACAAGTGCGCGGATTCTCATGACGTACGGAAATCTAATTGGCCGAATTCAAAGGATAAATCTCGGTAAACGTATTACCCTTTTCACATACAAGGATCCAAGAGGAAATTCTAAGAATGTCGAAAATCCTTGCGAGCCGAATTACAAGGAAACGTATTAACCATAATGGATATTAATCCTCTCCGTAAATTTCTAGAAGCTCGTTGCTAAATTTAATAACTGAAAGTGATTTTAAAAAATACCTAACCAAACCAAATCGTCATATAAAAAGGAAATCTCTTAAGCAACCGAAGGGTACTTTTCCTGGGAACAATTTCTTGTCTCCTTTTTGTATGAATCACGACTCGGTTAACTGATAACGCCGAATGAACATATACGCGCTGATAAAGCTGATAAAATCAGTACAACAAAGAATACTCTACAGGCTTTTTTACTTGAATCGAAGGCGGTTCCACCTTCTTCGCTTTGAAATCGATAGAAAAGGACAATGAATTAGCCAAATAGCTTTGACGAATTTGGCCTTAATGGGACACAAACATTCCTCGCAACGTACGATTTCTTAGCTCGGTTTATGCGAAACGGCTTTGAGGACAAATCCAATGAATTGGGCCAGAAATTGAGACTCTCGTTCTACAAGTTATTCACGACCGAGTAATTTTAAACGCGGCGGAGCATGGAATTGGAAAATAATCGAGAAATTGTAGGGAATTATTGACGGTAAAATTAACGTCCCGTGTAGGGATTTCGTTTAGGGCCTGGAAGATGGGATTAGTTAAAGCCATAGGTTAACTTAGGGCAAAAACTCTTCATTGATCCATGACCTGCAGAGTATCGCGGAGGCGACCGGGTTGATTCACCCATTCATTCTTGCAGACCACTTCCCATTGTTAATGGACAAATTAGAGTCGCCAGTTGGATCTTCCGCCGGCACGAGCGACTTACAACCACGAGCAGTAATTCGTTAAGTAATGCCGTTGAAAGTGGTTTAATCGCGTTAAAACAGCAGATACAGAAAATCGGCAAGGTGGCACAATTAAGCCCGACGAGCTAACGAGGAAATTGAGAACGGAGACTTCGTCCACTTCGGTCAATTTAACCCGGTTAATCACAAGAATCCTATTTAATCGGTAGGGGTAGCTCGAAGATAAAAAAATAAAAAAATAAAGTCACATGTACAAGAACACTTGCAGCGCCCACGTAATCGGCGCACTTCCGAGGGTCATTCATTCGGTCAAATGCAATTAAATGTGGCCGAAGTCTAGAGCCTTATTTTCGTCAACTTTCACCCACTTATCCCCCAGGCAATCAAGCGATTGTCGGTCTCAATGTTTTGTACAAACAGAAAGCAAGTATTTTCATTTCAATAAATTATTCCGTTTGCCATAACGTTTTTAAAGTCTTCGTGGACTTGAGAACATTTATTGGAGCGCAAGGTCTAACAATTTTTAATTAAAAATCGTATCTCATTTTTAGCGGAGCTCTTCCAGGTTTAAACCGAGCAATGACAACTCTCCTCGTCGGCGGAGGCTTAAAAAACGGTTTTACGATTACCGTTGAGGTGAAAAGAAGCACTCGGTGTAATGGAGCCTGTATTCTTCTTCTGACCGTAAAGATCAGTGGCCCGAAACTCTTAGCTGGAAGTAGTACGCGTATGCCGTGAAGCAAAGAAGTTTCGCTTCAGGAATACTGATGAAATCTCAGAACTTCGGTCCTCGAGAGTTATTGCCCTGCAGATTTAACGACATATCGATCGATCGAAAATTTCTAGTTAAGCAATGGCGGAGGTATCCACACAACGATAGAAACGTTGAATAATAATTAGGTAAAGCGACAGTCCACAGGAAGGAAGTCCTGGTTATCGCTCTTCATCAAGGAGTACAGCTCGGCACAGGAAGTTGGAAGCCTTTCTTGGATTTTAGGGGAGATATCGAGTGACCTACCGAACGATCGATCGATCAATTCGACGTGATGGATAATAAGTTAAGGTAAACTTTCGTGCTCTCCTTTATGGAGGAATGCCTCACCGGAAGGAAGAAGTACAGTTTCCCTAGACAATGTCATCGGATGTACCGTCATGGGGCATTTAATTTAAAAAATGTTACGTTTTCGAAGAGAACCTCCAGGCGAAAATGATAACGTTTTGCACGATAATTCGTGGTGTTTAAAGTATAGGCTCTAAAGCAGTTGTCCAAGTACAATAGCTACCAGAGCGTTATGCACGGTGCGTACCATAAGTACCCCATTCACGTGTTTCTGGCATTTCCGGCTAGGGACCCCGTCGATTTTATACAGGATCTCGGGTGACCGCTCTTGTGTGCTGCCGTAATAGCATTATGCCTACAACCATCAGACATCGGTAGTGAAATTCTCGATTTTTTATTTTCAATCGCCGAGCCCGTTTCTAAAGAGTCAGACGGGAAGGAAGTTGCTTCGAAAGCGCACAAAAATTACGTACCGTTCGTGACCTACCAATATGGGAAAATAGAATAAAAATGGAGGATTTCGTAATTGCACCAGAGAACGTTAAGCGGGATGAAACTCGATTAGCTGCTTCGGAGGAAATATTTTAATATTTAAACCGCAACTACCGACTGGATTGGATTTCAGATCGTCAAATTCCGAACGCATCTCCGCCCCATCTGCGATTAGAGAAATGTAATATGCTTAATGCCGAGGATGCAATTACAAACTCAGGAGAGATTGCCGTGATAGCATTACTCGAGCTTCTATCCCCTGGAGAAATATAATCTTCGAATTATTGGCCCGAGGGAGAGATTGGAATTGACAGAACGTACGTACATTCAATTGACTGTACCGTGGAGTAAAACTCGAGAAAGGGACATACTACAATGGTAAGAACTTTCGTTTGCGATTGTTCTAGAGAGCCTTTTGCTCACTTGGAAATTAAATACGCATTTCGTATGATTGTAGAATGTTCTGAAGAAAGTGTAACAGCATCCCAGGCATCTCGACTCTCGTCTCGTCGGTGGTAATGCTCCAATTAAGTACGTCACTTTTACGATGCACCGTGCAAAACGGAGTACAGCAATCCAGGCGAAATTAGGGTCGTTACTTCGAGTTCCTCGATGTTGGGATCGGCATTTGAAAGTGGAATTCTTCCGGGGCTCCGAGATGTATGGCAGCGATGCAGCTGCAACTTTTCTCGGGATCTTTGGCCGATAGTGTTACAGAAGTGCATCGCAGTGTGAACTGTAAAGTGCTCGCAAGAGTGCACCGCCTCAAGGGGCACTGAGCTATGGTGAACTCCAAGTGAATCCTACCGTGATCGAGAAAGGATCCACCGGAGCTTCAAACGATTTCTTGCTCAACAAAGTCCTCCACTGATACAACCAACACTTACAAAATTGCAAACCGAGGCCTCGATCAAATATATCCCTGACTTACCTAAGAAAAAAAATTATTCATGAAATCAACAAAATTATGATAACATGTTTAAGGTCTTTGATTTATCTCTAATTATAAAATCGCTGGTAAGAGCTGTGCTCAGGGGTCGAGGACATCCTTTTGTCGACTCCTTTCCCCGATGGCTTGGTTCTCACTAATTATTGCAACAATGCTTCGCAGATGCCGACAATGTGCAAAAGTGCGGCAGACGGTTCGCACAAGAAGCCCAGGCGATAGAATCTTAACACGTGGAGGCCTCGCACCATGAGACCAGGAAGACGTAGATACATAAGTTACTTAGACGTATTCTCTATGCCATGGTGCTCTCGGTACCCACGTATCAGCTCGAGTGCAAGAAACATGCACGTGATACATGTCGGCGTACCCAGTACTGGCAAGTCTCAGAATAACGGCAGAATGTCACGGTGTTATTATTTCACGCTTTCGAGCTCCTCCTTGTGCACGCATTATGGTTCTTTTCGCGAAGTTCTAACTCGAGCAGGACGATTTCAGTGACAAAAAGTCAGTGGCCCAAAATAACGCGAAAATTACACAATGCCATAAAAATTAATTATTTTCTGGCTAATTTTTTTCGATTTTTAATTTCTCATTAAACTCTCGTAGAAACTCCGCTCTGTATACATGAATCGTAAACCATGCGATCTTTTAAACAGGAAGTTGTAATCGTTAGCAGGGGAGGCGGAAAGCATAACAGCTGAGCGAGAAGAAAAAGATAATTAAGAAAGATTCAGATCATATTCTCCGTTATATTTCCAATAGATAATTAAACGAAGAACGTCCAGGAAAATACTTATGCAGAAGAAGGGGAAGGCTAACCTGGGGAAAATCTTTCGCAAAATCGTTTCCTATTCTTCGCTCGTTACTCCGACATTCTTACAACTCGTGACTCATCGGTACAAATCATTAGCCGAAGTGTGATTCATGTCCAACGCCTGCATTCGTCAGCAGTGTTGCAATTATTGCATGACAGTCCGAAATTCTTTGAACAGGAGTTGCATCAAAAAATTCGTAATGTCTCTACTAAATGTCCCTGAAAAGAGTCAATTACTAATTCGAGCACTGCTTTCAGGTAATGGATGTCTTCGGTTCGCGATAACCAGGATAATTTTCGAAATTGGGCACAACTATATGCTCATACGAAGAATACAACGGAATCACCAAGAGCATGGTTGCATCACGAAAAGGATGTTATCATGGCTTATTGTTGGGAGTATGTCAGTACAGTTCTCCTCGACTCATGGTGTGAAACAGGCACGTGCCAGTGATAAGATAGGCGGGTTTCGATAAGGTCCATCAGGTGCATATGTCTCATGAGTACATATACCACAGGTGAGAAGGCCATTCATAGCCTAAAAAATCTAGAGCAGAGCACTCATCTCAGATGATACGATTTATAATTTTAAAAATATCTGTATTAAACAGTTTTTCCTATTACTCCCTAATACTGTAATCTCAATTTCTGCCGAGCCAAGAAATGATCACTAAATCGATATTAATGAATTCTCACGAATCAGTTATGACGCACCCGATGTCTTCTTCTAACCTGCGAGTACTGCTTATTTGTAGCTTTGATGATCGATTCTGACACGGTTGAAACCATCCGGTTTCACAGAAATTAGTGGGAACTATTTGTCAAGGTCCGTATAAAGAGGAGCGCACAAGTCGGTGAAAGAATACACGGCTGGGTGGTGTCCATAAGGGAAACCCGAAGGGCTCGGACAGGTAAGGCAGGGTTTTTCTAGAAGACAGGTTGCAGGTAGGTGATGCTACGTCCTGAGATCGGTATCACGTATATATCCCACATGCACATGCATAAGTATCTACATGTATGCTCCTTCAATAGCTACGACGTCGGGAAGTCACGCACCCTTAACAATGAAAAGTCCTTCGTGTAAAGAAACGCGGCATTCAGAGGCCAAGTCTTTTCCCGGCTTAAAATGCCTTTAAACTGTTAGCTCATTCCTCACATTGGTTCTTTTAATTTTTCTTTTTTAAATATCTCATAACATGAATCATGCGAAAAAAATTCAGTCCACACGAGGGATACCGGGTTAAAAAATTTACAAACATGTCAAACCTTTAAAAAAAATCACCGCCAAGGTATGCATAATTGAGGTCTCTAAATTTCGTTAAAATATCTTCGATTACTGATCGTGAAGAATTTTTAAAATGTTACGTATAGATCGTTTCGACGGACTTAGGAATTCCAAGGAAGTCACCGTACCCTGAGTGGAATTACTCGAAACTCGAGTTTTCACGATGCCGAGATGTGTCAGCAATTAGGAGCTTTCCTGCCATTCATAACGAGGGAACGGTAAAATTCTTGTGACATAAATTCCGGTTTGCGAGCAGTAGTGTTGGAGGGGGTTTAATCGCGAGCATTCTCTCTCTCTCCTCCCTCTATTCCCAGGGCCCTGATCGCTCTTCCTCTCTCTTTCCATAACCGCCCCTCTCCTGTCGATTCGATCCTTCTCTTTCCTTCTCTCCGGATGGACAAAGAACATTCTTCGAGGGACACTACAGCCTCCTCTCCGGCGTTTCCAGCATTTTTTAACCTTCGTGCTGACCGATTCTACGCTTCTACTCCGACCGAGTAACGTGTGTTCGTTCTATGCCACCATTCATCGTTCATAGTTACTCCCATCGAGTGTGGATCGCAGTGTGAAGGACACTGCGGTACCATTAACGTTGCGGCAATTGCAGTACACTGTATGAAAATACAAGCCGTAATTGCAATTATTTTTAGAACTCATCTACAATTGCAACGAATAAATCGATACCTGCCAGGATTTTTCAATAATTTTCAAATAATACACCACCCTGTTGAATATTCCGCTTCCAAAAGAAATAAAAGAGAACGTAAGACGATAAGGAAACAAAAGTACCCTAAATTATCCCTTAGCCAAGATTTAATTACGAGATCCAATCGATATCGAAAAGGGCTCCTGATTACCTGGGCAGTAATAATGCCGCGAACGGTGATACCGATCATGGGAGCGAACCGGATCTCGACTCCAGGTTCAACCAAGAGTTCTCCAGCCTGCTCTACAAAGAGGTCTTCCCGCAGCAGATAGGGACTCCTCGACCTCTCGAGTAACCTCTGACCCCGGGTGATGTGACCTCCGGGCAGCTTGGTGAACCCCTTGACATCGTGCTCCTCGGAGGTGGAGGCGAACGCGGGTTCTGTGTAATAAATCGAGGGCGGGAACGTCGTATCATCCTCTGCCTGTCCTCTGAAGATGCCCAACGCGATCACGAGTATCGAGCATATTGCACGCATTTTGCATGTAGGGTGGATATCCGTTCTCCAAATTCCTCCCAGCTTCCGCCGGCGTTACATCAGATCGAAAAATCCATGAACAGCATCTCCTTTATCGACGGTCTCGTGGCCTCTTAATCGAATTTGCGGTAGATAGAGAATTGGGTTAATTACCGCTTATCGCTCGCAATCGCTAAGTGCCCTGAATCAACAGAGTGCAATTAAGTAGGGTCCCAAGGGGCCTCCGTTTTAGCGCAGAGCCGAAAGATGAGAGCCGATGGTCACCTTCGCTTCCACGGACACGTCCGACTCGTTATGGTAATGCCCGGAGGAAACTCTCGGCTTCATCGATGCCGCGAATCTCGTTTGGCACTGCGAAAGGAGCGTCAAAAAGTTCCTCCGAGAATCAGATGACTCCTTGACGCGTGCGTTCCGTTGACCCCGCAGTTCTTCAGCTTGGACCACTTATTTATGAGTTTTGGTACCCTGCACCGATGCGACTCGTCCCACGAAGCTTCGACCATCCAAGAATCCCTCGGCATTACGCCAAAACTTCTCCGATCACTCCGACTCACTAAAATGTCATAAGTCTTTAGGCTCCAAAACTCATCAAAGAGCGGAATAAAATATTAACAGCTGATCCGAAATTTGTGATCCGCCAAAGAAAAAAAGATACACCGAATCACTGGGAATTATCCGATTCTCCGCGAGATGACCCGCGATTGAACTCTCTTGGTACCACTCTTCGAGGTACGAATAAAATCGTAAGCGGTGAAAAAAGTCCTTTTATTCCACTATCACCTGACAAGTTACCCAGCACCACCAACGAGCCAACCTTCGTTCACTTCACGGGGCTTCTTCTTGGCGTCAGGTTTTTAAGACGGGTGTACCGACTCCTCCAGACGCGACAACATTCACCTGCGTAACACCGAACAGAAACTCATAAATCCTCGCCACTGTTACGTCACAAAATACGTACTATCAATAGGCCACCACTTTAACGAAATAACTTGGAGAGAAAACTCATTGGGGGTTCACCTCGTCTTCTTAGCGTCTTCCACCGAAGCCTCTACGGGATGTGCGTGTCGTGAATTTAAATTTCTGTCGCAGGAATTTCCTCGCAGGATCGTCTTCGTCGCAGCTCTTGGTCCTCGAAGATCCTTATGATGCACTGACTAATGTCTTGTGGCGATCTCTCGGTTAAAGACTCTAAATAAAAATTTGTACTGTTTTTTGTATTAAGTAGAAATGGTAGCGGTGGGCATCGTTCGGGGAGCGCCGCAGCGTTCTCCAGAGGGCGGACGTCGCACGGGCTGAGCTTCAACGAAACGTCCCTTCGGGAACAACCAGGGACGGATTAATATGGCAGACGCGTATCACGAGGATGCACGGACTGCGGCGCCGACGCCTGGCGTCATCCCCGTTGGGCGCGGTTTAACTGTTGCGCTGCCGGCCGATGCTCGCTTCGCCTCGTCGCAGGAACGACTGCTTTCGAAAAGGGGTATCGTAGGCGGTCACGTGACTCGTCTACGTCACGCAGGTTGTGAAACAGGTGAGCGTTGCGCTCGCGCTGCCTCCCCCCGCCGCGACGCCGAGACAGCGCCTGGGGACAGCGCGTCGTTGCGTTCACCTGAAGCGCGTTCTCCAGGGCTGAAGACTTCAGGTGTTTGAACGCGAGCGTTGCCAAGGCGACGCGTCCGCTGGCTAGTAGGTTCCGCCGCTAGCCGCTAGATGGCGGAACTGAACAACGGACCTGTCATTCCTCTGTACCGATTAACGTTAACTGCCGATAAATCCCGGATTTCAAGTACGATGTAGACGTAGTCGTTGAGCAACAACCTCATCGTGATCGGCCAGGGGAATATTGGTGGTTCGACTTGCATGGAAACGCAAGGAAACGTCAATCCACGAATGGCTGCTCGTTTTTCACGATTCTATATTGTAAATCACTTGATTTTTGTAATATACGATAATATAAAATTCTAGCTTTTTTATAATCCGTGAAATGCCCGCCAAAGTATTTAGTTCACAAACTGAAATTTTGTCCAAGCAAATGGGGCGCTAAGACGCAACGCCGCACACCCATTGATCGCATTGGATGTCACATGGATGCGACACGTCAGTATTTTGAAAATGACCGAATCAGAATTGCAGCAAGGTGACGCACGGATCAATCGCAGATCTGATTGGTTTTCCATCCCGACACGTTGACGCGCCGCATTCTTTGTGACATCCGACACGCTCAATAAAACTGCCCACGAACGTTACATCCCAATACTTGAAAATATCGCCGCTACAAGAGATACTCGTTGAATTTGCGTTGGACTTGATCATGTCAATTTACGCGTGAGATCTCATTGATTATCGTAGAAAATTTCATTTTTAGCATTCAAACCTTCTCAAAGAAAGATGACTTCGTTTTTGACAAATGTGCTGGTAACAGCGGGTAAATAATTTATCTTTCTGCAAGTTGGTTTTCAATTTCAGCAGCATTACAAATTGTATTTGACTATAGAAATTTAAATTGTTTATCAGTTCTGTCATTGTAGTCAATAAACGTATGTTTTATTGGCAAAATTCAAGACCACAAAAAAATTGTAGGTTAGATAACGTTACCTGATTTTCATTCAAGTTTGAAATGTTATGAATGAAAATCGATATATAATTTTCAATACAGTTTGTTAAATAAATTAAGTAGTTTACTCATTCTGCATTCCTAAAGAGTGATTACAATTTGAAGCTTGTATTGTCTTGAATTTATATGTCTGATCCAAAGATCAAACATATTTTATCGTTGGCTTATATTTCAGAAGAGATGGAGAAAGTTGATTTAAATGAAAAGGTAACACAAATACAGAAGGAAATATTAAAATTGAAATGCAACATCAAAGAATTTATGGCTGACAAATATGTTGAATTTTTACCAAAACTTAGTAATGATAAAAAACTTGTATCTAGAGCTGAAAAACTGTTAGCAGAGTTGCAAACCTTAAGGAAACGGGTTGATGACCAGGTACAATTTTTAGTATTTCAAATTTAGGGAAACAATATACTCCATTTCATTACATTGGTGTAATATCTTTATTTTAATTTCCACTACAATATGATTGCTTTAAATCTAATAACTGATTTATTATAGATTAAAATACACCTGTACGGTTCAACGAGAGAATTAAAGAAGTTGTCAAATGCTTTAAAAGAATCTGATATTAATCTGAAATTAACAAGAGAACTTCTAGAACTAAATGAGTATTTCAGGTCCATTGAACAATACAAAGAAAACAAACGTTACATTGATGTGGCAGAAACACTTAAAAAAATGCTAACATTATTGAATGACTCAGAAAGTGACTTGCAACACCTTGATATTTATAGTTCATTAAAAAATAATTATTCCAGATTGTATGGAATCTTCAAAGCTGATACCTCATTCCTTCTTCAAGAATATATTTGTTTTAAAGAAAAGGAAGAAGAAGACAAAGGAACAGTTGCAAGTTTACATTTTGACAGTAATGTTACCCAAGTTTCAGAATTAATACAAGCTCTATATTATGTTGATCTTTTAGTTACTTATTTGCAAAAATTCTCTATTAAACTAATGAAACATCTGATACAACCTATTATACGTTACAAGTGTGATGTTCGTGTTATCGATGAAAAGACGTTTATTGTTCAAACGCTAAACAAATCAGAGAAGCCAGTGTACAAAAGTGTGCTATATAACTTAACATTATTATTCAAATTTTTAAATCAACATATCAATGTTGTCTTAGATGATAAAAATACCTTTATAAGCAGATTGCATGCTTTCATGTTTCAAGAGTTTTCCGAGATCTTAATCCAAGACTGTATTTCAAACACCATTCCAAGTTCTAGCATAGAACTTGAAAGCTTTGCAGAAGTGGTGCAAGATATCGAGGAGTTTCAGGATTGTTTAATTCAAATTGGTAAGAGCATATGAAACATATCTAAGTCTTTAGTAATAATAAAATGAACGCGAATAATGTATTTCAGGATTTATTTCGAACGACGAAAGATTTCTAACAAAATACACCATAAACATTGACAAGTTGTATGTCGATAAAAGATGTCAGGATTTATTGGCTAAAGCTAGAACTATAATGAAAAAAGATCTTCATGACTCAATCAAGTATGAATTACAGGTAAAATAATCCTAGACACAAGAACATATAAAAACATTATTTTTTTCACTGAAGATACATTTCAGATGCCATCAAAAATATCTGAAAATCATTTGGAAGATGATTCAGAATTATACCAGAAATTAAGCAGTGCTACATTCCACTCCCCAGTATATCACATTAGGTGCACTTTCTTTTATAAAACCATTATCTCTTGGATGAACTATTTACCAATAACCAGAAACTGTCTTATTTAGTAACTGTCGTTCACTTGCTATGAAAAAAAGAAACTATTGTCTTTTTAATAATTTTTTGACAGTAAAAGTGCAAAAGAGTTATTGGACCTTACAAAGGACATCTTGGATGAGGCTTGTCGAAGTAAGGATGACTCTGCCCAGAGATTATTTTATACAAGCAGAAATGTGTTCGAGATGTATGCAATATTAGTGCCTCAATATCACAAAAAGTTTTTGGATACAATTCCACAACAAGTTGGTATGCATTACAATACATATTTCCAATACCAAAATAAATGTACTCTCAAATTATCGAGACATCGTTATCACAAGTAATAACACCGTTATGACGCGCGATTATTTCTAGCTCTGTTCCATAACAATTGTATGTTTCTTGCACATCATCTCCTAACATTGGCTCATGAATATAGAGACAAGTTGCCTAAGATTCTCCTGAAACACAATATTACCTATGCGGATCAAACTACGCTTCTTCGCAAAATTGGTTCTCAATGTTTCTTGGAACATATGCTGTATCAAAGGAATATCATCATTGACATTCTAAGAGAATCTGGTATGTAAATGTCAAAGTGTTACTGTTTTTAACAATAATCATTTTCGTTATTGATCCTATTATTTTGTACAGGGTTGTCAACGTTAGGGCAAGTTTCTAAATTACTTGCAAATACGGAACGTGCATTGAGACAATGCATTAGGCAGTTAGAATTACTACGTACAGTTTGGTTGGAAGTACTACCGACTAACATTTATTGCAGAGCAGTCGGTAAGAATTTAATCACGTTATCTATGGTTTCATACCATGTGAACTGTACATTTCATTCTCATTTAATAATTAATTTGTATGCATAGGCTGTATCATGAATACCATGATTGAGGATCTAATTATGAAAGTGGTTAGTGCCGAAGACATTCCCGTCGATGTTGCGACAGAGTTGGTCACATTATTTAACATGTTGCTTGATAGGGGTCCATCTATTTTTCCAGTAAGTATAATATATTTATTACTTATTTACTTTCGTATAGTTATATTTTTTATTGTACATTTTAATATTACCTCAGAATGGGGAACTTGATAAAAGAAATCTGAACACTGTAAGGTGAATAATTTTATTTCTTCGAAATTGTACAGGAAACTAATTCATTGTAAAAATAGCCACTTCTGTACGCAAAATTGAATTTATTTATAGAAATATAATTTCATACTGCATTGGAATAATCCACAGTCCAATAAAAGAACGTCAGATTGAATCTCTGAATGTAATCACTCATCTTATAAGTAATTACAAGTTTTACTTTATTCCCTAGGATCCTAAAACGATTGAACATCACGTAAGGAAATGGCGTAAGTTAACGGAACTGATAAAAGTACTTGAAGCATCGCTGAAAGAAATTCAAGATAGATGGGCCGATGGTAAAGGACCTCTTGCAGAGGCTTTCAATGCTCAACAGGTGAAACAACTTATCAGAGCGCTATTTCAAAACACTGAACGGAGAGCAGCTCTATTATCCACTATTAAATAACAAACAATGTACAAATATAACTAAATAAACATAAAGCTTATTTTCACTTTTCATAACCATGTGTCTATATTTATCTTTATAATTATTTCATGCAATCGTTATAATCAGGTTAAACTTTCAAATACATCTAAACAGGCATTCATCCATCTTGAAAGGTATTCAGATTAAATTTAATGGGGTGGAATAAAATGTTACAATTCGTATACAACATCCATAACGAAAGGTAAGAATCTATATTTAATTAAAAATAAAATAATGCACAATAAGTAGCGGCATGTTTTTTGTATTATTTATTTTAAAAATGTGTCAGTGAAGCAATCTACTTAATTACATCGTGCAAATGCTTGTCATTTTTTTTAAATTTACTTAGATCATGCAAAATACTTACATAGGGTTAGCTTCGTCATTCTCTTCGAATGCTATTATTCTTGGACTTATGTATTTCCAGTCCGTTATATCTGCAAAATCTTTTTTCACTGATCACCCAACATCACGTGGTACTTCTAGAAAAATAATTTGATTTATACCAAAGAATAAAAAAATATCAAATAGTGAATATTAATTCTCTTGATCTCGTCACAAAATATCTAAAATAATATTTTGCCAGGACTATCTTATTAGAGTCCCGGTAATGAATTGGTAATTACATGTTCGCTTTCTTCTATTATTGATGGAAATTGTCGTAAATTACGAGACTAAAAAAAAATTGATTAATATTCTTTTTCACAATTGAACACAAGAATAGGCAGGCAGGGGGGGTGGCGGGCAGTTGTGAGAGCAGCTATCATTTTCGTTTGTTTAATGTATCCAAGTTTCAAATAATGTACAACTCAATCCAGCAGCACTGAATTTCACGTCTCTCTCATATTTCCTGGACTGCAGATCAAAATGCACCATTTTCCAACATACAAAATGTATGTTTACAGGTGAAGCATTGCAACTCAAATGATTGTTATTAAAATCCTGCAGATCATATTCTGGCTATTTTTTAGTTTACAAAAATCAATCACTTGGCTACAGAACTTTCCAATGACATAGCAAATGTGGTAGTTAAAAATATATCTGTGACATAATTGTTTAATTTTACTTTTTCAGTAAGATTGTTTAAATTAATAGTAGATAGTCACTGTAGCCCAAGTATGAAGTACAATTAATTTTAAAACTATGTAAGGCTGAACGAGTCAGATTATGACAGACAGGTTGTTAATTCCAATTCAACTTGTTTTCTTATGTCAGGATACTGTAATATCACTTAATTTCCAGACGAACACTTACATAGTCGTAAAATGTTTTACCAAAGCAGGCCATTCTTTTCATTGAAATATGCATTAGGTCAAATCACACTTATTTGTATGAAATTTTGTTAAAACCTAGTTATTTGGTTTAATATTAAATTTTATCATTTAATGAAACACTAAGCAAATGCATCTTTCTATAAACATGAAAAGCCGATAATCCTGGCACTAGACTCTTGCATTTGCTTCATCTATTTCAGTTTTATATTAAAAATTAGAAATATAAAAACAGAAAGGAATAACAAAGTTTGACTTCTAGCACCACGAAGCTTGATGAAAATCATTAAAATTATAAGTGGAATCTGAAGCACTAACAAGTAATGGAGAATGATCCGCAAAGTCACAGACCACAGCATAATTAAATGCTGTCTACTGAGTTATGATTCATATGTTTTATCAGTCTTTCAAAAAGTTTCGTCTCCTCGCTTCACTACGAAATTCACATTCACTTCCTCTGATGTCTAACAGGTAAGTTATGAAAAAAAACTGTTTCGACAGCAATTATACTCTATAAACCAGTTGAATACGATGATATATGCCATGGCGTAATATCGTTATAGTAATTCTTGTGTATGTACACGTCGCTGCGAAGATTGGACAGAATGTAGTCGTTGAGGCGGGTGATTGAATGGCCCCGCAGTTCAGTTTGGCAACGCAGCGCAGTTCTTTTATGTGCATTCACGAAGATGACGATGACTGTGAACATGGAAGTGCAAAACAGGATTTTACATTTCTTTCTTTTGAGATAATACTTTCTGGCATTATATCTCTGACTTCGACTCACAGATAACTTGTAATCACCAAAAAATTTGGAATTACATGTCATTAGACACTTGCATGCATTATTTGATTATAATTCCAATTCATAATTTCCATCTTTGTTCTAATATTTTATCTTCAGATACGTTTGATATATATATAGAATAACTTGATGCAATTAAGTTAAAAGTAATTTCAGTCATCTATTGAACCCATCTTAACTTTTAGCCAAAATAGACATATATCTTTGTGAATTCATTCACCACATTAGTCATAGTAGACTAGTTCAACATTTTTTTAAAACATTAATCGCTCAAAGAATCCGTCGACAAAACCCAGAATGTATATTTATTGAATAGCAAACACTACGTTTTGCATTTAATGAGGGTTGGGGTATCATTAGTACCTGCCACGGCTAACTGGAGAGCGACTGCGATACCTTGGAGTTGTGGCATCCTTATTGGCATAATAATCTCCTGTGTTGTCTCCACTATTAGTGGAGTAGCCATCACGGCTATAGGTGTCGCGTGCTGTATAGCCGGAGCCTCGATTAGCATTATATTCTTCTCCGTATCGCCCTCTGCCCCTGCTTCCACCACCCCTGCCTGCCGTATAAGAACCTCCTCCGTACGTACCAGTTCCTCTGTAGCCTCCCCTGCCCCTGAATCCCCCCGAACCCCCTCTTCCTCCGCGACCTCGGCCTCTCGAAATCTCTACTCTCAATTTGGTGCCCATAATTTCCATACCATTCATATTTGTGCATGCCACCTCTGCCTCGCTTTCATTAAAAAATTCAATGAATGCAAAGCCAGGTGGATTGAATGCTACCCATACTTTGTTCAACTTGCCAAACTTTTCGAACTCTGTTTGCAGATCTTCCTTCTTAATACCTTCGTTCAACCCCCCCACATACACCCTTGTATAACCTTCCGGAGTCATTTTAATCCTAAAATAAAACATCTATGATACAGAAATTCTAACATATAAGACATACATATAATTCATCCATTTTTGGTTATCTTATCGTGTGTAAAATATGCACCTTTTACCCAATGTACTCTCATATATACATCATGCAATTTACTACATTTGCTCTTTCAAAATATATGAGAATCTATATTATTACTGCTTTCATCTATGAAAATACAAGAGTACTCCGAAATGCAATTCACAGACAGTAAACAAAACAAAAAGGTGCAATCGGAATTTCAGTACTATGGGTGGACAGAATACGCATGTATACTCACGTTATAGCTTATAGTTATTTGGCAGCTAATCGACATGCGATAAAAACTGCTCAGGGTCGTCAATCGCAGGTAAACAAACGCAATTTTGACACGGGAATGATGCACACCTCGAAATCAATAGGCCCGTATCGTGTAATCGGGGTTCACACTGCACAGAAACCAAATCCAACGCCCTGCGGTCTCCAACCCAGACGCTGTGAAAAATTCGTGAATAACCTCAAACAAATCCACGGTTCGCTTCCGTTAACCTCTGTAAACCAGTTCTTTCCTCAAAATAACAGCTCTCCCGTCATCATACCATTAACTTCTTGTTTTCAATATTAATATTAAAGTTCCGCAATTGACTGCTTACTTTTTACAAGTTTGACAACTGACGGGGACGCACAATCGAAAGTAGCGAGATATCGAAAGCAATCGAAAGTAACCAGGAAATGGTGACTATCGAGTTTCGTCATTGGTCAGTTACAACGGAATACAAAATGGCGGTAACGACAGTTCGGCACGAGCGCTGATTGGTTACAAATGCGAATGAGCCTTGCTCCCTTCCACCACGCGTGCAGTCAGCGCGATCTGGTAATTTCAGTCAGTGTCAGTTGGTGTCAGTAGCAGTCGGTAGAAAGGACCAATTAATAACATTGAGTCCACACTAACGCGTGTTTAATCGACGCTTGCAATAAGAAGTACGTCATTCTTCGAACTGGTCACTGTTCCCGACAGATTGCAGACTTTGTGGGATTACTGATTTCGCTTCTCAGTTTTATCCATCATTGAGAGGCGCAGGCCGTATCATCGTTTAAGATGAAGGAGTTTCTCCTCGCGCTATGCGCGATTCTGGCTGGTAAGCGGCTTAACACATTAACTTCCGCAAATCTCGCCGATAACGAGCACGATGTTTTCCTTTGTTGATTTGACACGCAGTTTTGGTATAGCAGTCATTGACAAAGTTAGGCGGCGTTTATTTTTACTCGTTCTTTATGCGACATACAAAGAATTTGTGCTCCTTAACTACGTATTCCATGCATGTAATATTAGCTTTTAATCGTTTGGCCGCAGATTCTAGGTTTTTCCGCACATAAATGCTCATTTGGCAAAAAAAGAACCGGTGGTTTTTCTTGGAGATTATATAATTCACTGATTTCACTACTCACCACCTGTCCTAAAGACGTTTGGGGAAATACGGTTTAGTTTTCTAAATAGTGAATAGTCATGGCATTGCACACCTCCACGGGCTGCCTATCAACTGAGATTCTGTTTCCACTTTTGCCTTTAGAAAGAGAGAAACAAGATTGTGACTCAGGCTTTTTAACGTTTGCTCCAATACGAATGGTACAGACTTGTTGGAAAATGTTTTGCAGTAGCTGTAATGAATTTAATTAAACCTTTCTTTTAACACAGATGTAAATTCATCAATATTGTTTTTGTGTATAGAGAAGAACAGTCTAATTAAAAAGAGAAGAATCTTGTAAAAAGCACTCTATATTACTTGTTGATTCCAATCTAAAAAAATGTATAGTATATTTTAAGGTAGACAATTTAATACATTTCATAGATAACATAATGATACTCCTAATAGAAACTATTCAGATTATCTCTGATTCAAAGTTCATGACGGTCACCATCGATACAATGGTTATTAATTACTTAGGTTGTAACTTAATCAGTTACGTGCCTGGCATGAAATAGCTATCAGGTGTAAAAGGTTATTCCAACCAGTAGATATGTATTATGCTGTTCGATACAAATGAGAAGCCTTAGAGTTCAGCAGACAAGGACATATATTGGAATATAAATATAAGCAACCTACATATAGGGTTGTAAAAACGTAATTCTTCTCCCAGTTTTTGCACAGGTACACAGTCCATAACAGAAATGTCTAGTAGATGACTTTTCCTACACTTAATTAATATGACAATTTTTCAAGAGAAAGAAATAAGAATTTAAGAAAGTGTGAAGTCATTTACACAATGGCCAGATTGTAATGTATAGGCTGTTGTATCAGATAAGGACTCTTATCAGTATTTTGGTGGCGATCTGGATCCCTTACATCTCAGTTCAAAGAAAGAAATCCATCTAAGTATATATATTCCCATGAATGACTTATACTGAATTATCATTGCCCTCATGTTTGTAAACTACAGTAATAATTTATTTTCTAAGTCAACAAACAAGAAATTAAAGACAGTTCCTGATTTATGTTTAAAATAAGGAGAGATAAGAGAGTAGAATCAATTCGACAGTAATTACCTGTGTATGTTTAATTCAATTACGATAAATGGTAATTATCTTCCAAGAACACGTAGACAGAATAGCTTCCCAGTATAAATTCTTCTACGGAATAAATTATGATGGTTCTAAAGTGAAAGAGGAATGACGCGTTTTTTCCGGATACTCGCCTTACTACAGAAATATTTGTTGGAATGTGGTCTAGTGGTTACCACAAAAATAACATGCTACTTTATATCCAGTATCCTTTAAGCACATTTTAAGCATTCGCTAAAATTTACGCATTTATGAAATTCGCTTACTCGACCACAATTCCCGAATTATCACATGAAACACATTAGGAATAATCAGTCAGGCATGGAGCCATTATCGCTCTCCTTTTCTCACTTATCTTTTGCGCGCCGCTACATTTAAACGATACACTCAAATAAATGGGTCGACAAAAGTGCGATTTTTTATTGTTCTGAATAAGTTTAATTTTTCCATTTTCTTCGTCCAGCATTAAAAATCTACGTCACACATAAGTAACCACTGCGACTAGCGAATAATTCCAAATTCCTATAAATAGAATATTTGAACTATGTCTGAAAAATGAAAGAATTACTTTTGGGTTTTAAAAAGTGTGCAAAAGGGGGATATACACTATAAGTGTGATATTTGTCATTAACTTATTTTCTTTTCTCAGTGGCCACAGCCAGAGTGGTGATAAATGCAGAAATTCAAGAGACTCCGCTTGTTTTGGGAGCCAAAGCTTGCACATGGGGACCGTCGTACTGGTGCCACAATATTTCGTATGTATATTTGCAAAAATAAAAAATACTACTTTTTGTCAATTTTAAATGAAATGACTCTGCATTGAAATTCCAAGTTTCATAAGATTAACCCTTTACACCCCGCGCCATCCCATCTAGACTTAAAATGTCCCCTCAGAGGGGACAACGGAATGCAAGGGGTTAATAATCCTCGTAATTCTCTTAATTTAAAATAATTCCCATTTGATTGATAAATGCTTCAGGGTGGTTATCGCTTTAGAAATTCGTATTGTATTACGTACGCCACTACCCCACGGTATCACGTGTTTTTATTTGGAAAATAATAACATCTGCATCTACGAGTTCATATGAGATGCACTCTGCAAGCAGAGTATGGACAAACAGCCTTCCGCGATTACTCACTGGTCGCTGACTCACGTTCATATGACATTAAGACTTTGCACTTATACAGCTCCACTATTATTAGACATTTTCGTTTATCTCGATCAAAATATACAATTTGCACGTATGTATTCGAATGAAAGCGATAATAAGAATCTTTTGCAAAGCAATAACAATGCGGGCGGAATTTTCGATTCTCAAATTTCCTTCCATACAAGTGAAAGTACGTGCAACGTTTAACTGGCTGTTGCAATACTTCGTGGTAATGGGGTAAACAGCTAGAAATATGGTAATTATCACTTGCTAACCTGAGTTTTCTCGTTTGTTGTTCAAATAAAAAAGGACCGTGGATGATCACCGTAAAACCGATCTAAGTCCAAGATGATAGAAAATCACGAGCTTATTAGAGACGTTTGTGACCTCCTTACTTCACTCACTGATGATAGATAATAATAGGATTGTTATTATTACAGAACCGCAGCAGGATGCAAGGCGACGAAACATTGTATCTCTAATATATGGGAGAAAATGGAAGTTCCCGAGGATAGTGACAGTGTCTGTAAGATCTGTAAAGATATGGTCCAACAAGCACGAGACCAGCTGGAAAGCGATCAAACGCAACAGGATTTGAAAGCCGTTTTTGAGGGCAGCTGTGCTTTGATTCACGTTAAATCAATCGTCAAGGAATGCGACAAGCTGGTCGATCAATTTATTCCCGAGCTCGTTGAAACTTTGGCTTCACAGATGAATCCTTCTGTTGTTTGCTCGGTAGCAGGACTTTGCAACTCGGCCCATATCGATGAATTACTCTTGGATTATCAACGTACAGTTGCGGAGGTATAACAACGACAGCTTTTCATGTCACGTTTTTTACAATGCCAATTATTTTACTGATCTTTCATCAATTGACTCGTGCAAATTTTATGTATCATCGTGACTACGATTCCATGGCACTTTTCAAATCGAACCTATCCCAATTAATCAGAGTTATCTGTAACTTGTGGCAGAAAAACAAGTTTCCTGATTACCGGTAATCATTTTTCTGTGGACGCTTAATGACTGAAAATTTCAAAATGCCTTATCCAATGTCGTGCGGGAAAATGAAATTAACAACATCGATCGTGACATGGAATATTTCCTATGGTTGATAGTTTCGGTGCTCACTGGCTGAAAGTTTGAATTGCGCTTTGAACTTAAATTTAAGAGTCTCTCGGTTTTGATCTCGTTGTAGAATGGAGGAGCGATGCCGATAACTCTTGAAAACGATGAACTTAAGCCAGATGAATGTTCGAAATGTTACACCATTGCTACACATATGGGACATATGTTGGAAGATACCTCCAAAGATAAACTCGTGGAAAGAATGCTCAATGTTTGCGGAGAGATGAGCTCTTTCTCCGACGCATGTTCTTCCATTATTTTGAGTTATTTTGATACGATTTATTCTCATCTCCAAGAGAACTTCAACGCTAAAAATATTTGCCACCTCTCTGGACAATGCAGCGCCCTGTATCATAAACACGAGGACGAGAATAAGGTCGAGTATCGAGATGATTAATTTTATATTAATTTCTGCTAAGTTCTACTGAGACAATATCGGATTATAAAGCTCGCGTGGAAATCGAGGATTAACATTTGAATGCTCTGATAGGACTTGGAAGTTGAAATACGACCACTTTCGAGTGTAGGAATGGTTGAAGTAAGCGATGACCTACCCTGCAAACTGTGCGAACAATTGGTGGTACATTTGAGAGATCTGTTAGTAGCAAACACAACAGAGACTGAGTTTAAACAAGTACTAGAAGGTCTTTGCAAGCAAACCAAATCGTTTGCTGATGAGGTATAACTCCTTTGTACTCTTTATTTCTGAGCTTTCTTCAAATTTACAAGGATATTTTAATTTTTATATTTCTGAACAGTGCAAATCTATCGTCGATGAATACTATCCAGTAATATACGAGTATCTGACGGCTAACCTGAATGGCAATGCCGTCTGCGAGATGGCTGGAATTTGCCCAATGCCTGGAAAAACGGTTTCTGTAAGTTCAAAGATTGTTTTGTAATATAATTTTATTAATTTTTTCATTGGTCGTTATTTCCAAATCTTGGATCACTTTTACTTTCTTATTCTTTTAATGGCAAGAATGGACCTATTTGGCGTCTTCTTCCAAAGAAATCAGCTGAGATCGGAATTCGTGTGATGAACCCAAAGAAGGTTAACGATGAAAGTCAGCAAATACCCAAAGTAACGGAAGCTGATGAGATGCAATTGCCAATTGAAAGATTGGTACCATTCCATCTATCGTTACCGAATATGGACGTTAAAGGCAAAGAAACGTGTGCGTTGTGTGAATATTTCTTGCATTATGTACAACAAGCAATTACAAATCCTACTACTGAGGTAAGATTACTCTTTTATAGTAATAGAGAGTAATAGATATTTGTAAACCCTCTTAATGTTATTTTTAGGAAGAGATGAAACAGGTATTTAAAAAGGTCTGCAACAAATTACCGAAATCGATAGATCAAAATTGCGACGAATTCGTTGATGTGTATGGAGATGCACTGGTTGCGATTTTGGCACAAGAAATCGCTCCTTCACAGGTCCGTACTTGTATCGTACTGTTTTTCAAACGTTATTTCAGCTTAAATTTCAGGAATTTAATTATTTTTTTATTTTTTATTACAGGTATGTCCAATGATGCATGTATGCCCATCACAAGACGCAATGGACGTGTGGGAACAAATTCCTAAAGATCTGATGATTAAGACCGAAGTAGAAGATAAACCAAGCTGTCCATTGTGTCTTTTTGCTGTATCTCAACTGTATAACACCATTAAAGAAAACAAGACCGAGGTCAATTATATGTCTAATTTCTTTATCCGATAACTGTAAATGCCATAGAAAAAGAAGATTTGTAACGATTTATATTTTCATTTCAGGCTAGCATAGAAGCTGCGTTGAATAAACTTTGTAACCACCTTCCAAAGGATTTGGTTGATCAGTGTGACCAGTTAGTACGCATTTACAGCAAAGAACTCGTTGAAATGCTACTTGCAGATCTGACGCCTCAAGAAGTGTGCGTTTACTTGAAATTGTGTAATCCCGCCACGAATGCTGGCCCCACGAACCTATATTTCCCTCTCGACAAAGACGGAGAGATAAGTAAGTAGTATTTCTTGCCAGACAAAAGAAATTGAACGTACCATCTGTAGAAACGAAACATAAGTGACACTTTTTCCAGTGACTAATGAGATTCCTGATTTCCCGTTGAATCCAATTCAACACGAATCTGCAGTGACCGATACTGAGTGCGTGATTTGCGAATTTGTGATGCAATACGTCGAGAAAGCTCTAAGAAATAAAAAAACACAAGAGGAGATTGAATCAGTCGTACATGGTGTATGCAATCATCTTCCCAAAACCGTTTCTCAAGAATGCAACGACTTTGTAAAAGAATATGCCGAGCTAATTATTTCTTTAGTGTCCCAGGACATTAGTCCACGAGAGATTTGCTCGATAATCGGATTATGCCAGCCTAATCTTAAACAGATTGAAGGTATATTCACAGTTCTTTTACACGTTTCAGTCAATTATCAATTTCGACGTTTACATTACTTTGCTGTTTCAGAGTCTATTTCTGAATGTGCCTTGTGTCAAACCATTACATCTAAGATCGATAAACTACTCGACGATTCAACCGTGGACAGTGACATTGAGGAGACGGTTTCAAAAGTTTGCAAATATCTTCCTGGCAGTAAACAGGCCAAGGTAAATATTTGTACATCTGTCTAAATTTACAAATATAAATAATCTACGAGCCAAGTGAGCAACATAATTTTCCAAAAAATAGTTCTAGCAAGTGTAATATACTTTATTTACTACGGAATGTTTTTAGAAAGTCTATAAATAAAATACATTGTAAATTGCAGTGCACAATGATGATGGAGATCTATGAGCAAAGTATAATCAACTTGCTGAAGTCCCATGGAGATCCTAAAAAAATTTGCAGCAAATTAGCATTGTGTTCTACCAGAGACTATTTGGCCATGAAAGAAAATTCTAGGACTAGACGATCGGATGACCTCGGCGCCAAACGTTGCACTTGGGGACCCATGTATTGGTGTTCGAGCGATAAGACCGCCACACAGTGCAAGGTAGTATTCAGTACCTTTGCCTGTTATCTAATTAAATTAAAACTATAAATATAAGCACATTAATGTCAGCTGATATTGATACATTTTAATTACAAGTTTCTAATGTCACGGTATTCTAAAAATAAATAAGATCCTTTCTTTAATAGGCTGTAGATCATTGCAAGGAACACGTATGGTTCGCTGAATCAGCCGCCGAGGCAAAACGCTTGGCGACACCTCAACCGCAACCCTGAACATATAATAGTAACCGAGAAGCACTATCGCGGTGTTCAGGTAATATTAAGCAAACTTACATTTCACATTACTAGATAACATTTATATATTAATATACTTACTCACTAGCAGATTACAATCAAGTAATTCCTTTACCCAACGATGTTTGATACGTATCTCATAATGTCTCTCTCTCTCTCTTTCTTTCTCTCCCCACTAATTACTGGAAAAAAAAAACAAATTGCAGTGCACTGTTTACATCGAAATTGTAGTGCTAACAACTCGTCGGAAATAAAGTGACTTTATTTCAGTTTGGAATGCTTTTATACATCGTAATGGGTTGCTACTTGTCTCAGATGGATATTATGATAAATTAACTGTTACGGTCTCTTTTGTACTTACATCTGTTAAAATACAATTTCTATTCGATTTTATGATAAAAATACCTACAGTAACGGTAATGTTAAGATAACTGTGATAATGAAATAAAAAAATCTTAGAAGTACTAACGCTTACCTTGCTTGATTCCTATTTACGTTGATTATTTACGTATGCAACTAAGAAAGTAAATCAATGAGTCAAATTTTCCTTTACAATCATTAGTTAATGTAAAAAACATGAAACCATACAGAGTTGCTGACGGGCAGGGTCGCGCGATCGCATCCTGTGCTGCCCTCTGGTTTCGTACGTCAGCTTTCACCGTTTTTTGCCCCCAAGGGGGGGAGTTGCCGGAGAGTGCCGGGGAGTTGCCGCAGAGTGCCGCAGAGTGCCGGAGAGTGCCTGTGAGTGCCGGATAGTTGCCGGAGAGTGCCGGAGAGTGCCGGAGAGTGCCGGAGAGTTGCTGGAGAGTGCCGGAGAGTGCCGGAGAGTTGCCGCAGAGTGCTGAAGAGTGCCGCAGAGTGCTGGAGAGTGCTGGAGAGTGCCGGAGAGTGCCGGAGAGTTGCCGCAGAATGCTGGAGAGTGCCGGAGAGTGCCGGAGAATTGCTGAAGAGTGCCGGAGAGTGCCGGAAAGTGCCTGTGAGTGCCGGATAGTTGCCGGACAGTGTCGGAGAGTTGCTGGAGAGTGCCGGAGAGTGCCGGAGAATTGCTGAAGCCTGAGATTTGCTTGGCCTTTGCCCTACAACCACGTGTGAGACTCGTGGTCAGGTATTCGGGCCTCACAAATTTCGGTGAAATTTCACTTTCCCGTAATTTAAATAAGGTAAGTGAAGGGTAAAATTAAAGAGGACGCCACGAGTGTTTTTCCCTTATCATGAAAAGCGAGCAGGGTCGGTAAGCGTAGGTAAGCCACCACAGTCAACAGCTGCATGGTATTACCATCACGAGTACGTAGGCCGCCAACAGCGACAGATAGATGTCACCGCCATGACCAGTACGTGAGTCCCTACCGGAAATTCGTTGCGCCGCCCTTGGGGGCAAAAAACGGTGAAAGCTGACGTATAAAATCAGAGGGCAACACAGGATGCGATCGCGCGACCCTGCCCGTGAGCAATCTCCCAACTCACTCTGTGCTATCTCGCGGAGGACAGCGCCGCTTGCGGCATTAGCGGAACTACTTTGGACGCCACATTTTTAACCAAGAATGGCGTTCTATCGTTAGCTGAATTCATTGTCGTTGTTTTTACCAACCTGCATTTCAAGCATGGCATAACCTTTTATTCCGTTATTGTAACCAAATTGTTTTCAAAGTTCATGATTCATGACATCTTCATTAGAAAAAGGAAATGTTGTGAACCTCCAAAGTGTCTATGTGAACTTGTAACGCATTCGTGTCCCCCTTTGAATGTGACAAAAGTTAATGATCAGTTCACAAAAGTTCATTATCACGTACTTAAATGGATGTTTTGGGAGATCACTTCATTTCTTTAAAGGGCAGGTAGGAATAATCTCCGAATTATTATCTTTGTTTTGTAATTCAGCTATATTGTCGCTCATTTGTTACGAGAAATTAATAATAGAGATTAAATATATTGTCTAGAATCTCTAGGCATAAGTGTAGTTCTATAATATTGTATAGCTTTACATAATTTCCTGCAGTCCGGGGATGAGCAGAAAGGAGAGAGAAGAAATTGTTATAAAAGATGACGATGATTTTGAAACAGAAGATACTACTTCGGATGAAAACTTGCAGTATCGATTTGTTGAAACTATTCAAAATGAAGATAATGTAGCATATCGAGTGGTGGTCAATGGGTGTCAATCAGATAATGTGAATCTCTCATTGGATCAATCTGTAAATAGTCCAGTTCAATTAGTAGCTTCTCCTCATAGTGGTCAGATTTATGTCATTAGTAACAGTAACGACGTACTTGCAACACAGACATCCAAATCCCTTAATCCACGGGTTGCTACATTGCGGATTGAGAATCAACGTGAAATGACCACAGGTACCAAGAAAGTAAGTTTCTGTGACCTTGCTAAATAGTCTTTGAGTAATTTCTACATTGCGAAATACGTTTTAGTCTTCGGCAGCAGTTTTGAAATTTTATTAAACTCCATCGATCTATTACTTGTTTATTTAGAGAGATGAAAGACGAAGGGCTACTCACAACGAGGTTGAGCGCCGAAGAAGGGACAAGATTAATAATTGGATTTCTAAATTAGAAAAATTATTGCCTGAATACAGTCATAATCTTAATGGAGAAAATGACGGCAAGTCGGTCTTTGAGTCACAGGTATCATTCCTCTGACAGATTTGACTGAACTATAAAGAATAATTTGAAATGATCATATTATTCCTGTTTTTAGAGTAAGGGAGGCATTTTGGCACGAGCATGCGAATACATTTTAGAACTACGAGAAGCTAATGAAAACCTCGGACATGGTCTCAAAGAGAATGAGCTACTGATACAAGAAACTAAATCACTCAGACAACTTGTGCATCAGTTAAGGAAAGAAAACTCCCAATTAAAAGCACAACTTCTACCGAATAATAATTCTGTCGTCAGGTCATAACCCCCACCTGGGGAGCTTATTGGTATTATACATATGGTACACAGCAAAGTATGTTAATGTTGAACATTTTCATAAACTTATATTTCATCATTTTTCACTGTCTAAAAAAAATAAAATCACATCTCTTTACAAATTCTTGATTAGCGTAGGTGGCCCAACTATAGATTGGTCCACAAGTAAACAATTAGAATTATAGTTATAGCTGCACAGTGAGTAAAGATATGTATGTACAAGAATAATATCTCTATACAAAGGTGAATTGGGGAAAACCAAGCGATTATTTTTTTCTAACAAGTTATATTGTGATACATAGGCATAATAATGTCAAGCCTGTTTTACATAACTTCAATTATCCTGTTCAATGGTATAAAATTAACAATATATTGTTCACTGGTCTAAGCATGTACATAATGAAATGATGGTCCAATAAAAATATATAGTTAAAAATGTTTATACCTATGTATTATCCCGTATATTAATTATTAATTGTCAGCATCAGTTCTTTTTAAAAGACGGAATGTAACGTAACAACGAATTTAAAGGGCTTTGGCGCGAGTACAGGTATTTGAGTGCCGTAATTCATGCTTAAGATTTTTTTTTTTTTTTCGCTTTACTAATACAATTCCCATAATTGAGCGAAAAGCAGACACGTCATTGGAGATTTCCGATGTATGTTATAAAAATCATTTAATTTATCATTTAAAACTCTAGGAACCAGCAAATTACTCGTATCAAATATGGCGGATGCCGCAAACGATTGCTCGATCCGCACATAAATGGCATAGATCCTATGTCCACGGTTTCGAGACGATTAAATTAATTTGACTTTTCATACGAAGAAGTGATAAAGAGAATCGGAATGTCGATGACTAAATAGACAGTGATTAGAGCTTATCGCATCTTAGGACATTTTTGAAGACGTAGTAGAAATATCCCAAAAGTAAACATGTCACCGGACCGGTCAGAAGCCATTGAAGGTTAATAAAACAATAACTAATTAATCTTACGCTTTGAATTTGTGTATGTGAGAAATAATCTAGCAGCATCTAGTAACAGTTATTTCAACGAATAGTAGTTGGAAAACGTAAGTAAACAATTTGCAGGAAAACAGAATTGACAGTAAAATTTTAACCAAAGCCATGGACACTGTCGTGGATTTTATTACAATATTTGAGAGGCTCTGGAGGGAGAGAAATTATAATAGATTAATAGAACACTTAAATAGTGGCCTCAGTAATCTGCTACATTTGTCAGCAAGTGACAGCGGTGAGTGTAACACTTTTATCGAGTGGTTTTTCTTATTTTTACAGTTGTTTACAAATTGTACCTTATTTTTCCTAACAGATCGTATCTTGTCAATATTGTTTGATGGAAATAGAGGCCTTTTAAGATTCCTTAAGGATGAATTACAAGCCACCAGTAGTAATAAAAGTTCCGATAATGCAATTTGTGAAGCGCTTCGATTCGTGGAGTTTATTATCGAACAATTTCACAGTTCATTTGAGCCATACATCATTAATACAATGGTATGTCTACTATTGTGGTATGTTGTCTAAAAATCATTATACCCATGTCATTTTTCTTACCTGTTATATAGGAAGTCTGTAAAATAGCAATATTCAGGACCAACTGTAACATCATGAAAAAAGGTAGCAAGGTTTTAAAAAAACTTATACAATTTTGTAACAGTTTTGAATATGGTCTAACTGACATCATTAAAAAAATATTTGAAAAGCGACACACATTCAAAATTAATGGTAAGATTTACATCTAAAATGGAAATAATTACATAAATCAGCATTGATGGTAAATGACTATGTTACAGAGAGAAGTGAACTGTTATCACTATTTGGTCCAATGGCAAAATACAGTCCAGAAATTGTGTCAAGTTATGCAGATAAAGTTTACTCATGGTTGAGTAATGATTTTTCAATTCAGGTTATTTAAAATTCTATTGTAAAGTGCATACAAGTTTACACAATTTTGATTTTCAATATATTTTTAGTTCAAGCAGGATGCTGAGATTCAATCTAAGGATATCCAGACATATCTGGATGTCCTTACAGATATGTTAGGAAACATTTCACCTTATAAAGATAATCCACAAAAGTCAACAGAGTTCTTTGAAAAATTATATAATTATATCAAACACATTTGCTCCAAAGGAAAAGGTCAGATTCAGAGAACTGCAATTAAATTGCTATCGAACCACATGTCCTCATTTGGAGACCACGTTTTTAATGATTACAAATTATGGCATGAAATCATTACATTCAATTTTATACCTGAAGAGCGTATAAAAGAAGGGATTGGTTTTAATGCAATGAAATCCTTGTACAAGACGATAGGAAATATTTTGCAATGTAAAACTTTTAACGAAGGAATAAACACAATCGAGGTAAGTACTATGCTAATAAATTCAATATACTTTAGAAATTGATCATAATTATTCTCGTTAATTGTACTTATATAGAACACATGTACATATTATACGTTCATATTTTTTACTACCTATTCCATGTTCAGTGCTGTTATTTTCCAGTATTTTAAAACGCACTTCTCAAAATGTCTGACGGATGATGACTCTAATTCTATGATGGTATTTCTATCAATATATGGTTTTAGCCAAATAGCTGGGCTATACGAAAAGTTTTCTATTGAAGATGATGTTACAGAGATGTATTCTTTAATAGAAAATCGAGCGATTTTCTTTTACTTTAGGTAAGAATTTTTATTTATGGTAATATTACAACGCCATACTAATAATGTATAGTATGTTAAAAATTCTAAAGCGATGATCACATAGATGTTACATTACAGAGAAGAAGATACCACTTCCGACATAAGTGATATTTTTTACTATCAGGAAGCTTTATCCTCAATATTAAGCCATATGCCTAATATAACAACAACACAAATGAATACGTTTACCAAGTTATGTGTACTGTCAATTAAACGATTTCCCGATTTTGATGTAATCGGTCAAACACTTGCAAAAAAGTCGCTGAGTACAACTCTTAGTAATGTTGCAAATCTCGGAGGTAGTCGTTACCGCGAATTCTTGCACAATCTAAGTAAGTCTGAATAATTACGAATTATGAAATAATAGCAACTGGAAAATGAATCTAATTATGCTTTTCAGTTTACAAAGGGATCATTTGGAGTTGTTCACGTCCCCTATTAATCGATGCAGAGCTGGAGCAAGACAGAAGAAATTTACCAGAACGTCCGATCTGTTATAAAAATTACTTGCCTCTATGGAGACACTTATTGGATTTAAATCCTGAAGTACCCCTACAGACATGCGAAATCGTCCAGCAAGTATCGGATGAAGTTCTAGAAGCATTCATTTCAATTATCAACAAATTAGACTTAAACACGAAATTGAAGGATGACAACGTATTTTGGGATGTAGCCCTTTCACAGACAGCCGAAAACGGGACGGATTTTCGAACATTCGTCAATCTGGTTGACTTATACGTAGATATTTTCAAGACGTGCAAACCTTCTTTATTAGAGCCTCGACGATATAAGTTTTTATTTGAGGTCATCCGAAACTCTTACAAACGTCCACTTATCTCGGGCTTCTACAAACTCGTGCATGGAATTCTTATGAATCAACACGAATTCTATAGTTCTGATGAGTTTGACGAGAATTCGCGGTGCTTTGAGCTAATACACCAATACTTGTCCTCGGTAGTGGATCTCGTTTGTAATTTCTCTAATGAGTTACAAATAACTTGCCTCTACTTGATATTCCACGCGCCTCTGAAAATTGCGCAAAAAATCATGGACTGTACAGCTCCAATTTTCAAAATCGCATTTGCAGCGGGACTGAATAATTTCCCCCTCGTCTTTACGGCGCTCGACACCCTAGAGAAGTGGTCCCAATATTTTGACAAGGTGAACACGAAAGAGTTTTTCCTTGAAATTATGTTCAGCATAGAGCCATATCTGCAGAGCAGAGAAAGCGTCGTGGAGTTGCTGCAGGACATCCTGAAAACGCAAAGGAAAGTCATGAGACGGATAACGTTCGTGCAACACGAAATCACCCTGGAAGAGTTTCAGCGTAAGATTTTACTCTTCTTCGGGTCCTTGCCCAGTGACATGATATTGAGCTTCGTTCATAGGGGATCCATGAATACTGGAGCAACATGGGACAGTAAAAATTTACTGAAGTATAATCTGTATTTCCCGGATCTCAAACTGGACCTTTGTTTCGATAAGGTGTTAATCAGACTCGTAAATTTGGCACTGCACGCTGGTGACAGACATACCAAACTGGCCGCCTGTGAAGTGCTACACTCCATGGTGGCTCTCCTGCTGGGAAACACGAAGGGTGCAAGAAGTGCGGATCAATTTGAGAGTCTCTATAAGATGTTGTATCCAGTCCTTCTCAACCTTGGCTGTGACACCGATGACATGATTCAACTGTTATACCGTCCGCTTTTTTTGCAGTTGACCCACTGGCAAAGCTCGACATTTATGCTCAAATCGCAGTCCACCGTGCACCTTGTGGATTCCCTCTTCGATGGCCTCTGCAGCGAGTCCAATACTGCACTCAGAGATTTCTCTGGAATATGCCTGGCAGAGTTTGTCAAATGGTCAATCAAACAATCTACACACCCGCTTGAAAATGATCCGAATATTCTAGTAGTTTTGCCAAAGATTACTAGTTACTCGCTTCATCCATCTACTCGCAAGCGAGTCGCAGCCGCTGTTGCATTCAACCATCTTTACGTTATCCTCCGCGAATCCGAGGAAATAGTCAACCTCTACTGGCTCGAGTTCCTGTACTGTTTCGTTAAAAACTTGGACGGATGTAACGATCCGAGAATAACCGCAGCTCTGAATCATGTCGAGAGGGTTTTAAAGGAGAGAACGTACATCTTTGATGATAACGATCCAAACCGAAAGATACCTACAGAATTCGTAGACGCTACGCTAAAAAGCGCGGTGGACTGGTTGTTTCTGCAAATCGGATCTCTTGATCGAGACTGCAGGAAAATCTGCATGCAGTTATGTGTAAATATTTCTCAACACGTGGACTATTACGAGTCACCAAAAATTATGATCGCTGAGTACATCCAATGTCACGGAATGCAAGAATTGAATTCTTTGGTAGTCGGCGATTTGCATGAACAAAGTTCCTTTGTTTCCTATGATGAGATGAGGTCCTTTTTAAGGAGTTTGGACTGCTACGTGTGGCTTCTTCGAAACGATTTGATAGACTCCAATGTTCTCTTTGGTGAAGCTAATTCCAAAAAGGATGTTATCTTCCATTCCGTTAAGAATTTCGCTCGAACGCTTCTGAATGGGGACACAAAAGACTCGCCGAGAGAACGAGAAGATTTAAATAAACTACGGTGCAAGGTAGTCTTGACGGTGTTCGATTTTATACAGACGATTCTTGAAGCTCCTGTAAGTAATTTTTCATTCTACTGATACTACAGCTTTGACCACTCGCACTTACGATGTTACTATCTCTTTTTTAGGAAAATTTACAAACTTACGTTCCTCATTATTTTTGGAGCGACGAACTGTTTCGTGTAATATTCGTTTGCCTATTAAGTCCAAGTTTACTTGGATTTGATACGAAAAACTTGGACATTGCAGAAGTACTACCCATGCAATTACAGGAAGTATTACAATCTTTGATAAAGAATTTGGAGGCACAACATTTGGACAAATTTAAAAACATGCTATCCGGCAGAGTAATAAGGGATTTTATGGAGTACTTTGACGTGGAAATTGTATTAGCAACTAATGTGAATGTAAAAATAAGGCAGTATGTTAAAGGAGTTCTTTTGCTAAAAAAATGTCATCTCTTGGATGTCGTCCTTCAAGTAATTATTTGGTTCTATTCATTTTCGCATCTCCTCAGAACTATACATTTTTTCTTTCGATATAAAATCTTAATCTTTTGCATTAGAATGGACCCTATATGGAAAGGTTGGAAAGTGTTATTAGAAGTGTTTTTAATGCCTTGAGAGAAAAACGTTATGGAAAAGATATTTGCGCAGAATTGACGCCCGACGCAAAGGAATACCTGGGAGATCTTTTGGAGTTAAGTCTGGGAAAGGTGAGAATTCCAATTAATTTTGAAGTTTGCTGGATCACTTAATCTATATTTTATCTTTCAGAGTTCTGCATTAAACGTGATAATGGAATTAATTATAAACAATAAAGAGCTTCATGATCACTCAGCGACCGTGTCGCAGGGAAGATACTTTTTAAACGTATTTAAAAATCAGTTACTTCGGTTCATGTTAAAAGAGATCAGGACCACCTTGGAAGCACTGGATAATTTTCTTCGAACCAATGCGAGCTGCGCCATAATGATAGTAGAACAATTAACAACTTTTGCATTGCAGTATAAAAAGAATTTCGAAGAGTCTGTCGATATTTTAACGGAAGGAATTATCAGGCGATGCACTACTATTGAAAGAGTGATAAATAGTAGGCCATATTGCAAAGCGACGTTTGTAAGCATCTACGGAACTGTAGTAAGACTCATGCGCAATCCCCTAGACGTTTTAAATGAGAAGGGCGATTTGTATATCTGGATAGTAGGCCAATTAAATGAAAACTCTGATCTCGCTCATAAAACTGAGATTTTACAAAATTTCTTGATTTGCCTGATTGGCGAAACTGTTGAAACAAATCCTGAATTGTCGGTAATATTGAACGGATTGAAGGGTCCCACTCAAAGAAACAGCAAGATGGATATAAAATCAAAGGAATGTTTCTATACCTTGCTAAAGTTGCTGCCAATCACTAAATCTCGGGTTAATTTCGAAGCAGCCATACACTTCGCCGCAAATCACGATATAAGCTCACTTACTGAAGAAATCTCCAATTATTTGAAACAATACTACACTAGCATTTCCGAGGAGAGTGCTCGCAAATCCCTAGACGGGGCATTCAAGATTTTCATGGATTCCGAAGATTCAACGACTCGCTTCAACGTTAGCAATAATTTCCTCCTGCCGTCCTTTGAATTTTGTCAAGTGACATCAATCGAGCACTTCTTCGAAAATAATATCAGAAATATATGCGACACTATAAACCAGCCTTTGCCTGAAAGCATTCCCGATCGCGACAGGCTTATAGAATCGAAAATTTGTTGCTACGATCTTGTCTCCATTATGTTTGCTAAGTTATCCCTGGATACTATTGTCGGGATTGACAGCGCAATTACGAGAAATGCAATTGACAATGTAAAAAACGGCAGAGAGCTCTTGCATTCGTTGTTTTTAAACACGACAGGCGACATAAGGAAATTAAACATTGTCGCTCCAAAAGTCAGGCTTCTTCATTGTGCCGCTTTTAATTGTGGTGTCTCGATTATCAGCACGAAAAACGAGGAAAAGTTTTATGAGTATATCTTCGGCGAGAATAAGAAAAAAGATCAGCTACTCTGGCAGCGAATCGTAGACTGCAATAAGGAATACAATTTACAACAGACTCTGAAGGACAGTCTGAAGAAGAGGAAGAAACTGATAAATATAAAAAAGTCATTAAGAGCCCTGAGAGATACAGGTCAACAAACACGAAACAATTCCTACGTGCAAAGTTACAACCTTGCTTCGTCTTCGCTAACGGATGATTTGCACGATCATGATCTTAATGACTGTACAATTCTACCTAAACCAATCGTCAGAAATACGGAAAGTATGTCCCTCTGGTTCGAACGAGACGACCTGAACGATCACGAATGTATGGGCTCTATTTGTGGAGTATTGAATCATATGATCACCAATGACATTACTTCTTTACCAAACGAGAGTGAAGAAGTAGCGCTACCAAAATGGCTGGAACTTTTTCGCCATCCTTTGACATTTGAACACGTCAACATCCGAATGTTACTGTTAAAGGTAATCTTCAATATGCAGACAATCTTTAAGCCCTACGCCAAGTTATTTTTAGGATCCGTAATGAGCGCAATTATATGTTGCGTGAATAAGTACAATTTAAATTATGTGATCATGGATCTTTTAGTGGTGTTAATTGACTGGCACACTGTGGCCATTCCCTCTGAAGAAAGGGATCGTGAATTGGCTCAAAAACTGCTTGAAATCATTGTAGACAAGGCAGAGGTTAATACTCAGAACGTTTTCAAGTACAACGTGGAGATGATTAAAGTCTTGGTAGAAACATGGCGCACGTGTTTGAAGGCCCCGAGCAACTTCAGGGAAAGATTAAAAAAATCTGAGAAGTACGGTATACAGCTTGCCTCGATTTGCCTGTCTAATGGACTCGAAATTGAGCCCGAAGTCAAATCAGAAATTCTTGAAACCTCGCTCGTGTCCTTGCATCAAGCCAAAGATGAAGAGACTGCATTGCGAATCTGCGATATTCTCGGGTTGTTCCTTGCAACATGTGAAACTGAAAACGACAGAGATGTTATCCTGCAGCGCATTCAATCCTTCCTGCAGACGCTGCAAACTAAGAATGAGAATAAACTCGTAAAATGTGTCAGTATTATCTCTAAACGATATCCACGCATTGTAGAAAATAGTCTCCACCTCGTTCTGTCGAATTTCTCACGGATGAACCAATTTGGAAAGGCTCAGTGCTGGGAAATATTTTCTTTGGCGTTGTCGAATTCCTCCCTCACGGCCGAGCAGATTACCTTGGAGCTGGAGTCGAAGGAATTTGGGAAGATATTTCAGAATAAAATTCTCCTTTGCGAGAAGGTCGGTATTCAAATCATGGACAAGTTGGTGGAAATCCTGCGGCCAGGAAAGCTCCTGGAACTGGCCAGTTGGATAGACCTGAAATCGAAGAATGATTCCGAGTTCAGAGAGAGCGCTTACGGTGTGTTCATTAAAATCTACAAGAGGTACGTGGAAGATATTTCCGAGGACGACGATGTTCGTCAACTGCTGGACCTGGCCAGAAAGGAGCTCATCTCCGGATTGCTCGATCCAGCCGAAAATTTACAAGAGAAAATCCTTCGATTTTGGTCAGAAGAGACTCAATTGGGTGAGCGCTGCGGCGAAAGACTTCTCAATATCTTGAATGTTTACTCACCTACCGTAGACGCAAACTTTTTGCCGTTGTTACCTTTAGCCATGCTACAGTTAGCCAGCAAATCAATCGATTTCGAAAGAAGTATGTTTAGTCCCTTGGAAAATTGCACATATACTGAATATACAATTTCCAGTTCTTGGAGGCTAAAGAACATGAGTTCGGTAACGCCTTTCTTCGCACCTTCTCTGGCGAGCCAGTTAAATCAAACGCTGTTTAGTTCATCTATTCAAGAGACGCAAACTCGATCGAGCGACATCTCTTTTGATATGCCAAGTCGGAACTTTGGAGATGATTTACAAGCGACACAATCCCTACAATTTGAACCTACATTTCTAAGTAATGTCAGTTTTGATGTTTCCTCGGGAGAACAAGAAAGTGTCTTCAAGGTACCGAAAGTGCCTGACCCTGCGAACAATAAAACGTCCAGAAGAATTGTCACTCATTCAAGCGATACGTATCGACGTTTCGAAATGAAGAAAAACATACAAAGATCCGAAATGCTGCGAGACGAGGGGCGCAGACAAAGAAGCAGCGTAAAACTGTACAGGTAAGGAAGACAATTCATTGTTGGGAATTGAAACCTCTATTAAATATTCTATCAACATAATCCGACATAAGATAGTATTGAAAAGTAGCGACTTATGGTTCACAGGAAGTACAGGACTGGAGATTTCCCCGATATAGAAATTAAGAACTCGAGTCTCCTGAAACCACTCGAGAAGCTCATCAAACAGGACCAGTTAATCTGCAAAGATTTTACAGTGTTATTGATCTGTTCTTTGTTGGAGACAATGAGTGCAGCTAAAAATTCCGACGAATATTCGAAAAAGGTCTTTGACGGTCTAAGATCCACCTTGAATCATTGCCAAAGTAACAGTTCGGTTGCTGCGACGATTTTAGAAATAATGTTCCATTTCCACGTCCACGAATTTGATTTGGACACTTTGTCGAGGGTGTCCAAGAACTGTGAGTTGTTGCATTTGGGAGCTCTTCTTTTAGAGGAAAGATTGATTTACGGATCGGAGGGTTGTGCATCACCGATAAAAAAATGTCGCAAGAATGATACTGATAATTCATCGGCGAATGAATGGGTCTTATTAGCGGGTCTTTACGAGTCGTTGAGCGAAGCGGATGTTGTCCTTAGTATATTTGGCAAACATGTATCCAGCGCTGTTATACGGGTAATTAAAAATTGTATGAGGTTTAAATCCACTTTTAACAATGATTATATAATACACTGCTGTTAGAATTTGTTTGAACTACATTTTCAATGCATTTTTAGGAGGCATCGATATTGCGCACAGCATCGGAATGGAAGAGAGCTTGCGATCAATATAAGATTGCAGCTGAGAGTTCCACAGGAGCGATCATGGAGCATTGTGTAGAAGGCTACTACGAATGTCTAAGTCATCTCTCCTCGTGGGATCAAATCAGCGATGATATTAACAGGAAGCTTAACGGCAATTATGATGTTATCTGGGACGACACGTGGCACGAAACGTGGATTACTCCATGGATTTACAGAGTTCATTCGCAATTGGTGTTGGACTTCAAACCCGATGAGTCGTTCGTAAAGGCGTTGGATAGTTGGCTGAAGGACAAGATAAAATTGGCTCGCATAAAGAAGTCCTTCGGCGAAGAAGTGGCGATATTCATGGTGGACGACAATCCGATGATCGCTCGAGACTTTTTGGAAAGTAATCTGGATGACGTAAGAGAACAGTGGATGCGTTTGCTCCCTCTTGCCTCCAACCAGCGAGTCCGCAAGCTGCGGAAATTACAGAGTATAAAGAACGTACACGCTTCCTTGCAAATTTCAAAATTAATGGAAGATCTCAGCTGCGTGAGCGAATTGCTGGAATATTGGAAACGGAACGTGCCATCCAGTCAAGATGATCCACTTCTGTGGGATTCCACAGTAGCTTACAGGCTCTATTTTGCTGAATGCCTGAGAGAAAAATTGGAAAATCCTGTTGAGAACAGAGAATTGGTAGATGCTTTGAATAATACGTGTCTTCAACAGAGGTTGAACGTTATCGAAACAGCCTTGAATCAGAGAAACGTGCACATTGCAAAAAAACACATCGATGAAGTGAATATCCAGGAACTCTCAGAAGATATAAAAAAGCAGTTTAAGTTAGTCAAGGCAAAATACAAATACTCTTTCGCGGATCTGGTAGAGGACAAGAGCAAAAAAGCGAAGCTGCTTCTCTCGTCCTGGGAATTATCCTGCAATCTGTTAAAAGACAGCTTTTGCGAACCTGCAGTCAAAGTCACCGCCATGCAACATCTGAGCAAACTGTCGTCCACGCTGATTACATTGTGCCAGAAGGACGAAGAATTTTGCGGCAATATAAATGAAAGCAGCGTCATCAAAACTACCTTAGCAGAGCAATCGAGTGATTCCGGAAATGTGGTCGACGGCCTAAAAACTTATGAACTTTTTAATTTGAAACTCTGTTGCGGCATTGCGACCAGCAAAGAAAGGGCTGACTGTTACTTCAGACTGTCCAAACACTGCTACGACAGACTAGTTAACGAAGAGTCCAACATTCAATTGTCGAGGGAATTTGTTCGGTCTACGCTTAAAGCGATGAGTTACGAATCTCGAGAGGCAACTCAATATTTCCCTTGTTTACTGAATTCTGAATATTTGGACGACAGCGAGACCAAAATAATATTCCAGACAGGCGTCGAAGCAGTCGAAACATGGCTTTTCCTCGCGTGGCAGGCACAACTTCTGTCCTACCTTGGAACGCCAATCGCGTGCTTAATTATTCCCATCGTCAAAAGAATAGCCGAAACCTATCCAAACGCTATAATATTTTCTTTCCGCGTAACCATCGAGTCAAATCCCATTCTTTTGCGGGATCCCGAAGTAAAAGGTATTCAGAGTATCCTTTCGAGAAGCTTGGATGTTGAAAATTTCCTTGAGGCAATGCACTACCTCGTGCAGCCTGAACTTTATCTGGTATACTGCTTTAACGAAATGGAAAAGGATTTGGCGAGGGATAAAAATGCAGCTGTAGAATCTCTATTAAAGAAGTGCTACCCTGCTGACAGGGGGAGTAAAACTGCTCCAATTCGAAGCGCTATTCATTGTAGAATTAAATGTACTGAGATTGAAGACATAAAAAGAAAAACAGGCGACGAGTTGGTGAAACATTTACTTCTCTTGAAGGGGAAAATAAATGGTGAAAAGGACCGTTTAATGAACAAGCCAATAGGCCCGAAGTTGACTAAACTGAAGAACTACAGTTCTTGGTTGTATGCGTACAGTGGTGGAGAAATCGAGGTTCCTGGACAATATTCCGGAGATAGAAGGCCTTTGCCAAAATATCACGCCAAAATCATGAAATTTGAATCCTCGGTAAAGATTATGGATTCTAAACAGAGACCAATGAAAATCACCATAATCGGGAACGACGCCAAAAATTACGATTTTTTGGTTAAATTCGGAGAAGATTTACGGTTGGATCAGAGGATAGAACAGATCTTTACGATTATGAACGGAATCCTACAAGGAGATGCGATTTGTAGACAGCGACAACTGTTCATCGATACGTATCAGGTATATTGTCATGATAATTGAAAATAATTTTATTTCTTTTTATTAGAATGCCTCTTATTAGTTAATAATATATTATATTTAAATATTTCTTGCAATTGAAATTGCAGGTCATTCCACTTTCGAATCATTTAGGCCTCATACAATGGGTGAACGATACGAAGTCTCTGCAAGAATTTATTTACTTTACCCTCGATAATGCAAAACGGACCGAATATAAAAATCTGCAAAAAGAGTATTTCGACTGGATTTGTAATGCTGCCCCTCGAGCTAATTGTAAACAATACGAATGTTACAAGGAAGCTACAGTGAAATACAGTGCCCAAAAGGTCGCTCTAAAAATGTCTGTACTCAGATCTAAGACCAAATGGGATTCACTACGCCAAACTTTTTTAAAACTTAGCACTTCTCCCGAGAGTTTTCTGGCACTGCGGCATAATTTTATAACGACTTATGCCACAATGTGCATTGCTCATTGGATTCTAGGAATTGGGGATCGACATCTAAGTAATACTCTGGTTTCCGTGAAATCAGGAAGATGTCTGGGCATAGACTTCGGCTTAGCATTTGGAACTGGAGTGGACTTACACATTCCAGAACTTACACCATTCAGACTGACACCTCAAATTCTTGGATTATTACAGCCTTACAGCGAAATGGATTTACTAGGGACAACAATGATCCACGTTTTACGAGCGATAAGAAATGGGAAGGGGCCTTTGATCGCATGCCTGGATGTTTTTGTAAACGAACCTCTGAACTGGGTAGAACGTGTGAACAAATTATCCAAAGAGTATCAACAGGAAATTACTGGTAGGAAAAATAATTCATAGCTTTGCGTATCTTTATCGTATTTCTCACACTCCTGGTTGCAGACTTAAAGTGGCTACCAAAAGAGCAGATGCGATCACGTATGGTTATACAAAAATTAAATGGTGCAAAGCCGTCGTTCATCACTGTGGAACAATTGAACAAGTGTCACAACGATAAGTATTTTCCAAGATATAAGGAGATCGTGGAAGGTACAGAGGAAGGCCAGAAAAGAATTCGGGCATCGATGGGAAACGAATGTTTATCACCAGAAGAGCAGGTATCATTTCATATTGCGATATTATTTCATAGAAACGAGAAGCATTTTATCTTCTTTATCATACGCCGATCGATTTTTGTTACAGGTTGCTTGCTTATTGGATCAAGCAATCGACCCGAACATTTTAGGTAGAACATACGTAGGCTGGACTCCATGGCTGTAAGGAACTATTTTGTATTAATTTTTTATACTACATGTTTTTAATAAATGATTGGCTCCGTTTTATTAAATAATAATAAAAACGTTGCGTGATACATTCCTGCCTCGACCTGCCTGAACACATCTTCGCCATCCATAATCGAAACATATAACAAAGATGAGTTGGGAGATTACTCACGGGCATGGTCGTGCAATGGCATCCTGTGCTGCCCTCTGGTTTCGTGCGTTAGCTTTCACCGTTTTTTGCCCCCAAGGGCGGCGCAACAAATTTCTGATAGGAGCTCGCGCACTCGCGATGGCGGTACCATCTACCAGTCGCCATTGGCGGCTCACGTTCTCGTGATGGTAATACCATGCGGCAGTTGAACAGGAGCTTGAGGAGGTTGAGGAGGTTGAGGAGGTTGAGGAGGAGGAGGGAGTTAAGGAGGAGGAGGAGGAGGTTGGGCAGGAGAACGTGAGCCGCCAACGGCGACTGGTAGATGGTACCGCCATCGCGAGTGCGCGAGCTCCTATCAGAAATTCGTTGCGCCGCCCTTGGAGGCAAAAAACGGTGAAAGCTAACGTACGAAACCAGAGGGCAGCACAGGATGCGTTCGCACGATCCTGCCCGTGAGCAATCTCCCAATTCATCTCTGGTACAAATATTTTTCCAACTATGCGAAGTTTTTGTTATTGGAATATGCCAATTAATGTGAAATTCCGATTTCCACGTGCTTGCATAATTTTATAACAACATGTTTCCACCGTGTTGCACGTTAAATTAAACAGTCCTCGTTATTGGCCATTATTTTACTGTTAAGAATTAATAGACAAGTAATTATGATTTTTGCAAGTCTTTATCCATTTACATTTCATATTCACAGTATGATGATTTTTACAGATTAAGATCAAATAGAAATGGGGATTGACAGCATACAGGAACGAAGACTGTTATTATTCTACTCCTCGTTTACGTGCATTTATTTCTCAAGTGTGCTAACACTCCTCAAATTGCATAATAACTTAGATAGTGTTAGAACTTTTAAATGTATTCCAATCTTAATTATTTTAATGTTTTCTGAAGCATTGAAATTTGTGTTTTTATACTTTAAATCTGAACAGCCTGTTTTAGGGAAACTCGAATCACGAACATCTTTCCAATCCAAGAAAACCTGGATGAGGTTTCTGAGGAACTTTATTAAATTTATTATCATCTCGTTTACTCTATCAATTATTTATTATATCACAATTGTACTTTTTGGAGCACCGATGGTATCTCATTTCGAGGAAACAGCTACGTTAACTATTACTTTAACTGTTCTGACATTTGTTTTGGTAAGCTCGCAAATAGGGGTCGATGAAGCATTGTTTATTTTATGTGGTTTACGAAAGAATGATTGTAATTTATTAACACGTGCGGCTGAGACTCACACAAAGGTGACTCTTTTAGGAGCATGGTTAGGTGCTATTGTAATTCCTCTCGATTGGGATCGACCATGGCAATCTTGGCCAATTCCCTGTGTAATCGGTGCGCTCCTCGGCTATACAGTAGCTCATTCTATTACAGCGATACAAACTCTCTTAACACTGAAGTTAAACAAGAAATTACATAGGTAATCAAATTTATCCTTTACGACCTGTATAAAGTTTTGTATTAAATTTATTAGGAATTGGAAAAAAATAAAATCATTCCAAACCATCTTCCTAGCAGCTTTTACTATTCACCAATAATATTCATCGTTCCTTTATGTGACTAAGTTCGAAAGAATCTGAATGCAAATGCCAAAAGTACATTGATAATTCTTCCACTTCGACTATAAGACCTGTTTACCATACTATTGTCTGCGTTGCATAATCAAATTTTAAGTGTGGTTTTATATTACTATTATGTAGGATAATTACATCGAAATATCGGCACAGTTCCGTGTGCAAAAGTTGAACCTTACAAGGTTACAGAGATAGATATAATCACGTCACTTCGGGTCATCGCGAGTTTAGTTATATATTGACGTTCCTTGTAACGGAAGTATCGCTCTTGCAGGCACACTATCTCCATTAGCTTTAATCATCGTCATCATCAGCTTGCAAATTTGCGGCTTGCAATTGCCGAAGCAACAGTTGGGCAAAACTCAGCTTAAAGTCACCTTCGGATACCATTAAATTCGCTTGGTTGTTAAACTGTTTACAAACACCTGTTTGAATTGCGATTTTAGGCGTCAAAGGTTATCGAAGATTTTGTATTATTTGCCAAAACTCAACATTTGAAATCGGAACCGGTATTCAGACATGGCGAGCACCGAGGGTAAGGTAAGTATGACTTTGTTCTTTTTCCGATATACCTTGAATATTATTTTGTATCAAAACATGATACACGATAATTCCGCTGCATTGTAGATACGTAGCGCTATTTTGTTTCTTGATATTGTCGATCTATGAGAAATAGAAATTCAATAGTTCATAAAAGAAAATATTTTCATCTTTGATGACTTAGGTTATCAAATGTAAGGCAGCTGTAGCATGGAAGGAAAAACAGCCTTTAACGATAGAAGAGGTAGAAGTAGCTCCTCCAAAAGCTAATGAAGTACGTATCAAGATCATGTTCGCTGCTTTATGTCATACCGATGCGTATGAATTAGACGGACTAGATCCCGAAGGAGTATTTCCTTGCATTCTCGGTCATGAAAGTAGTGGAATCGTGGAAAGTGTTGGAGAGGATGTGAGCGAATTTCAACCAGGTAATAAGAAATTAGATTGTATATAATTTTTAATATCTCAGAAAATCTGTTCTTTGAAATTAAAAATTTATATCAATCGTTATAATTATTGATTTTTAGGGGACCATGTTATTCCGGTATTCATTCCTCAGTGTCGCAATTGCAAGTTCTGTAAATCTCCAAAAACCAATCTGTGTAGCAAAATTCGTGCTACGCAATGTAAAGGTCTAATGCCCGATGGTACTTCAAGATTCTCTTGCAAGGGTCAGACTATTTATCATTTTATGGGCTGTTCATCTTTTTCAGAGTATACAGTCGTTGCTGATATTTCTCTTGCTAAGGTAATTGTGAATGTTATTCAGTCTTGTTTTTTAACCGTTCCTGGGATATTTAAATTGAGATATAAAACACTGTATTGTGTTCATGTAGATAGATCCTGCAGCTCCTTTGCACAGTGTATGCCTATTAGGGTGTGGAATATCAACTGGTTATGGTGCAGCACTGAATACAGCTAAAGTAGAGCCTGGAAGTACATGTGCTGTCTGGGGATTAGGTGCAGTAGGTTTAGCCGTTGCTTATGGCTGTAAGGTTGCTGGTGCTAGTCGTATCATTGGCATCGATGTTAATCCTGCCAAATTTGAAGGAGGTACTTATTCCTTATATCTGTTTTACTATATCTACATTTCTTGTAAATTTTAAATAGCTTTTATGTTAATTTTAGCCAAGGCTTTTGGTTGCACTGAATTCATCAATCCTAAAGATTATAATAAACCAATCCAAGATGTTCTCATAGAGATAACCGACGGAGGACTTGATTATACTTTTGAATGTGTTGGAAATGTTCAGACTATGGTAATAATTTCTTGAGTATGGTTATTAATTCTGTACGTCTCAATATGAATCATTGAATTTTTAGAAAAGAATTATGTGCAATGAATTTATACAAATGATATATTCTGATTATAGAGAGCAGCTTTGGAGGCATGCCATAAAGGTTGGGGAACCTCAGTGATCGTTGGAGTAGCTGCTGCTGGGCAGGAAATTTCAACACGTCCATTCCAGCTCGTAACAGGACGAGTTTGGAAAGGAACATCTTTTGGTGGCTGGAAATCAAAGGATAGCGTGCCGAAACTTGTACAAGAATACATGTCAAAGAAATTATTGCTCGACGAATTTGTCACTCACAATTTACCTTTCGCCCAGATTAACGAGGCTTTCGAACTACTGCACAGTGGAAATTGGTAATATTAAACAACCTTTAAAAACACAATTTCCATCTAAGACAAGATATTCCACCCAATTAATACAATTTTTTTTCATTTCAGTCTGAGAGCAGTCTTGAAATACTGAATATTTTTTCATATGTCATGATACCTATGGTCACTATATAATAAATAAAGGTATGCCATATTTTGAAATTATCGTATTCTTTCTAATAACCTATCTGCTAAATTTTCTTCGATATTGTATCAGTGAAAAGTAAAACTATTTTGCAAATTTATATCGCAAGTCTATTATTAAGGCAGAGAAAACAAATTAAAGCGTAATCGGATACCTCAGTACTGTGGTCGTATTTTATATCATGCGCTTATTACATCATATACGATTTCTCTTATCAACAGTCCTGTAGTGATAAGTAATTAAATACATCGTTCTTCAAACCCAGCGGATATCTTCTGTTCCTGAATATAAGCTACTGTACTTCGTCATTGAATCTAGCTCTCATTAGTTTAATACGATGAACGGATTAGAAGATGCCGGGAAGTTAGTCTCGTCGAACGGCTGTTCCTCGGATTCTGGAATATTTACTTCCGGCTTCTGGCAAACGAGAGCACCGCATCGATTTTTGCAGCACTTGTTCATCCCACGGCAGTCACTGTCTATTGTACACATGGATGAGCATATCCATCTACCAGTAGGCTCTCTAGGGCAGAGACCTGGTTTTTCTGTGGGATTAAATGTTAGTAAACATCCACGCATTGTTCATGAATCAAATGGTAATGTACATCTCGTGAAGAGTCTACTTCAATTTGAGAATCTAAAAAAGAAGTCGTCAATCGTGGAATTATATGGAATTTTATGGAATGTTGTACGTACAGTAGTCGGACTTTTATTGAAAAGTATTATAAAAAAAGTCCGATTAAAGAACTTTAGAACAGCCTTTGCAAAAACTCACCGTAGTTATTTGGTTGTCGCTGAGTAACTGGTCTAGAGCACACAGCTCCACCGCAGCTCGTAGGACAGCATTTGCCATAACTCTCGCAATGAGCGTCCACGAGACAAGACCTGGAACATATCTGCACTGGCAAAGGAGGTGGACACGAGCCAGGTTTTTCCCGATAGTAATTAAAATTTCCCTGAGCCCAGGCCACCCCTGCAATGACCAGAACCAAGGCGAGCACCCTAGTCGGCAATACGTAGAGAGCCATCACTTGTGAATCTCTCAGCCTATTATCCGTGAATGGAGAAACAAGTTTCGAGGATTTTCGTAACAGGTACTAATCCTATCCTCGCGCGAGCCAGGCAAGAGTGACGTTTCAACGTCGAAGGATTACGCGGCCGAGGAGTCAAACCAGATACGAGTTTTCTGGCTGAAAATTCTAACCGCGATGGGCGAATCGCGACGCTTTGTGCGAGCTGGAAGTTCCACTCTCCTTTTTATGCCTCCGGTAAGTAAGCTTCTACGAACTTTGCATGCAAGGAGTATGACACGCGTGTTAATGCACACATTCGCAGGCCCCTGAACCCACCCGGCCCGTTCTCCGGGATGTCGGCATCCTTTGGTATCTTGGTTCTCCTCGCACTTGATCAAGTTGTGCAATCAAATAGGAAACCGCAGGACCCGCAAGATTGGTGGAGAATCTCATCCGGAGGAAGGAAACGTCGATTAAGGAACACTCCCAGGGGGAGGGAAGAGAGCAGCCTAGGAACGTGAAAATGTTTTATATTTTCAAGATGGCGAGCGCTACGTACCTCCGGTAAAACCGTAATCTCGCAATATTTCGCCGAAGTCTGGCCCGCGTCCTTCATCGTGATGTATACGCGTGACATGTACGTTGCGACAAACTCGAAGGACGACTGGTATCGACGCTTTCCTCTCTATCCCTACCATTCGTGGTTCCCCGTCTATTTATATCCAGGTCCGTCTTCTCCGGACTTGTGCTGAAGGCGATTCATTCATTCAATTAACGTATGCGGCTAGTAGCAAAGTGAGGAATGAAGGAACCCGGTGTACAGTCAGTCGTTCGTTCATTCATTCATTCATTCACGAGCCGCAATTATTTCTCCCGCTTAAAAGCCACCTGTTTGCAGGGAATCATGTCAAGGGCTTTGTCGCATCGTTTCGGGAGGAGAACCGAAATGGACGTCGATCCACTAATTCAATCCCTGTATGCACAATGTACACTGCAGAAAACATCAGGATCAAAAGTGGAGGAGCGAACATCCTTCAATAGTCCCATCTCGTATCACGCATTACAACTGTTCTTCTGCTTAATCTACTTAAACGATTCCTTACGTCCTACCGAGTCATGTTGCAGATCTTATCGAGTTACTCTTCCCGTTTAAAAGACACCTCACATCGCGCCCAGCCGTGTCGCAGATATTATCTGGCCATTCCTCTCGTTTCGGAGCATACTTCTGCCGCCGATTTTATCTCCCGTGTCTGAAGAAAACGATTCCGCCCATGGTATGTATGTACAATATTAAATTTCCGCCTACAGCGTTTAAACTGCTCCTCCGTTTCGTTTGTTCAATAAGCTCATGTCGCGGATTTTATCGTGTTCAGGCGATCGGCGGCATCGATCGGGAAACAGGAGAATTTTCCACGTCTGGGAACCGGAGGACCTGGCAAGGATGTCCCGATGGGCCCGGAAATAAGTGCGGGGATGTTCCTCTGCATCGCGTTCGCAGTGATGTTCATGTATTGTGGAAGATGGTCCGTCGATGTTGGCCCGTCCACGACGTCCACGTCGATGATCTCGGTAGGGTCGATTTTGCGTTCCAAGACTCTTTCCGTTTTCTGGGACTCTATCTCCATTCTGGCATTTTCAATGTTTTTAGTAACCTCTGGAGAGGAGTCTGAAGAATTAACTGCCGCTACCGAGACAGCTTCTTGTTCGCCATTTAGATTCTCAGCTTTCGACGGATCGCTTAGGTCTGAACAGGTTCTCTCACGGTCGCATGCTTTTGGACAGACATTTGCATAATCAAGGGATGCGTGAGAATGGTCCGGAGATGATTCAAACTGATGCTGAGAACTCGGGATCATCGACGAGGATGATCCCGAAGAAGACGCTGAACAGTCTGACGTGGATGATGGGGATGTGGGATCGCAGTTTCGAGACTGGCGGTTTTCTGAAGACGAATTCGCTTCCTGACCTGAAGATGTTCCCGACGACTCAGGATATCTTGGCTGGTCGCTTGGAGAATCAGGCGTCTTCGGGTCGTCGGCATGCAAGGCACCGTTGTGTTTAAACACTGGAAATGTACGAATATCTATGTCATATAGAATCGACGAAAAGTATTCGTGGAAGATGGAAGCAGGGATGAAGACTCACAGTGGACGGGTAATCCGGACGGAGGGAACGCAATGTAATACTCGTTGGTCTTCTGGTCTACAGCAGGCTGATGTGTCTGGATGCCATTTGGCAGCGCAGTCGTGGGTGAAGAATTCTCGCATAATAGTGGCGAGCAAGTGCCATTGACTGGTTTGGGAGTCGACGGAACCTCGTAGCACTTAATTCCGTTTCTGTCCTCCCTCCGGTTGCGAAGCTGCGAGGAAAAGGCGAATTTATCATTGCGATCGACTCAGACGGCAATTTCACCCGGGCTTAAAGTGCAGCAGACTTGTCTCGCGAGGGTATTTAAAGCCGAGTGAATCATAAGATCCGCGTACGCGGTTTTACACACCCTTTTGTCTTCAGGGTCCGAATGTGTACCACTGTCACCGAGGCTGGTTCCACTGCAGCCACTGACGGTGCTCATCCGACCGGAAGATGACGAGCCTTGTTAGAGAACATTAAGAGAGATTAATTGAAACACATCCTCAGAGAGAAGTCAAAATATGTTCCGAAGAGATATACGCACTGGATGTACTGCGGAGGCTGAGGCTGCTGCAAGGTCGACGGTCGCTGTGCACCGTCACTGGCACCTCCATCTTATTCGTCGATGGAGTATCCTCGCAAGAGCTCATCGACTCCTTGGCATCTGAACGAAAAATGAATAGTCTCGGTGCAACGAACATCTCGACCAGCGTGTCATAACGATCGCTCTTCCACATACCTTTCTTGCCCTTCGAGAAGAACTTCCGAATCTTGTCGAAGGGAGTCGGGGCCTTCATCTCCTCTTTCAGCCTTTTCTGTATCTTCTCGTACTCCTCCCTCATCGTGGCAAGCTGCCTTTGCTTGTCCTTGAAGCTCTGCTGGACGTCGTTTCGGTTCCGCCAGTTCTCTACCAGACGTTCTACCTCGGAAATCGTGAAGACGTCGTTCTTGAAGTCGTTGATGATCTCCAGGAGTTCATCCTGCGGCCCCGAAGAGTCGTTCGACCTTGTGGTCGAATTTGAAGATCTGGTCGATGCACTCTGATCTCTCGAGCGAATATCAGAGGTTGATGCATTGCTGGGGGCAACCGGGCGGGTTGTCGATACCTTTTGAGGATCTACTAAGAAAATCACCCGTTTCAGTATCAAGCGACAATAAAAATTAATTTCCTTGGCTTTTCACAGGTCGTACCTGCAGGATGCATCGCCAAGTAGCCTTGAGAGGGCGACTCAAAGTCGCTGAACGTCGTCAAGGACGTCGATGCCGAAGATGCAGCATCGGAGGCCGCAGCAGTTGGTACCGGAGTTGGTCCAGCTACTGGAGTGGTGCAGTTGTTTCGAGAGGGATTTGTCGATTGCTGAGGAGGTGCTATCAATACTGTAAGAGGTCTAGCAGCTGGAGGGACAGAATAAACCTCGCTCAGTGGTCGAGGACGACAGTACTCTTGCTGACCACAGTCATCATTCGACATCCCCGATGCTGATGTCGGTGTCGCAACAGGCGTAGTTGCAGCAACCGCAGTCGAGTCGTCTAAAAGACGCAAAATATTTTTAATCCACGGAGATATTAAGCGATAAATCAAAAGCTAGGTCTAATTCGAGTTCTTCCAGCATTACTCACCAGGCGTGGGTTTATTAACGGACTCGCTCACGATCTTCAGGTAGCTGTACATGCTTGTAAATTCGTTCATTTGCTGGAGTTCCAAGTCGTCGTGGGAAGCGTTGGAGAATATTGAAGAAGGTGACCAAATGTAATGGGAAAAAAAAAAAATTAGGAGAAATTAAAACATGTGTTCTGGACGTGTTACGCGACCGCTAATGTAGCATATAAGCATAGTTGTAAGTAATCGTACCATGTACCCGCGAAGCTGATGAGCTAATTTCGCGTGGCCGGCTTGCTCGGCGATCTCAGCTGGCGTTAAGTCGGAAATATTCCGTAAATCGCAGGCGATATCACCGCCAGGACACTCTAACAGCTGCCAAGTGAGCTTTTCGAGGCCAAAACGTGCCGCGAAATGGAGCAGAGTTGGATACTCCTCCGAGCCTATAAAAGATGAAAATCGAGTTAAAACTGGAAATTAAATTCTAAAAGTAACTAATAATTTCAGCGATAAACTTCAACGTTGACATGGAAACCACCTTCAGCCGACTCTGCAAAATAATTTCCTAACTCGCTACGAAAAAAGCAACACCAGCAGAATGATTGACACTCAGAAAATTCGCTGGCTCGGTAGATAGTCCCATCGAGGCATCGCTAACTTTTTCGCTGAATCGTTAAAACGGATCTTTGTCGTCACTTTCTACAGCCATATAGATTTAGTATAAAACAGGCGAGATTAAAATTTGATCACTTACTCGCTTGATTTCTTAGCAGAGAGACTTGCATCACGCCTCCTGGTCTGGACAGGAGACTGAAATGCGGAGGTATGTTCCTCTGGAATGAATGTACCATCCAATTGTCGAGTTGCTCGCGATCGCCCGAGCTGAAGCCGAAGGTCTGCAAGCAAGAATAAAAATTAGATGTTCATACAATTGAAAAAAATATAGAAGAATAAGGAACTAGCTGGCTAAATCAGAATTAAGACAAGCCGCTACCCACTTGGCAGATGAACTGAAGAGGATTATCTTGGGCTCGGAGGATCTGGTCCAGTTCTCTAAGTCTGCTCTCGCACTTGATCTGCCGACTCCCGAGGGCGCATCCATTTTTAATTATCCTGACGCCGATCAGCATGGAAACTTCCAGGCACCTATCGGGCACGGAGAACTGCAAGGTGTAAGGATTTCTTCTCTTCACCTGGTTCACCTCGATCGCCTCGCCACAGCGATCCACCATCACGGAGACATTATCCTCCGGCAGCAAAGGATCGTTCAGAAGAGCGATCACTCGACTCTGCCCCTGAAATCGATGCAACGATGTATTTATGACATATAATATTAATTACAGGAAATTAGTCGACGGAGCCATCCTAGAGGGAGTTTGAAGGAGCCCAGCCCCCTGCGAACACGCGATTATGTATCCTCCGGTCGAAGGAAAACAAATCCTTCTGGGTAATTCAAGGGAGCCAGTGAAAGAGAAAATAATCCGGAAGCCGCAGTTAATCACGGCCTTCCAGAATCCCCGTTTGAAAGGAGCCGCCGAAAGCAACCGGAGCTCCTTTTTTCCAGGAAAGTCGCTTCCCCGTCTCTCTTTCTCGCACTGATTTCTCCTCCTCTGAAATAGATCCGTCAGGCCGTCTCTCATCCTCGACTTACAGTCTTGACTTTTTTCGGCAGGACCGAGAATCCTGTCTTGTCGGGCCGCATCGCTGTAACCTGAGTCGTCGACAGGATGGCCACTGCGGCTCCCAGGAATTCCCCCACGAAAGTCTCGTCCTGATCCTTGACGAAGTATTTCCGCCATTGGGGGTACGATGCGAGAGATGCTCGGTGCTCGTTGGTGATGTGACCATCGTGGACCCCCAGCATCATCGCCAGGACTCTATCAGGAGCCAGCTGGCTTGTGAGGCTCGCCAGGATCGAGGATTTGCTTACGGCTCGCTCCAACAAAACCGGACAGATGACGACGATCTGCAGCTTCGAGTTTCGTATTTTACCCCTCAGGTCCAGTGGTATCGGCTCCTCCACCGTAACTCGGCGTACCCTGAAAACGTGCAAATATGTGGATATTTATAGAAGTCTGGAAACAGCGGGGCAGAATTGCTTCTCGCACGTGTCTCCAAAGCGAACCGCGATAATAACCCACGCTCGCGGTATTCTCGGGCAATTTCGTAATCCGCGGACAAGCTGAGATTTAAAACCGCGCCGAATCTCGAATCTGATGTTGACCAGATTTACGTGACGAATGGCACGTTTCGTTCCCTATCCCCGATAGAACGCAAATCCGATATTCCCGGATCCCGTATATTACTAGAAATCGTGGCAAGGACAGTGACCATTATCTCGCCCAAGAGATTGCACCACGCTGCGTCCTCAAAATTCATTACAATTCCCTGCAATTTTTTCTTATACAATCGACAAATCCAAATGGAATATTTATCGATAGGACCTTGTTAGAAAAATCTAAAAGAACCCGCGTGTATATTATATTTTCATTCTCGAGCCCAAAATGGCGGCCAGAAAAAGAATTTTACTGCAACGCCAATGACACGGAAAATCGAAGATCTTTCATTTCTGTGTAACAAGATGCTTAAAAAAAAAAAAAAAAATTGATTTTCTTATGGAGATCATACGTGACTGAGAAATGGAAATTGATGAGCAAGCGAAATCTATTAAACGATGAGGATATCCTACGCAAACCTGTGCCGTATCGTAATAAAATAATTATTATTATTATAATAAGTAAATTGTCAAAATGAAATCCGACTTTTTCGACCTTCCACCGTGGCCGGCCCCTTAAACGGCGTGCCCACCGCGACATTAACCTCCCGAAATAATTCCGAGTATAATTAAAACCGCGAATCTCGCCCGTGTCCTCCCCCTCGCGCAACAAGACGAACAAATCCGCATCCCGGTCCCCGCGGTCTGGCGGGTCTTGCACTCCAGCGTTAAAGCGATCTAATAATACCCGAAATAGCGAAATAGTCCCGAGGGTATTACTTGTAGGGCGGCCTGCTCTGCTGTCGGCTAATTTGCTCGAAGCACGCCGCGAGGTAGTTCACCCAGAGAGCGGAGACCTCGCTCTCGTTGCTGGACACGAACACCACGTCGACTTCCGGCGGGCTCGGCGAGGTCGTCGGGGCGGACATCTCGTTCCGACGTCCAGTTGAACTTCCGCCAACAACGGCCCGGCCACCTGGGGATATATACAGGAAGCGCGGGTCAAAAAGGAGAACTCGAGAAAATATGGCCCGAGACGGACTCGCGGCTGTACCTGGGGGTTTATTTCCGGCGAGCGGAAGTCGAGGACCAACGTGGCCCTCGACCCCGAGGGCGCGACCCGGAAAACGCGGAAGGGAGCCCCGGGGGGAAAATCTGAGAAAATTCACCCTCGAGGATCGAATTGGGAGTCCCGGACGAGAGACGCGGCCGTTCGACGTTAAGGCCAAGTCGAGTCTCCTCGTGTAACCTCCAATGCCCGGACTTTTCTCTTCCCTCCGTTCCCTCTCCTCGCTCGCGCATATTCCCCCCCTCGAGACTCTCCTTGCCCATCCACGCCCTTCTATTTCCGCCATAGGCCAGAACCCCGTTTACCGACCGCCCGATTACGATTATTTGTCCAACCGATATGCCCCGGTCGAAAGAAATTTCCTACGCTCGGGGGAAACCGCCGACTCGAGAAACTGGGCCTCTAAGAAGGAAGACGGAGTTGGGGGATCTTTCGTTTTTTTCCACCCCTTTTTTTACGGCCAACTCTTCTCGACATTACAGTATATCGGATTCATATGGGTGATCCGATTTTTAGTCTCGTGGTTTTTGGTGATTTCGGTCATTTTCGAGATTCATACGGAATTTTTAGGCACCTTCGGGACACCTTGATTTCTCAGGAAGGGGCCAGTCGACGACGAGGAATGTCCACTTTCGTTATTAGGGAAGGATTGACGACAATGGTTCCCACTTCCTTCGGTTCCTCGTCACCCCGTGCCATTTTGTTTGCGTCACGGCCGTTTACTGACGACAATCGCGATTGTTTGTCCGTCGATAGCGAGGGCCGAACTCGAAGAAGGCGAGAGAAATTCCTGGTTACAGAGAATGGGGGAAACACCGGATACGGAAAAGACGATAACAATTCGGCGCGCCGTGTTACGAAAATTCGGGAAAATATATCTGGCAGCGGGGCTATTAATTCCCTCCTCCTCCTCCTCCTCCCCCCTCCGTGAAAACAAAATCCCTCGTGTTTGTTTATCGCCACGACGCGTCTATAAGAGAGACAGGAAACGCGAGCAGTCTCCCTTAAAAATTTCAACATTCACGAGCACATCCGCCCGTGCCGAAGAAATTCCTCCGCGACTTAACAAGGACACTTTTGTCAAGGAACGACCCGAAGAATCTTGGAAATTCTCATTTACATATCGGAATGGAAGGAATGCCTAACGAGCACTCGCCATCGCTCTTTGGCGTGACCTTTTTTTAACGCCCTCGAAATCTCCATATTTCGGCTAAAAGATATGCCTCCAAAAAATAATTAAAAAAAAAAGAGAGGCCAGTCAATAATAAAATAAACCTCACATTTAAAATCCACAATCTTTCTATACGAGTTACAATGCTTTTCCCCGTTCGATCAGCTAAATTTATTTACGACCAGCGGATATAAACTCGATATTTATTTTTTGTGATTTTCGGGGGAACATCTGGACCTCTTTGCAGCATCCGGGAGTCCCTCGGTATAATCTGTGGCAATTAGGGTCGTTTTCCGCTATCTGGGAGGTATTTCCCCGCTATGTAGCTTTCTTTGCCCATCTGCACCCTTCCATTTCCGCCTCGGGCCAGGATCGCTCGCCAGACGACGATTACGATTATTTATCCAACGCCACGAGATCAACGCGCGAGAGCAGGAAGATCTTCTCTGGAGAAGCGGGGCGCTCGTTTGGATTAATCCACGTGTCGCGGGTCATCTGGGCAACGTTTCCCGTCTCGTACTTTTGCCAAGAAAAACAATAGTCTTATTGGCCGTGCCATCGGGAGTGCTTTTAGCGAAACGAGGCTCGATTATACACGAGATATCTCCTCAGCCCCGAGTCCACCGGAGACGTCTCGTTATTTAACGCTTGGTTTAATTGACCTTTAAATTTACTCGTCACCTAGCCGATCGTTTCTCGTTTCGCACTTTTGCCTGCCGAGGCGATGATCTTGTTACCCAAACTGCCGAGTAGAGTTTGACGGTAACTTAAATATGACCAATCCTTTTCTAAAAAACCCTGACGGCATTTTCCCCGGCATTCACTTCTGACAGTCGACTCGAGGTAAAATACCAAATTAATCGTAATCAATATCAACGAATTATAATTCTTCATTGATTTCCATATTAGGGCAGATCGAGTTATATACACCGGGAGGCTTGGGAGGTCTTTTTAAGAAAACGGAGGTATTTTTAAAAATTATTATTTAAGCTAGGAAATCGTACTTAGAAAAATTGAGAACACTTACACACGCGCGGAGGTTGTATACTTGGAAGTTGTACGCGCAATCCTGACAGATCGAGCGCGCGAATTATTCGGGGATCCTCGGTATATTCGGTCTTGGGTTTTCAGTTATCCGGGATTCGAGGGCCCGAATGATTCGACGACGTCGAGAGCTCGAAATCGGAGCGCTTTTCGATATTCCGACCGGATAGAAGCTTCATCGAGGCGGCGACTCGACTGCCGCATCGGCGGAGCTTCGGCTTTGGAAGGCGCAGCATACGGCTTCCGTTTTCGGCATTTCCGGTCGCTACGAAGTACGACTGCGTGGTCGGAATACTCAGGACCGGTGCCGATCATCCGTAGTCGATGTTCGACGTCGATCGACGGATGTCGGAATTGTCTAGAGGAAACGAGCGTGTTCCCTGCAGCGACCGACATACGATTCGATGCGTACTAGGCTCGTAAACGCATGCGGAATGGGCATAGAAATTTAACCACAAATTTGAGGTCTTGAAAAACAAAATAAATCGTCAGGTATCCGATGGGCATCGAAATTTAACTGTAAATTTAGGGGCTTGAAAAACAAAGCATAGGACATCCGATGGGCACCAAAAATTGAAGATAAATTTATGGATATAGAAGAAACGTTAATTTCAGCACATCCGATTTTGTAATGACACGCGGAGTATGAAAATTTCAATGGGAAGTTTATGGGCTTGGAAAGAAAAAATAAATCTCCGTACACCGGATTTTTTAATGGTGCACAGAATGGGCATGGTAATTTCACTGTGGATTTAGGAACAGGAAAAAAAAAATGAATCAGGATATTCGAGAATTTTGCTCGGAGAAAAATTGACATATTAAATTAAACACGAAGAGCCCTCGAAGGCATTTCTTACCCCGCGATTTGTAAACGAGGGAGTAATTTTGCTAGGCCATTATTGCGTCGAGAAATATACCGCCGGACATCGCCGATTGACCAATCAAGCCTTATCATCAATAGGACTTGAAGAGAAATGGCGATCTCGATTGACACCGCTGGTTTCGCGATGCCTTATCATTCGCGTTCGTTAGCGCGACTTGTCGAGATGCGCTCAAAGAACTTCCGATCTGGTTTACTGCTGCGCGTTTTCATGGCATAATGTCTGGTTATCAATCGAGTCGATAACGCATCTCGGTATAAAACCGCAATAAAATCGGGCAACCCCGATCTGCCACGGCCAATAAAATCCAAGGTTTCCCGAAGAACTTTCTTGATAAAGATGATAACACTGCACGTGTTGGACACGGATCGCGTAGAAATGGTGTATAAATGGCGTATATATGACGGACAAATCGCTTACAAATGGAGACAAGCATTGCGCGACTTGCGGCGATCCATCGGACAGTCGCAGCTGTTCCAATTAATATTTCTCCTCCCAATAGAAGCAATCGATGCAGCCCAACAATTAGTCGTTCCACCGATTAACGGACTCGGCTCAATTGGCCGTCCTTCCTTATTACCGACTCCCGCGCCGTCTTGGAATAATGAATCTAAATCACCGATGCGCAAACTCATACGCACAGGATGTGCGATATTCTTCCATATTTATTGGCCGAGAAGAGCATCAACGGTTGCGCAATAATAGTCGAGGGCAAGTTTGCGGGACATTGTCGATCGGGCATTCCAGAAATGGCGAGAGCTGGAGAGCCGGCGATGCATATCGGCTCGCCTTTATGTGCCAGGAACTGTTAACGTATCGCTCGGTAATTAGCCAGTGCACGGCCACGGGCCTGTATGTACGTAGATACATATAAGTGTTACCGCTAGGCGAGACGGGCGGAATTCTAAATGTTCTCGTCACATTCGATCGCGGTCGGCACGTGCTGGCCAATTTAAAGTGCGCGCTCTTCTCTATAGGGCATCTCTATGGAGCCATTCCAGCGGTGATAAGTCGAGGCTTTGCGTGGTACCCGCGACCCCCCAGGGTGCCGGCAAAGAGACATTTATGGAAGATGCAACGGATTATTGACGGCAAAACCTCAGGATTCAGAATTTCGAACGGATTAACCAGGGCAAAAAGATAAAGTAGAAAAACAAAGAAAATCAAATCAAGACACACGGTTGAGCTTCGAGCCAAATACATATAAACAGTTATTCTAGCAGTGATGAGTCGAGGCTTCGTCCGGCACTCTGCGACTCCCCTGAGTACCAGGAAAGATATGGGGCATTTATGAAAGATGCATCGGATTTTGGCCGGCAGAACCTCAGGATTTGGGTTTCAGAACTGATCAACCAGAGAAGAGGAAAAGACGAGCCACAGCGGCTTCGTTAAACGAGGAACTTCGCTTTGAGCGCGGGCCTTTGCTCTTGGGGTATCCGGCGAATGCCGGAGTTTAATGCTCTTGCCGGCCTCGCCGTAAAGATCCCGACAAAGCCGACTTTATACTTTGGGTGGCCAGATCAAAGGTTACCGGGATGAAGGGTAAGACAGACAGGAGATGGAATTACTCGCACCTAAGCTGCTCCTTGGGCGAGTATAATGGCCTATGTCGTCGAAACGAATATTTCCCGGGTCCCTGCGGACGCCATTTCGATGCAAGATTTCTCAGCATGTAAATTAAGCTAACAAAATATACCATCATAAAAAAAAAAGAACGCAACAAATTTTACTCACGTTTGCCAACCCCGTCTCTGCGTCTTCTTCGCCCTACAGCCTTAACAGGGACGCCATCTTCCGTTTCGTGAACAATGGCGTCGACGACGTCCACCCCGATTTTAGCGTTCGGTTCTGAGAGGAACCTCTCAACGAACTGTCCTGGTCTCCTCCCGGAATGGGTCGGCGACATGTCGAGTCTGTTATTAATCCTCGTCCTGGACCTCGTCCTGGCGGCGGTCCTGTCCTTTGCGAGGAAGGATCCGATCGAATGCCTCCTTCCGGAACTCGAGGACCCTGGGTTCGGCAACGTCGAGACGTTGTAATACCTAGCTCCGTCAATTCCCAATGTAACTTTGGCTTCGGAAGGGTCCACCGTGATGTCTTCCTCGTCGTCTTCATCTTCGTCATCGTCGTCGAGATCGATGCAGCAGAAGGTACTGTTTTCCAACATGGCGGCGCCTTCGTGTCCAGGCAGGCCGCAGTAGACCATGTCACTGGAGAGGAGCTCACTGGTCGATTTCAGAACCCTTCGACGTCCAGGTCGTCGCCGATCGGTCTCCGAATGGGAATGCGACCTGTGAGGTAAGTACGGAGAGGGAGGAGCCACATCCGAAGGCCTTGGATCTCCCTTCAGGAACTGCTGGGTCGTCTCCGGGTCCGAGTTGGTGCTCACCGAGCGGAAGAGGCTGCGAAAGCTCCTACGAAGACCCAAAGCTCCGTTGCCGTTGAAGGTCACTCCTACTCCCCCAATCAAACAAACGAATTATTATCAAACATCGAATTTGGCAATAAACCCGTAAAAGAAAACTTCTCTCTCTACACAGACAAAAACATTTTCAAAGTTCATACACCTTTCCTACCCAAGATTTCAGCAAAAAATTACAATAAATCCATCATCCTAAAAAATGAATTACTGTAAATTCATGATAAATTTCTAAACAAATTTATAGTCCTATAGCACCACGTTTGAATTTTGTAAAAATGCAAGGGAATTTAACGTTTACATATCTGTCCTATTATTAAAATACGCCATAAAATTAGCGTACAATGTCTGGTTGAAATTTATATGATTGTAAAATTGGAGTATGTTTTTTCTTTTTTTCTTTTTTTTTAATCTGTGGAGACTCACCGGCGTTGAACCCTCCGTTGGCACCAGGGCTGCCCAGGGTGTTGATTCTGGAGTGCTGCAGCAGACTGGGGATAAATTCCTCGACAGGGGTGGAAGGCTTCGAAGACCCTGAAGCGCTGCTCCTGTTGCTCTCGTGGTGCATCAGGGTGCTAGTCGTAGAAGTGGACACGACGCTGGCGGAGGAGGTCACCCCCATTTTCCCGGACCTCTTCTTGAAGAAGGCCCCGAATCTCTTCGGGCGAGCGGTTCTAGAGAAGCCCAAGGAAGCTCCTCTTACCCCGGCTGCCCCAGGAGTCGCCCCTCCGTCGGCCAGCGAGAAATACGAGGGGTTGTCTGTGAACATACGGAGTCTGCAACTCTAATGCAATCCTATCGATGCGTCGAGGTCGACGGGTGGATTTCTCAGGATCAAACGCAACAACACCCAGCGATAGTCTCCGTAAAATTTCCAAGACCTTTCTGGGATCTCTTCGACACCTCCAAAATAGACTTCTGATAACAGGACACAGTTTGGGAGCAGATAAACCCAAGAGAGATAACCAGCGCACTGGGAATACCTGTTGAGGCCCCACCCTGTTTATCTTGGGTTTTAAATTTTCATTTCGAGCCCAGGTACATTATCAAAGGACTCTCCCTCTTCCTTGTACCGTGTAAGCGTCTGTATTCTTTAAACAAATATTTTGCTTGAATTTCAGGGTTTGACATTTATGGATTCACTCAATTTCCTCCGTTATTGTTCACAGAGTTCCCAGGGGTGGGTTTTCGGCTCGTTCGCTCACTTTTGGCATTCACACCTCGGGGGGAGAAAATGATTCTAGAAAAAGGACTCTGATTTGGTGATATTAATTTCCGGCTTTTGTTTTCCCTGTTCCCGTATGCGCAGTCGGTAGGTAGTCTCCTTTTGGGAGGCCCTTGCGGAGATGCAATCGCGCCTCCTTCGGGGAAGGGTCGCTCCCTGGAGGGATAATCGGCTTTTCCGGATTGGGCACGGGCTTTTCCTGCTTGCACTCGATCTTAACTCTCCAACTTCCGACACTTTACGGCACGAGTCGAGATTCGACGCGGATTAGGTGTCGCTCCATGTGCGGAGTACCTCACTGTCTTGGCTCCTCTTCATCCCCGATGAAATGTCAAAACTCGATACACGGATATACGCGATACCCCCGATAATTACAAAAACTGATTGAATAGATTTTCGTAAAATTTTGAAATTGAATGTAAAATATTTTCGTTTAAACTATTGAAATTTAATGTGCGAAACTCTTTAAGTTTCTGAGATTTAATATAAAATCTCTCTAACGCTGAAAACTTTCAGGTGGCAGATATCAAGATTAGCCGACAGCCTGCGAAGAGTATCGTAGGGAGAGGCGCGATAACGCGTGATAAGAGGCTGGAGAACGGCGCGCAGACTGCGGACGCAGGGCCAAGAAGATGGCCAGGGACTGAGAGGACTGTCGGGGACCGATCAGGGACCGATCAGGGACTGGTCCGCGGTTGTCCCATGGTGCACAAGAGTCGAGAGAACGCGAATGCCGACGAGAGGTGGGGACCGGACGGGAGGTAGGATCTGGTGACGGGGAGGAGACACCGGAAGTAAGCCTCCACCCCGCCACTGCCACCGTTGGCACCACCAATCGCGACAAAATTCTTCCAGGAACGGTCCCTAGGGACGTGCACACCCTGGTCCCAGGTACATCCGACACCGAGAGAGAAGAGCTACGTGAGGAGGATTTCGGTAACCGGAGGAACCTGAGGAGGAAGCTGAAGAGCAACCCGAAGAGATAGCCGAAGAAGTATCAGATGAAGACACGAGACATTGGAAAAAGAGGAAGATTTTATGCTAAACTTAAAACAGGATATTGATAGCAGGGACTCCAAGACGCTTTCTAATATTTCCGATGATCGATGCCGTCTCGGTAGACTAGGAAGTTAATTCGAGGAAATATTTCGAAGTGACACGCGCGTAGGTGGACCAGAGGGGAGAAAGATATGCGTCCGGGTTCCGTGCGCGGTTGGATTTAGTAAATCGTCGCTAGGATTGGGTTGGGTTTCCGCATCGTCTCAGCATCCGGATATCCAAAAGAAGGTCGAATATGAGCCGGATATCCGGATTGTAAGGGGATTTGGATAGTTGGCACGGCTTCGACCGCGGTTTATTAAGGGAGCCACTTGGAATTCTGAGGGTAGAATGACACCAACGGGATGATAAGAGACTTCCTAAAGAAAGTGATTTTATGACTCGATAAATTATTAAAGTCGACTTGGTTTCAGAAGCCCAGCTGTCAAATATCGTCCTTGCAACGTCCTTTGTACCAATTTAAAGGCCCCCACATATATACCCCGAAGAGTGGTTCCGGATAGAGCGGGACGACGGACTTTATCAAAGAGATTAATCCTTTCTTTTCGCAATTATCTCATGGAGATGAATAAAAATCTTTTCATCTCCCTGGGTATTATTCCACCCGTAACGAATTAGAAGAGCACCCTCTTCTCGCTAATAACCCCGCATCTAAAATTAAGCCCGTCAATCTGGCGTAATCTCCCTTCAAAGAATTCCGTCATTCAATTTGAGGCTTAATTAATTGTCAGGCTTGATTCCCAATCAAATATCTACACTTTATGAGGCCCAACATCCCTGTACCGGTACATTAATATGCCATGTTTAATCCGAGGGGTTGCGTGGTTATGGATAAGACGGGATAAAGAAGTTCTTTGGGCGATTGCTCCGTTTTAACTTGACGCAAAATCTACAATGACTTGCCTTTTTCCACGGGTGGAGATATCGGTGATAAGACGTTTTCGAGGAAGTTTTCCCATAAAGGCCCTGCGGTCCTAGGTACATCCACACTTGGAGATACGAGGAAGAGCCCTCGATAAGAGATGGGGACCGCAGAGACCGTAGAGAGTAGACTTGATAATAAGGGGGATAAAGCAGTTTAAGCGGCGGAGAGGAAGAGGGGTATCAATTTATTAAGTTCAACCACACAGAATCTGGACGGTGATGCGGTCATACGCAAAGTGGGATGACGAAGTTCTTCAAGGAGAGATTATTCCGGATCGGGCTGTCCTATTTTCGACCCGCAATTGAGAGGGAAAATAAGACGCCTTAACACTTTCGCTCTCCTCGGCTGAGATTTTAAGAAAATAAACCAAGTGGTTTCACCGGATTTCAATTTCGTTTCAACTTGAATTTCAGCTCAAAATATTTCTAGCCATCTTTCGCGTCTTTGAGTTACAGAAAAAGTTCAGACTACCAGATTATCTTGTCTTTGAAGGTTTATTATATGCAGGTGTACTTTCACCACGGAGTCCCTCGTTGATCCGGATTGCCAGGTCACGTACGGCTTTACAGCAAACAAATGACAATGAGGAGCAGGAATAAATTATGACTAGGGGCGCCAATATTACAAATGCAGTGGCGTCCCCAGGGTCCCGTGGTTGGATGCGACTGAATAGATAAACAGGACCGTAATAAAAAATCGGTGAGCGACGAGCATCGACAATTCCCGACTATCGAAATCGCCGAGGTGACTTGAAATTCCAGGTAATTCCTCGCCAGCCTGTCGGCGAGCTCGTAAAACGGTGGAAAAGAATGCACCCGCGACTGCATCTGCGAATAACGATGCACTCGGATCTCCCTCCAAGCCGCCCTGACTCTCAAAAACCAGAAATAATTAACAAACAGAATTCCACCTCCACCTTCGTCCATTCAAATCACGTAGGTTTGCGGACAATAAATTGCGAGTAAACGCGGGAATAAATCACAGCAAGGGGCGCCAATATCAGAAATGCAGCGGCGCATCCGCAGCGTCGGCGCCGAGGAGTGCAACAAAGTGTGGGCCTTATCGACTCGATAAGCGGCATTCCGAGGGAAATAAAAATAGATCACCGAGAACATCTTCAAGGGCAGGACGGATGATAGGAAAAAAAAGAAAGCAGGGGACGTATCGGCGGCTTAGAATTCCCTGATATCGCGTCCGACCCCCCTGTCGCCCTTGCAGGTTGTCGGCGAGGGGTCCGCGAAGCGGTGACAAGATGAGACACGGGATAACGTGGTTAGATGCATGCGGATGCATGCCTCGAATGCAAACTGCAGGGCTCGGAGGGGTCGGGCCAGGGGCAAGGGAAAAATGAACGGGGGAGGTAAAGATATGCCTTAGGAATAACAGATGCGGCCTGCACTAAGTACGGCTCGGTACGTCTACATTGGCGAGTACGTACGAATGCGCGCAAGTGCGCGCACTATCACAAGGGAGCTCGGATGCATTTGGCGCGAAACGCAGTGGACGTTCGCACAGCCATCGAATGGGATTAGCTGGGGTCTTTAACGTGGGCGAGTATGTGCTCCTGGAGTGAATGCTTATACCTTTATGTATCTCTATGCAGATGCACATCGTTAATACGTACATATGTATATAAGTTCATCTGTGAACATGCATTTAACGTACCGACTGCCATCGTGTTCTTCGGTCTTTTCTTTGGAACAGGTACTGGCCTTTCGCCACTCTGAAACATAAAACGAAGGATGCACATCTCAAGACTAATTCGGGTACGATGCAACCTTGGGACGAGCCGGGAATATGTGGGCATTCTCATGCGGGACGCGAGGGGTGAGGTCCGTCATAGTTCTGGGGGGATTATGGCAGTTATGGGGCTGCGTCCCGACGCCGGACGTCTCGGATGAGGTCGAGGACTGCGAATTGTCGGAAAGCATCGCCAAACACGGTTCGATGAACTTCTCAGGGACCGCGGAGTTAATCCCACGGTTATTTGTGCCATATCTTTCGTAATTAATGAAAGCGGTTAGATGTGTAAACAAGGAATTTATCCCATATTTTGCGGGGCGCGTGCTTAAATTTCAGAGGGGTGAAGCTGGTCTTTAAAGAAGAAAGAACATGATTTAGATCAGGTTCGGTACTTTTAGGCCTTTCTTTAATTGCATCTCGAGTTAATGTCGGTTTTGACGTCTCGTGACTTTACACAGGGCGCGTGCGGTGGCGCACTTTCCATTACGGCAGATAATGGAGGACCAGCTGCACCTCTCCGAAATCTGAAGTTGATCCTGACCAGGAATAGCACAAGTGCCGAGAAAGACCGGAGGCTCGAAGGACACGGGATCGAGGAGCCCCTTCGAATGCACGTGCGGGGCTTTCGTCCCTTCCGGACCCCTCGTCACAAAAAAATTCGACAAAAATACGTGCAGCTGGTATTTTCTCGACAGCCACGCGTATATACCTTCCTTCAAACTATCTCCCCTGATAAAAAGTGCACGAATCACCTGACTAAACTAATCCGAGACAACCCCTTTCTCTGCGCCACAGCGTCCCTTCATAAACCACCCTGTTAAAAGCATTCATAAATTGCATACACTTTTAATACACAAAAGTGCATTAAAGAATGATAACTCGGATGTCTTACAAGTGAACGACGTACCGTCCGCATTTACAATAAATCACTGAACAAGTTTAGGATTTCATAACTACCAAATAATTATTAATTTTCGTGTAACAGATTCATCGAACGCGTTTATAAAATATACTCATAAAATGTAACAAAATTAAAATCCCTTTTTAACGGTGTACCCCCTTTTCTCGATTTTTTTCTCCCAAGCATAGCCAGCTGATAGCTACTTGGTTAGGAAGTAATGGACCTTTCGGTATATATCTTACCGAATTTCGACGTCACTTTCCTTCCCGACAATACCTGTCGGCGGAACGAGCGACTACGAGTAAGTGCGCTGATAAATAAGTTTTCCCACGCTAATGGCACTTCCCACGCGGCCCGGAATCCCGAGGAGCGACGAGGGTCATTTTCCGTGGAAACGACAGCCGAGTTCCCTAACGAGTTCCCTCGCAATATCGCGTGTCATTTTGGAAAATTCGCGCGATCGATCGCCGGTCTCCAGGTCCGGGAAATCAGGGGACGCGCGGGTGCCGACTGGTCGTTTCATTCATCGCCGGAAATAGTACGGAATGTTATATTTGGCGGAGTCGAGTCCGAGTCTCTCGAGACGCCGAGAGGCCTCGACTGGGAGAGACCGGTCTCGCCAAGTTTCTAAGTGTAACGCGATGTTCATTCACGATTTCCCCCGGATATTTTACCCCGATTACCGCCTCGAGCCCTCTAATTCCGCGCAATGGCGATCGCTCTAATTACCTAAATCCCGCTCGGTTATTTCTGGCGCCCTCGCTGCAAGAAATCCAAGATGGCGGCGCGCGAGAAACCGAAACAATCTTTTCAAGCAACGCATTCCTCCTTTTTTTCTTCTATTCTACGAAATACTAAGCGTGCGCAGTTATCACATCCATGCGGGTATTTTCGTGGCGATGTGTTTCGCGGAGTTAGAGGTCGATTTGCGATTTAGACGGTTGTTTATCGAAGCGAGGGAACGTTAAACTCGTGACTATTGACAGCGCCATTAAGTCGAATCGGCGATACGCTGACTTATAAATAAGCGATCTTCTCTCCCACGGCGCGAGACGTGCGCAGCATCCTCGGATCATTTCCCGGGAAATGTCGAATTTATTAAGAATTTCTGCTGGGCTATTAAAAAATGTTCCGAGAGATTTGAAATAATGACAAGTTTCCTTTTTCTTTTATTTTTAGGGAGAGCGATGAGGGATGTTACATGACATGGTCGGTCCGATTGACAACTGAAGCCAAGACATGACAGCTGTAAGTAATATAAGGTTGCAGTGGGGAATATCTTTGGATCATTTCCCGGGAAATGTCGAATTTATTGAGAATCCCTGTGACGGTCTATTAAAACATGTACCGAAAGATTTGGAATAGTGACAAGTTTTCTTTTTCTTTTATTTTTAGGGAGAGCGACGAAGGATGTTACATGACATGGTCGGTCCGATTGACAACCGTAGCCAACAGGACATGACAGCTGCAAGTGACGTAACGTCAATGCGCTCTGCGTGCCCCGCAAGTGTCCACAGGAAGCATTCCTCATGCCGATCAAGCAATAGGAAGTAATTCAAGAAGTCGTTTCTACGATTAAACATCTCGTCTATATGCATATTACGACGGGAAGCTCTTCACTTCCCCTGGTCGCGCCGGTCGAGCACCGCGCGTGATTACTGAGTGATCGTGGAGTGACACGGTAGTAATACTAGATAACATAATGGTACCGTGTACCGGTACCATCCTACGAGATGGGCGAGGCGAGAATTCGATTTTGATATTGGCCAATCAAAACACGCGTCACGTGACCCCGATCAGTAATGAAATTCTGCAACTACTACCAAAACACGCCAAAATTGCAATTAGCAACAAACACCGACGCCCCGAGTTCCAGCAGCCCTGGCATCACCCAACTGTATCCCTATTCACGACCTCGTACGATCCTATAATAAGCATCCCTCCATCCCCTAAGAATATTAAAAAAACAATTTTTTTCTACCACGAAGCTGCAATCATTTACAATGACAATGTCCAAAGTATTGTCCGCCCCCCAGGTTAAACTTGACAGATAATAATAAACGTTTTGCGTATACGCCGAACGAAGGCTTGGCACTTATATGCGCTTGCATATGAATTTGGCGCGAAACTCTTCCGAGTTTCTCGGTTCTAGCACCAGGCGCTGGCGTCATGCGTCGGTGCAACGTCCCTTACGGCCAAGCCTAGGGATTTAATGGAAAATTTAATTATTAATGCGGTTATAGCGGTGATTATCGGCGGATGAATTTTAATAAGAGTGGCGTCAACGTACCCGAGCGTGCTCGTGCCCATAGGAAGCATTCATCATGCGAACCGTGCAGTAGGAAGCGATCGGAGAGGCCGTGTCTACGATTGAACATCTCGTCTATATGTACATTACAAGGGGGAGCAACGAGGCGTAATCTACACCTTTACTTGTCTCGCTGGTCGAGCACCCTACGTGATCGTCGGACGATCGCACCACTAGACGGCGATCCTTGCCGTAAAGAAACGTTGGCCGGTGCGGCCCACGAGCGGTAGGCGGAACGGTCGCGAGTCGTCGATTCCGACGTTGTTGGTCAATCCGGGCACGAAGCACGTGACTCGAGCTAATAGAAATTCCGCAGGGGAAGAGCCGGAGGAAGAAGAGGCGGTCTTTTTAGGTCCGATCGAATGGAACGTGCAGCGCGTGCCTAGCTTATTTTCACGAGCCAATCCGCCGAGGTGAGCCCCCGGTTCGTAGAACCTCGAGTCGACCCGGTATCCCCGACGCTCCTATTCGCACCCTGGATTCAGAGGATCCATGGTACACCAGAGAGCTTCCAGGTGAACATGATTTTTCCTTAATCCAATCCAGGGGTGGAGAACCCCGAATCGACCGAATCGCCTGGCTACTTTTGATAACTAATATGAAAAAAAAAGAAAAAAAGATGGGGTACCTTCTCGCGCCGAAGAGCCGCAAATCGACCAAATCGTCTGGCTACTATTGTTAAATGATATGGAAAAAAAAAAAGATGGTGCACCTTTTCGCGTCGAAGAGTCGCAAATCGACCAAATCGTCTGGCTACTATTGTTAAATGATATGGAAAAAAAATGGTGTATCTTATCGTGCTCTGGGGTCGGATGATGCTTGATACACCTGATAGCTTCCAAGTGGACAGGACTCTTTCTTGACTTGAACAAAGTCTGGAGAGCCGAGAATCGGCAGAATTATCGGGATAATTTTGATAAATAATAAGGAATTCTAATGCCTCATACGATCAGCTGTGGTGCTGGTGGTCGACACCGATTTGGATCTGGAAGCGAGCGCTTTGTTGGAGGGTTTTCGAGTTTACTGATCATTATTTGTAGAGTTGTACTTACAGGTTTGGTGTCGACTGTCTTTGGTATCGACTTTCACCGTCGGAGAGAGGAGTTTGACGTTTTGCGAGGGATATTCCTAGCGGCAGAGTCGGCTGTCCAGGTTGCCGTAGTTCGTACCGTGGATGGTCTAATTCGGGACGGTATGCCGATACGACGGCGCTTTTTGGACCGGTCGAGGTCTCATTTGTCAGGACTGCAGCATCCGGTTCTTGGGAGAGGTGTCCTGGTACCGTGGACTAGAAGCGGAAGAATCGTGTCCGAAGATCGGGACTCTTCCTGCAGATCATGGACCACTCGCTGATCTCTTCCGTCCGTGTCCCCTTCAAATTTCTTCAGATCTCCCCGAGTATTTCTAAAACCGTACTTCGGTATCGTACTTCATGGTCACTATAAACACGGTTATCGGTCGGAATGTCAACGACTCGTTGACACGAACCGAATGACAGTCTCCACTTCTTCGGTGGAACTAATCAGCGCTGGGAGTCCTCGCATACTGGGCCACGAAATTCGGTCGGAATCGCAAGATATCGCGGTCTGCGATAATTATGACGTGGGCAGTTCACATCTCGACTCGACTTGGCAACGTGAGCTTTGACAGACGTGGCGAACAGGGCGAGGGAGAATACGGGGAATCGTGGCTGACATACCGAGCTTCGTCCCCGATAGAAACGCTGCTAAATATTCTCCTCCCACGAGACCTCTTCAAATACTTCCGCAAAGCTTCACAGTCCCTACGCACTTCCGTCACGAGGTAAGCTCGACGAAGTCTGGGGAAAATTCACCATCTTGAGCCGCAAAGATCTGCCAATACGACGATCGGTGCGTTCCGCAAGCTCAGGTTCACTAAATGTTAATGACAAGTGACCCCAGGAAGCTTTCGAGATATAAGTTCACGCGAGATTGGGTGAAACTCACTCGTGTCAAAATTCTCACGGGTCTGTCAAATTGACAGAGAACGTTCATCGAGTCATGCGGGGCTGTCACGAGTTCTGCAAGCACAGGCTCACGAAATGTAAATCAGAAGTGATCCAGGGGAGCTTTCGGGATATTAGCTCACTGGTGTTGAATAAATTTCTTGCGGTCTAGTACAAGAACTGTCAAATTGACAGGGTTCACCGAGTCACTGGGGACTGCCTCGGGTTCACAAAATGTAAATGAAAGTGATCCTAGGGGCTTTTGAAATCGAAGCTCACGTGGGGTGGATGAAAGTCACTCGTGTCGAAAGTCTCGCGGTCGAACTCAGGGTCTGTCGCGACGCGGTCTGTCAAATTGACAGGGAGTTCTCGCCGAGGCACTCGGGCGCAAGTCGGCTGCGGCGGGCACCGCAAGCACTGACAGACGTGGTTGTCGAGAGTCGAGAGTCGAGGGTAGAGGAGAGAATACGAGGCGAGGAATCACGGCGAATGTTCAGGAGGGGAGAAGAAGGCAAAGCCGGCCGCCGGGTGCGACCGTTCCGGCGCTATGCTCTCCTTCTCTCGGTGTTCTCCCGGTCTCCTCTCCGGTTCTTCTCGGTCGAGTTCGGGGACGGTACGGAACGGTACGGAACGGTACGGAACGGTACGGAACGGTACGGAACGGTACGGAATGGTACGGAACGGTAGGGAACGATCCGGAACGGTCGACAACGGTCCACAACGGCCCGCACCGAGATGAACGAGGAGAGAATGCTGCGAAATAAATGGATAGACAATAATATAAATATAGTAACAAATAATAAAATGGTACGGAACCTAACCATAGGGTCCTGGACTGTTCCGTACCAATTTTTTATTTGTTACTTTATTTATATCATTGTCTATCCATTTATTTCGCAGCATTCCCTCCTCGTTCATCTCGGTGCGGTGCATTCAGCAGGTAACAAAAACGATTAAAAGAAAGTGTTTCTCAACCCTTGCTCCGGAAACCGTCAACAGGGTACAACGAAAATTCTAAAAATGTTACAAATTCTGCAGAACGCAACTACCTCGTCAGTTAACGAATCAACGTTATTATCTGGTTAAAATAAATACGTATCCATGAATTTCGCCCATACGTCGAGAGAGCTTAGTGTCGAGGAAGCGACTTTCTTCAATTCTATGGTAGTAGCACTGCACAGTTAGTTTATAATCCCAATAATTTCGATTCCGATGGTTTTCGATCTTTTTACCAGGATATGGAGATTACTGTACAACGGTGATTAACTTTTCTTTCTTTTTTCAAGACAACGCACCGATAAAACGCATCTGCGAGGCCTGCGCGTGCCCGAGGTCTGAGAGAAATCGCGACGCAAGCTCTTTGCAAGAAACCTGCAATTCCGTAGCATTTTTATCCCTCGGATCTTTTTATTCGCATGTTCCCAGAGACGAGAGGGAGGCGAGCCGAGCCAGATTTAGGCTGGTTCGAGAAAGGGCCGCGCTTTAGTGCAGACGTGTAAAAAGCGGTACGTGCAGATCGTTCGACTCGCACGGTGGCTGAATGGGATTGCTAGTCAGGACTATTTTGTTTCTCTGGTTCTAGGGACTTTTTGTCACCGCCACTTCCGCCCGAATTTTATAACATATGGGCACTAGCTCGAGAAACACGTGGTTCGGACTTGGACCCAACGTAGATGGGGTGGAACGGCAAACTTTTTCTCGGGTTTTACGATTCTAGCCCGCTTAGGTGTTGCGACACTTAACCGATCGTTTGTGGGAAAATTAGATCGCCGGGTAGTTCCAAACAGGATTTCGAGTTAGCTGGATCCCGACGTGTACTAACGATGAATAATATAACTTAAGCCTCTCCCGGGAACTCGTCTTAGACACGTCGAGTGCTCCGCTCGGCTGCAACGAGAGCGCTCCCTGCGTGATTTCATAGCATTTTTATCGCCTCGTCATTTTTTGTTTTTTTTTTCCCCGTCCTCCCACTTAAGGAGATTCGTATGCGTGGAGAACAAGTCGAGCCAGTTTAGCCACGACTTCGACAAATGGGTGTCGCGAGGCGTATGACCCAGACGTTTAAAAAGCAAATTTATAGATCGTTTAACCTCGGGTCGCGAGGCCACTGTCGATCACATCACTCAAATCTTGGTATAATTATATGAAATCAGACGACAGTTTTCCTCACTTTCTGCGCCAGAGAAATATATCATTCTGTATTTGAGCCCTCGGTGAACACTGTCATTAATTTTCGAGCCATCTCTTGAAGATGTGAATTTAAATTTAAAAATACACCTCCGCGATTTATCTATTTTCAAGCACCTCAAGATTTACTGGCTTGGCTTAAGTCAGATCGATGCGTGCCTCGGACCTATCGAGTGCATCGACCGTGTGCACCGGTGCACTTCGCGTGAATTCCACGCTTTAAGATAGTTTGCATAGCAAGAGGGTAAACCGAAACGGACTGAAGCTAAACAAAAGGATGCCGCCAGCTAGATAGCTTAACTACTTAAAGACTTGAAATAAACCATTTTGACATTAATTTCCGAGCTCGCTGGAGCCTGCCGACACGGTCGAGAATGTTGTAGGAACGAGCTAGCAACGTTCCATCGTTTCGAAACTATATTTACGTTCCCGGTTACGTGGGCAGTCCTTGCGACATTTTACGATAAGAGAGCAACAATATCTGGCCGTTGTCTATACGTGTAGCCGAGATTATTCGTGGGCGCGCTCACGTGTCGCTTTACCTGTTTCCTGAACCGGGTACTCTCGTCGTTTTTCTGCGCGATTTGCACGGTTTTCGCGATTTTTATGCTCTAAAAAGGTTTATACTCAAGGAGGCTGAATCGAGCCGGATTTAGCCCGTCCAACAAAGGGTCGGATGTCGCGTGTCGCTTATCGCGAGTCGGATGGCAAAGCTATTTAAAAACCAAAGGTAGTTCGTTTTTAGTCTCGCGGTTGGCTATAGACTGGCTGCTAGGGCATCAGACTTATGACAAACGGCTAACGACACATCCGATCAATTTTAGAATTGTCTTATATATAGAAAAGATCCGCCGCCCCTGTGTCTGGCGTTTTCAATGTCGTCCCCCGACGTTTGAGCTTCCGACAAAAAAAAAGGGGGGAAAAATTACCTAGATGAACAAACGGCGGTACCGAATTTTTCCCTTAATCTCATTTTGCTCCTTTGTCATTTTGCCTCATTTTTTCCCCGTGGCAGTGACGTCGCAGCTGCGACGCGAAAATAATTGCAGCTCAAAACGACGTTAGTCGCCGATTTACTGCTTGCAACAGTTCAAAGTACGAAAGCAAACGCGCTCGGGGACTGAACATTGCGAAGACAATGAACACTTTGAAGCCGCTATTTTCGGTATTCCGGGCCTACGGCGGTAAAACGAAAGCAGAAGGTCTCGTTGTTCCATGTTCCTCGCGTGAACGGCGCTCCTCCCGCAACTATGTCCTCCTCCACTGGGGTGAAATTCACGCCTCGTCTACACCCTTCCGAGCCATCTCTCACTCTACAACATAATTAAGAATGAAAAACGAACGAACCGAGAATTTTTCCTATTTCCGTAGCGGTAACCTTCACGAGACTTCAAACTCCAGCTTCCAAGTTCCGCTGCGCCAGCTGCACCAACAATAAGCGAAACATGTCCTTTCCCTGGGAATTGATAAAAGAAATAAATTGTTACATTAAAAGCTTAACACTTCCTATGAAAAATTAACAGCGAATGAATATCATTCACAGGGACGAACGAGTCCGCTGATACGTACCACGGTTTTGCGAGGAAACATATTTACTTATAAACTCATCGAATTTTATTACGGTACAACCATATTGCCAATTCTTCCAGTCTTTCACTTTCCGAAGCGTGTCGACTTTTCATTCCACGGCATTTAATCGGTGGGCAATTTAATTAGTTGTCATCCAATATCGTGATTATTTGGTACGCAGATGTTTATAGACATATTTTTATAGGTCAGGAATCAGATCTGTCGGCGCGGTGGCGCCTTTCAGGGAGGACGCCATCATCTGGACCCGGCACGTGACAGGAAGGGAAGCTTCTTGCCGGGGTTTTTGAGCTTCTTCCAGATTCCTGCTCGCATGTGTTTAATGCATATCCGGAGGTAGGAAGGTGCATGCTGCACACGTGATGGTTATTCCGTGATTAGTTACGCCAAGGCGTCGGGTTCGTGCGGCTCGAGCTCGGCGTTAAATACACACGCTAGTTGTCTGTAGGGCGCAGGCGCCTTTGTCCGACACGGCCCTGGTTGCTGCCGAAGCCTGCTCCCGCCTGCTGGCAGCTACTGCAGCCTGCTACCCGATGCGCGCGCACACGTGCCTGCCACATGCGAGTCTTCTCGACGGAGAAGCTCCTTTTCGACGGTCCACATAGAAGAAAACCTCCATAAACCGAACTCCCGACTGAAGCATCGCCACCTCGAGTGAGTTATGGCAAGAGAATAAAGCATTAAGGTGATGTGAAGTGGCGTCAAGTTCTCCGTCGTGAAACTTTTCTCCAAAGTAGGTGTACCGAATCGATTCAAACCTTACAATATAAATACGAAGGCTGAATAAGACCCTGAAATCCATGAAATTAAAATGCTGTAAAAATTTGTTTGTAGATCTTTTAAAAATTTCTCGTGAAACGTGAAATCTCTAGAGTATCGGAACCTTCCTTATGGCCTCCACGTTTAAATTGTAAAGTTTGAAACGACTCGGCACACTCAGTTCGGAGAAAAGTTTCATGATTGACTCTTCGGGTGCCACTTTCACATCCCCTTAATGACGAGTCATTTATAAAAGTCTCTCGAAAAGAGTCCGATTTCCAATCTGTTGTCTCCCTCTCTGCAGGCGACGGCGCTCTCGGGTACCTAGAAGTTCTATGAAGGATCCAACATCTGGCGTGAATTACGATGACTTCTCGATGTACGAAAAAGTTGTCCAAATAGGACCGGACGAAGAGGGGGTTGCTTCTTCTGCGTCTCGTAACCTAACGAGGCGTGAATGACTCGGAAATCCTTTTACGGGGTGTACTGTAAGAAATTATATGGGTCTCTTTATTAGGTATGTAATGAGAAAAAGAGAGGAGGCCGAAGTTCGTGCTACCGAGCGAGCCAGATTGCAATTAAACTTTTTGCAGGGGTGGAGGAATCTCGCGGTTTTTGTCGAGGGTTATGTCACGGATTTAATAAACCCGCGCACACAGGGTTTAACTTGCGTAAAAGGGTTTAACGATATGGTAGGGTCGCTTTAAAACCTAATTTAGTGAGCCTTACAAATGTATGCTCATTGCGCTCATTGGGAATTACGAGCACTACTATATAAATATTTATCGTACACCCTAGTATATATTTATGCTAATTACCACTCGCTGGAAATACTGAAAACCCCTTTATCAGTACATCCCATGTATACCGAAGGGGAACATTCGCATCTAAAGTATTCCGACTTTGGATTTTTCTATATACAGAGGGAGCACGCGATAACTTGCAACAGCCCTGTTCACATAGCACGATATGATAATGGCCTAACCGTATATATTTGCTCTTAGGAAACCGGAGTTGCGGTCTTCGGTGGAGGTGATAACGGCAGATCGCGATTTCTGAAAACATGGGACCACCCGTCACACATATGAGAACCCTTGAACTCAGATTGCAGCCTACAGATCCAGCTAAAAAATAATCAAGTCGCAGGATTTCATTCCTAGATGATAATCCTCGTCGGATAAAACTCGATTTATAAATTAAGTCGTATATATATAAGCACGGCAAATTGAAGCACCAATTGTACCCGCGGTCTGGTCTTTGAAAATTGTTTGAACACGGTACACTTAAACTTAGACCTTCCACCCATGAAATACTCAAGTCACAGGATTTGGTTCCTAGTCTATAATCTTCACAGGATAAAAACCGATACACGTGTATATGTATACATATATAAAAACACTTCAAATTGAAGCACCGATTACGAATTGCACGCACACGCGGTGCGGTCAAGCGCCGATTAGGAATTGTTCGGGCACGGCACACTTGAACCCAGATTACAGGAGTGAATTTAACAATTGGCCGATTAATGAATTAGACGGACCGAGGCCAATAGAGCGTCTTGGACGGACCCGAGTGTTGGCAGCCGCCGATTGGTAGCGACTGGTAGCGGCCCAAGGTCTCGGCCTCTTTGGTCTCTCCTTGGTAGCGAGCGAAAGTGACACTGGAGCGATCTCTCCCGCGGCTCGCCGAGTTTTCCCCGTATCGTCGGACTATCCGTGACGTGTCTCGGATACATAAGCCGGACCTGCTCCTCGTATTCGGATCCGTGCCCGTCAAATATCTACGTTCGCGAGCTAATCGCGTTTCCTTGGTGCGCGAGTAGCGATACCGGACAGCGCGGACCTACAGATGTTGGAATTAATTTCCCGGCGTACTTGGCGTGGAAACGCTGCACCTCGGCGCTCGGCATTAGCATATCGCGAGTGCGCCGTGAATATTCATACGCCATACGGAAACGAGTACTCGAGGTCCGCCGACACGACTGGGCATCACGATACTTTATTCGGATTGCGGAACTCGGCTCGTATAGGTATACAATAGGGCTCCACATGTTAAACAATAATCCTTGTATAGAACTACCCGGAGATAAACTCGTTTGCTCCGTGTCGTCCCCATATTGCGCTCATACGTAACTCCTGTAACTCTTGTTTTCTCGCGTATCTCCCGAGGTGAGATACAAGCGTAGCTTGAATTTAAGTCCATGTATTACTTTCTGGAACGCTTAGATTGATACATTGTAGACGATATGGTGCCAATATGGGCGAATCGATCGCGGGAGAGACGCTTGATCCCTGTCGCTATCGCCCCTATCGTTCCTCTCGTCCCTATCGTCCCATCATCCTTATCATTCCTATTATCCCCAGCATCCCTGATTTTCTTTCCAAACCTAATACCCTTCGAAACGACTCGCTCGCATCGCTCTATCGGACTCGCGTCCCTTTAAACTCGCTAAGGGTCGGTCCGAACCATCATGGACCATCTCGGACCTCGTGGCGTTCGCGTTCGAACTGCGCAGCTCCGGATTTAACGACTGGACGAATCGACGCGTCGGCGGTGGTCGCGCGCCGCACCTTCCCGGGAACCGGGACTTCCCGGGCCTCGTCAGAGCGATTCGAGCGATTCGCGAGCCAGCACCACCGACGCATTCCTCGCCCGAGACTCTATCCCGCGGGATTCCTCCTTGCAGTGGCAACAGGTGCGAGCCGTGACCCACTCGTGACCCAGTCGTGACCTACTCGAGACCACCGAGGCACCAGGTCCTGTCCAGGTGAAGGCCCAACCAAGCATGAGCGTCGACGACATCTTGAACTACAAGCCCGACGAGAACGAGGACTTCTACGCCCTTCTCGGATGCGACGAGTCGGCTTCGGTGAGACTCCTCTTTTTGACTATCCATTAATGTTCCACGGTACGGAAAAATGCATTCATGGACTTGAAGGATGCTAAGCGACGATTCCGAGGATTCTTCTAGGAGAGACGCAGGATCTTCGGAGACGGTGCCTCGAAAATACTCTCAGACTCGTTCAAGGACCTGTTGGGGAACGAAGTTTCGATTAGTCCTTTTGTAGGTGGATTTTTATTTAAAGATGGGAGATGAAGTTCGGGTTGTTGAACAGTTTTTCGTGGGTTGTTGAGGGATCCGAAGAGGTGGCGATTTTGTGGAGGAGGCTTGATTAAGGGGCGATTGTTCGACGTACCCGAAGAGAGGTTTCTTTTTTTCGAGGAGGTGGTTCGAGGATTATGTAGAGTGGCTTTCTACATCTCGAGGGCTAGAATGTACCTGTATAGGATGTTTAGGATCGATGACGAGATGAGTTGGCGGTGGTACCTACATGACGTGGTCCAAGGATGGGCTGCAGGGCGAATCTGGCATACATTTCGGGGATTTCCTTTTTACGGACGGACTGGAGTTAGGTTCTGTGAGGCGGCTGTATGAAAAACCTTTTTATAAACGCCGCTCGTTACATTTCGAGGGCTTGGATGCAGCTGTATAGGCTATCAGGCTCTTTAGGGGTCAAGGGATCGATGCGTTAGCGGACGGCATGACGCGGTCCGAGGCTCGATTGCGAGATGAATCTGGAAGAAATTTTAGGAATACTTTATTACTCTTTATTCTCTTGCAAGACTACTTCTTTATAGATCAATTTGTACGAGGATTCTTCCAGTACGAGTGCTCGGGATTCGCTTTCGTAGACTGCTTGAAAAGTGGGGGATCGATGAGGAAAGTCCTCGTGACTACGTAACTACGACATTCCGTGGCAGGAAATTGTTCGAGGATAACCTTTCGACGATCGAATTTCCTTGAGGAAAATCTTGACAATTTTTTCGGGAATCGTAGTTGTCGCATTTGGGACTGCCGCGATTGCCACGACCACGAGTCTAGAAATTGGTAACGTGACAAATCTCACGAGAGCCCGAACCTTGGTTAAAATCGCATAAAAGTGTCCCGAAGCGGATAAATACGTTTTTATGTGACCTTTTTACTCTCCGAGTGACGTGTCTCGATACTCGGTTGTTAAGCAACTCTGTTATGCATGCACACGAGCAATGTCTGGAGCACATTTCAAGGATCGATTGTTAAACGCCCTCCAGACGACGTACACGAAATTGGAAATCCTACTTTTTCCGATAAATTTAACGCTACCCTCTTAAAAGTTTATATATGTATTCGGCGTGAAACTCTGCCGAGTTTCTTCATTCTTAAACGTTGATTATAGACTTTTGACAATGATGCCGTGAAGAAAAATATTAATCAGCTCCAGTCAGCTGATTGGACTCCACGTGAACGTTCTTGTACACATTCTTGAAGTTTACTTCGAGCCACTTCTTCGGGATCAATAAAAGCATGCTCCACGGAAACACGTTTTCACAAACTTCTCCGAAGAGTTGGAAGATCGATGACGTGCTCGGTTTCTCGAGTATTCGTGACGTTTCTCAAGCCCCGGATATATATCTGAACTTTGACACTTCGGGGAAAACTCTCGGAGGGAAGTAGTCAGGCCTTTATCAGTGCAGCTGATAAGTAATTGAATGCCTTGGGCTACTCTGTATCCTCCCAAGAGGTTTAATTGCCAGCTTTTCGCAGAATCCTCCAGCGATATAACTGCAAAGGAACGTTGATTGCAGATTATTCATCCGAATCGGGAAATATTAACGCATTAACTAATAAATAGATAATACTCGCTACAGAAGCAGCCAAATATCTTCTGACTTAACAACTTCGTCTTCTGCAACCTGTCCTCCCTGTAAATATTGACTAGAGAGTAAATCGGAACATCTGCGTGGATTGTTGAACCCCACAGGGCTCACCAACGGACCCATTTACTCCTTTCGATTAGATTGTCCATTGCTCTCCGACTTTTGACCTCGCACAATACCACGATTAGACGGACACGAGGTCTGCGTGTAAACCCTCGGGTCGCGAGTTCGCGTCTCGTAACGCCGCCGAATGGTCCCGGGGAATTTTAAACCGTCAATTGCGACGAAACGTGACCGGATCGCCGGGGTTATCCTGGATGGCTTCAATTCGCGTCTAGCGAGAAAATGGACCACTCATGATGATTTATTTACGCCGCCAGTCTCGCCGACAGTCCTGAGAACGGTCTTTTATCTCGCAGGTTGAACAAATTACGGCGGAGTACAAGGTCCTCGCTCTCCAGTACCACCCCGACAAGAACGAGGGGAACAAAGAGGCCGAGGAGAAGTTCCAGCGTCTGAAGGTAAGACCCTCGACTTAACAAAGATGGACGTTAATTTCCCCGTCACGTACCGATTAACATCGGCTCCCGCCGTCTTCTCGCGCCTGCATTTGCAGAATGCCAAGGAAATTCTCTGCGATCCGGAGAAGAGGATTAATTACGATAAATGGCGACGCAGCGGTATAGCGATCAGCTACAAGCAGTGGCTGGGCATGAAAGAACACGTCCATCAGGTAAAGAATATCTTTTTCAATTTTCGTTGACCCGGCCAACGTGGCCGGTCCACATTTCTTTTTTTCCCCCCTTTTTTCGTTCCTCGCTCCGACGAGCAACGGTCGATAATTCCCGGTCGTCTTCTTTTTCTCCCTCGGCGGTCGATAACCAGTCGATGCACTGGAGCACGCCGAAGACAAAGGACAGGATGCTGCCCGGTACCAGCGAGAGTTCCCCAGGTCACGGTAAGGAACGTAAACCGACGACGGGTGCCAACGCCCACAGGAGGGCCTCCGAGGGTGGGTCCAATATCCATTATGGAGCTCGGCGAGACCTCAACTGGGACTCGGAAGCTCTCAGCGAAGTCCTCAGCAAGTTCCGCAACTACGAGATTTAAGAGTCCCATTAGTCGTTCCACCCGAAAGACACGGGGATGTACCGTTGCCCTTCCGCGCGAATCACCAACTTGTACGTGTTTCCTTCGAAAGTACCTACGTACCTGCATACGTACACGTCCATGCCCGTATCTCTACCTGCACTTGGAAGAAACAAAATTGGACCAGCGATAACGAGCCTTATTTCGGTGACCAGTATTTTCTACTCCTCGTTTACGAGATTCGGTTGCTTTTCTCAAGATTCTCCTCACTCCAGATGCGATTAGGGTTCGCCTAGGTACCATTCGGTTCGTCCCGTAAGCACCTGCAAAATCGCATTGAAAAAAGAAATTCATTAAGATGTACTTATGTTACGGTAATGAGCATGAATTAGTCATCGGCTGGATATTCGGAAGGAATTTATCCACGCCGGAATGGTTCGTTTGGTTATGGAGAGAGCATTTATTAGAGTAGTTTTCCTTATCTATGAAGGAGGAGCGTATGTGCGAGACTCTAAATCAAAAAACAAATGTATATATATATACAGAATTCGAGGAGGAATATTTTAACGCGCTGATCGCTCGACAAAACTGTCGGCCGCTTAATTAATGAACGTTTACCGAATGAGATGGACAACAAATTATATACATATATATTATCGGGAAGAAATATCCTTCCTTTTCGAATTTTCATTCTTCCTTTTTTTTTTCTTTTTTATTTCACGCAAGTACCGAGAGAGTTGCATCGCCTCTAACGTGTAGTATGTGTCTACGTGTATACGTATACGTACGTCTTGAGGATATTAATACGTATACTTTTCCGCGTTTGAAATCCGAATTTCCGGGAACGAGAGTTTCTATTTTTTAAATTATAAACGACTCGTGCTCGGCCCAAAATCCTTCGGTACTGTGAAAGGTATATTTTTATAAGTAAATGGAAAACTCTTCCTTATTGCGACGAGCATTGCATTCGGTCGAATGGTAACAATGGTTTCGACCAAAAGTCTCTTGATTCACATATCAGCACGATGCTCCGGCTGAGCTGACAAAGTGTTATCGCAGCCAATTTGTCCTCTCTCTTTTTCTTTTTTGGCGTAAAAATGCCCAGGAACACTTCTTGCAACTTAACGACCTACGTATCGAGCTTACTGCCCGACCTTGTCAATTGTCCCTGTTAAGTCGTGAAAGGACGCCATCGGCACTAGATTTTCGGTGAAAGAGAGAAAATCGAAAAATCCTCCCACCTGTACACTGTAAAATATCCGGCATTGTAACCATCATCATCCGACCTAAGGCCAAACCATTTGGTGGCGAGTCTTTCGTCGATCCGCGTATATCCTACAATAATTTATAAAAAGAAAATTACATTAAATGGCTTGGACTCGGACTTTTTTTTACTCTGCATCGATAACGGCGCTAGTCTTTCCAGAGATCGTTACTAGCGATTTAAAGGGAATAAGCGGATACTGGAAAAAACCTCATTTTCGAGTGACTAATAAAAGCAAAAAATCTTTCGCCTTGACGCGAGGGTGAAGAAAAAACGGCGAAACGGAACCGCTAGATCGTGAATACCTTCTATACAAAATGTTGGAAAATGAGAGGCAGGATTATTCGGGAGGTGTATTGAGCGCACGTTTAATGGGTCTCTATTTTAGTACACTAGAAACTCAGCTGAGACCGTGAATGTTATATAAAATATGACACGTATAAAAAGCCCCGTTAAAAGTGTGCGTAATATATTTTTTTAATAGTCTTGCAGTTCCTCCATTTGTAACTGTTAGCGCTTCCCTGAATTGTCCCCCGGTGTAAGTATCGTGAGAATTTTTAATGTGGTTTCCTTCAAGAACACAGAGACGATAAGTTGCCAATTCAAAGACGGAAGATTTGTCGATACGAGGAATTAATTTAACCAATAGGAGAAATTAATAATCGACGCTTAAGAACTGTCTTTGCGATGGTGGATTATCCTTCTCCATGCGGTTGCAACTACGATCTATGGTATACAGTTTATGCGTAATGACCCGTCTGCAACAATTATGCAAGATTTAATTTAAAGCAATGTACCCCCAACCTCGTCAACGACTCCGTCGCGCGAACGTCATCAATGTCCGTCATGAATGATTTTTGAGGTGCGAGATAACTGTGTGACGCATCTAATTTCATGAATCGACGCACAGGCGATCCCGAAGTCCGAGTTCGACTGTGACTTTGAATCCCGAGCAAGGTATCTGATAGTTTTTTGTTAATAATTGAAGTACTGCAAGGAGAAGGTGAGCAAATTGCGTTTGGTCGTTTCGAAATGAATACGTTGAAAAAAAGTTCATCCCGATTCAAAAATAGGTTAGGGGCGGTGTCGAAGATGAGCGCTTGCTCAAAAAGGATTAGGAAAGTGACGGACAATGAGCGCGACTTCCTCGTCTTCGCGACGTCTGTACCTGTAAATGTGTACCTGTACCCACGTCGTATGTACCTGTCGCCTGTTACCATCGTAGATAATTTGGCAGAAACAAAATCTCGAAAAAGGGAAAAGTATGTTATACCTCCGCTCGGACCAGCCGATCGTTGTTTTCATGTGCGCGACTACTCCACGTATTTACAGCACGCCGGTAGACATATCCGACGACGCATGTAACTGTCTACCTTTCAATGCGACTCAATAAATGTAATATGTTGAGAAGGCTCGTTGAAATTTCAGAAAGTCTGTTTCACCACGAGATAACCCCTGTCGATTCCTATCGATTCAGGAACTTCAATTATACCAGTGGGATAAGAAAGCAGTGGTCGGTACGTACAATTATTTTATTTCGAACCGATTTGACATCACCCATCGAAATAAGTCGATTATATACGATAAAAATTAAGTCAGGCTTGGAGCATGCGTGACATACAAAACAAGATGGTATTATCGTTTGAGTACGTGGTTTTTTATAATATAAAAAGCTTGCGAAAATAATCGGAAAGTGTTCATATGTGTTTTCGAAACACCATGAAATTATGGGCGGAGCCCTTTTTGTGGGCTGAACAATCAAACCTACGAGCAGCAAACATGCGCCTCTGATTTTGACGTCATTTGAGATGTAAGTTGTTATATAAAACATGATGTTGCACTTATATTGACACACTTGGTACTGTAACTGGTACCAAATCGTCATCATTCCACATTTTGCCTCACTGTACTCCTATGTTTGAGCTCAAATTGAAACGAGAGGTCTCTCTACAACTTCAACGGGATAAATTACAGTGATTCATGAGAATGTCGGTGATTGAATTGTTTTGTAAAGTATCATCCTGATATTGAGATCAGGATTAAATATTATACAAAATTATAATTTAATGGATGAACGACTTTACATTCTGTTCTTTCGGTAGCTTCCTCAGCTTTCAATAATTAATGAGATCTTAGATTTCCACCACAGACCTATCATTGTGTTTACACATTATGCTCAGGTACATTCGCTTTTAATTTATCCCATCTAATTCAGAAAGATCTCCGCCCATGGCTTTCCAAAAAGCTGTAACTAATTGTTCCGCTGCAACCCTTCTTTGATTTGCTGGCAGAGAAGCCGCTCGTTCTTTCATAGCCATTAATTGACCGAAAAGTTCACCAAAATCGGTATTATCTCCACCCATAATGCCATCTGGAACAGTGGCACTTGAAACTCATTGATACAGTCTCCTAACTTTATCATATTATATATAAAAATAAACACTTATTACCTAAAATATGATCCACTTGCAAGGATTCGCTACTGTCATGCCCATTACCTAAGCAAATACTTCTAAACTGGTCTCCGACTCGGTTAAGTTCCACAGATGATTCCTGAGATAATGAGGGACGATCTGCCGAGAATTATTATCTCAGAATCCTGATTCCTTTTCTCACAGTTGTTATGTAATGCTACGAGGTATGAATTCAAAACCTTTAAGAATCATATTGGACCATGTGTGTGCAGTAAGCGCTTCTATGATTCTGTCTAATCCACAAGTATCGCGATCGTCATATGCATCTGTTGTTTCGTTGCAACCTGCATCATCCAAAGTCACCAACTCGATCTTACGAAGCGTGCACCATTCTACCACTGTGAATACACATGAAGGATAACTGCTGCAGATTCCTCTGGTTACAGAAAACATATCCTCTTACCTTTGTCTCGAAGAACTCCGTTAGGAATCGAACTGCACGCAAGTATGTGAACATCAGCCTCATTCAGAGAAGCTATCATTGGAATCCACTGATCCAAATCGCATGCCTCTTTATCCTGAATTATTTTAAAATGAAATAATAATACTAATTGATATTTCTGTTCTAATAACAATTAAATATATACGTATTACACCAATTCCTCACCGCTTCTGGTTCATGATATACAATCAGTGCTTCCACGTTCTCAGCATCGACTTCAATACTTGTATTTTGCAAAGCGCATAATAAAACTTTTGCCGTGTAGTATTTATTATCTATATTCCAAATGTAATATTCAGTTTCATGCTGAACTGACAGTCTGTCAGACCCAATACCTAAACAAAATATTGTTAGTATGGACATTACAAATCTTCCTTGCCAGAGTCAATCAATATGTTTACTCACTTTGGGCAATTTCGCTTGCTTTCCCAGGGATGCTACTCACAATTAGCACACGTGGTAAATCCATCGTTGTTTCTTTAGAGCGTAAATCCAATTAAGGTACACAATTGTTCATTAACGCCAAGGTAAAAAAGATCCATTGACTGAATCAACCAAAGCTAACGCAAGAAATCACTTTTTCGAGTCTGCGATAATCTTATAGCATACCTAAAACCAAATTAATCATTTAATTGAAAATCTATCATTCATTAAACATTTACAACAATTCCAATTACAGTACCTAGTCCAGCTGTGTCAATTTACGTATAATCTTGCCCCCAGCTAACCTCTATTTTCTCAATCCTGTTTAATCTGAGAGTAGCAAACAATTTGATAGCAAATGCACACGCTCAATATTTTGTAACTATCAACGAGCCACCTAGCGGCCCGCCACCTAAACTGTTCCACATTCAGCATTGCTACCAGGATTGTGTAAATAAAATACCCTAGGTAATTTACGTACCTTTTTACAATAAATTACTAGGTATTTACTTTATTTTAATACCCACCTCTGATAAACACACCGCGGTAACACAAAATCATGTATACATACTACCTTACATCGATTTTATATTTGCTATTGATAAATGTTGTGTCAACATCATTTTATACCAACGTTATCAATTCAAATAGTGGCGCTATTTCTAGGCAACTAAACTGAAGACCTTACTTTTTATTCCAAAATCTTTAAAGAATGAATAACACTAGAGCACGTTTGAATTCATCGGTGTAAATGAATCTGCGAATATCTTTCCCACTGTTCTGCATGACGTCACTGGCTGCAGCTTATTTATAAAATTTCTCCACTCTTGTACTTTGAACTTACTACCTGTAAATTCCGTATATCACGGAAGACTGAAGTCATCATCGCCGGTAAAGTTTCATCAACATTTATTAAAAATATACATTTTTAATAGAACCAATGCAACTCGTATCGCACGTTAGAAACGATATTTCATCTGCGCTATTCCGCGATATCAAAAAAATGATGCTAAAATTTCGCCGAAATCAATTCCTGAATCACGAATTTGAGATCTTACTCGTTATTTCTTAATACAGAGACTTAAGAATTTCGATCATTATTTTAAAATATATTCTGGAATTCATCGAACTATTTATATCTTTATCAATCATATTCCTGTATTACGAATATACATTGTTTGTAATGACGTGTCGTTCGTGATCTTTTTGTAAAAAATATAGAATACGAAGGTGTTGATACTCATTATTGTGATTTCATGGATTTTTTATATTGTACTTACTAGTGTACGTAATCTTATAATAACTTTGGCAAATTAATTTGTTTTTTATGGTTAAAAATAGAAATGGGTGTGTTCTCGTTGCATTATCCCCACCTGTGTATCTTGTAATCATTTGATTTCAGTTACTCGAATACAAGGATCTAAAACCAAAAACAATGAGTCTACAGTGGACATTAATAGCTGGGTTTCTCTATGCAGAGATCTTTATTGTTCTCCTACTAGTACTTCCAGTAGCTTCTCCAAAGAGATGGCAAAAACTGTTCAGATCGAGATTTCTTCAAAGCTTAAGCAATCAGGCATCAATTTATTTCTTAGTACTACTTGCCGTTTTGATTCTGTTTCTGTTGGATGCTATTAGAGAAATGCGCAAATATTCTAACGTTGAAACTGGGGAACATGCTCATTTGGATGCTGAGATGCAAGGTATGCGGTTGTCGTTCTTAACTTCTTATTACTGACACAACTATATAACCTTATTATTTTAGGTAATATGAGATTGTTCAGAGCCCAACGAAACTTTTACATTTCTGGATTTTCACTTTTCCTATGCCTCGTTATTCGTCGACTGGTAATCTTGATCTCAGCACAAGCTACTTTATTGGCCCAAAGTGAGGCCGCAATGCGTCAGGCTCAATCCGCCACCACCACGGCAAGAACTCTTCTGTCTCAGAAAGGAGAGAGTGCACAAAATGATTCCAATGAGGCACACGATAAGGCTGTCTCCGAACTGAAGAATCAAATTAAAGAACTGGAATCTAAAGTTAATGAGTTGGAGAATGAATTGACAAAGGAAAAGAAGGACAAAGAAGCCATTAAATCACAAGCAGCATCTCTGGCTAAAGAATATGACCGCTTGAGTGAAGAACACGTGAAACAGGGACACTCGAGTGGTGATAAGAAAAGTGATTAAATCTTCGAATTCTTCCATTTTACTTATTTTGAATGAAGTTTCACCTATGATTCCTGTTGAGGTTTTCCATCTTATTGTGAGGTTTCACGTTGTATAGATTTATTACATATGAGTTAACATTATTATCACCTCATATTTATACCTGCTACTAGGATTTTATATACAGTAAATGATATATCAACTTAATACACTTTTATTCTTGGTTTACACTATAACCTCCTCTTTGTAATATTCATTAATGCAGAATCCGGTGTATTTTACTGCTTATAGAAGTAGAATTGCACTATCTGATAAGAAAATAAGAGGTACGAAACATTTTCAAATATCAATACTGTCTACTGGTTGACTTCTATTTTTAATGAAGGTGCCTTTTAAATACGAGTGTTTTTTTCTGGGATGCTCGGATCGCAACATTGCTCTTGTCAGTTAAATTTATAAGACAGAAAATTCAAAATAATGAGAGGTATTGTATGTATTCATCTTCATCTTGTTTACACATTTCATTTTTCTCACGTGTCATTAAAATAATGATTATGTCAGATTTTTGTAACCGTACTATTAGCTCCATATGTTGTAAAGGTTGTATAAAGAAGTGTCAGGAGTATATTGAAAGTGAAAAATAAATCATCAAATAAATCTTCCTAAAAGTTCTTTTCTTACTGTATGAATGAGATGTTCAAATGGATTAGCTCGACATATTAGTGAGTACGAAGACCTTTTAGAGTATTTTTAATTCTTATGATACATAACAATATACACTAAATGTATACAGCAATAACAATTTTTACATTGTATAAAGCCATCTCAGTTAACCATTGTTATAGCTCCCACTTTAGGACAGGCCTGCGATTCAGTATATAGAATCATGGGTACGTTTCAACACAAATGACTCCGTATAAATCCTTAAATTAGAGCATAATTTATTGGGAACTAAATAATTAATTTCTGCATAGGAACACAGAATTTCAGCATTGCTATGAATATCAAACGATGTATTAGCAGCGCGCAGCAATTAAACGGGCGCGCCGTTGGTCAACACAGTTTGAAAATTCCTCTACTAACTCGGAACACTTAAGAATCTCTTTTGGGTGATCTTGATAACATTTGAGGACTTTTTGACTATTCTCTGTGCAAGGTACAGCCGAATACTTTGCTATAGCTTCCCTTTTTCCTAAATTAAAATGAAAAATGTAACATGTTTCATTAAACTCTTACCATGCATTATTATCATTGATTAATTAATTCTAAAGGAAAAATAAGTATAAGTAAAGAATTGTTTTCCAAAGCCATCATTAAAATAAATTATTTTGAATGTTTCATAAAACAAGGTTACAGAGTCAAAATGGAATGACATCAATTTAAAAAAACATCCAAATTTAACTCTCATTTCACAAATTACCTGCTGGAGTAGAATATTCTTCCACTGCTCTCTTGTATTCATCCTCCAAGATTTTATTGATTTTTTCATGATTCTTTTGTAGATTCCGTAAGCGATTTCTCCAATATGCTTCTTGATCTTCTATTTCTCTTTGTTTAGATTGTTGCATTTGAAGAGCAGATATAGTAAATCCTGGATATTGAGTTGGATAAGGTGGTACTTCGCCAGAAGGCGGAGGAGCAAAATTCCTTTCAGGAAGAGGAGCAGCCAGTGTAAATGACGTTCCTACTTCCGCAGTATCAGTGGCAGCTACATTTGCAGCAGTTTCACCACTGCCCTGTAAACGTTCTACGATGGCAGTGGACAGCTTAATGACACCAACCTCCTCTTTATTAGGAATGGTTAACTTGCGAGTACTAGAACTGGCACCCATCTTCCCAACCTAAATTATTAAAAAAAAAACTGTATAAATTTCGTAACAGAACCTCATTGACAAAAACAATCTGGATTCAGATTCAATTCATAAAAGTGTGGTTATGACACAATTTACCAGCAGTCCTCAAATTAAGAGCAATCGTTGCCCACCTCAGTGAAGTTACATAAATATTTCAATATATTTACTGTCAGACGGAGCAGTAGGTCAATTGTTAATGCCTTCATACAGGAATGTATGTATGCACATACCTCGCAATGAAGTCACACAACAGGGCTCACTCTCACAAGAAATTTCCTGAGTGTGCGAACAACAGTTGATAAGTGTGATAAATGGACTAACTATTTATAAAGACAGCGACTTCCGACTGTGAAAAAATGTATGTTGAATCACTTCATTATATATATTGTATTATAAACAAAGGATGTATCTAGCATATGAAGTAATATAGAAATAGAAAGATAATTTTTCTACTACATCGAAAACTACATCAGGTGGTAAGTGCGTTAGCCGTCTACATTCTCCACCAGAGGACAGCACAGGACATTGCATGACCCTGCCCGTGAACAATCTCCCAACTCATCTCTGTCGAATACGCCGGGCTCACTCCGGCAACGTCCTACATTTATGAGGATTCACCCAATCCGTTCGTCCAATTGAAAAACGCAATTTTATATTCAAATTTCCGAGTCTAAGCTTCGCGATGATTCCTCAAAGATGGCACCTCTTTATTTCCTAGTGAGTCACCAATTAGATTGTGGCATTAACGAAAATATACTGGCCATGTAAGCCAGCTTTAAACTCGCAATACATACTGCGGCGCCATTTTCAAAAATCTATTACAGAGTCTATTTGAATTGCCCACTTAACATATACATTGTATCGCTAAATATTCTCCTCTTCTTTACCGAAGAAAAACGCTATCCGAAACAATTAAACGTAATTGTCAGTTCAAAATACAAAGGAAGCGTTTAATAAGCACATCGATAATGCATTCACGGTGCTTATCGGTGTTTGTTACTAAGTTTAACCCGTTACTTGGCATCATCAGTATCATCGCCAAAGGCCAGTAGTTGGAACGCGACCTAATGATAAAACATATCAATTTTCAACATTTTCCATTCACCGTGACGAATATATAATAAACTACATAATAAGTATTTCTGCCAGCTATCGTGGCTTCTGTTACCGCATCGCTAATAGGGGCGCATGCGCAGATCGTGTCGATCGCGCGTTCGTCGGCGCATTTAAACCATCAGAACCAGACGATAAGAAGACTCTTCGGAGGTTGGTTTAGATCGTCCAAGCACTTAACACACGTGAGTACTACGACTGCATTATCAAGCGCACATAAGCTCTGTAATTAAATAACTACTAGCCGTAGCAAAACCTCCAAATTCAATCCGTCCAAAATGGTAAAATATAATTACAAAATCGCGTCACCTTCGTTACGGTCTGATCGCGGTCGAATTCAAAGAGTAGGTACGTTTAATTGCGTTCAGATAAGAAGATCGATTAATCTGGCAATTTTTGACGACATGTCAATTAGTAACGCATTTCTACTGACCTAATGTACATTTCATACTTTAATTGTAGTTTAATAACAATGACCGGTTTCCTTGCACTAGAATAAATTCGCATGGACATTAGTTTTAGCAGAATATAAAAGTAATGCAGGAGTAATGATATTAGGTTGATGCATAAATTCGTGCGTTGCTTTCTAAACGATTTTAACAAAAAAAAACCGCACCCGTGCGTAAATTTAATTATAATTTGTGTAATTTTTACTAAGGTGCAGGTTCAAGGTCGAATCTACTGGACGTCGAACTGCAGACCATCGATGACCTATCGAACACAAATCATGAACGTTACACACGACGAAAACATCGATTACATCGGCCAAGTCAAGAATTTCGGGCAACTCTGGTACCTCGTAAATCCTTACGACTCTACCTTCGAGTCGCCAGATGCGGTTCCTGATTATCAGCAGCAGGTAAACTTCGATCCCCTTCAAACCCTTATCTGCGTTAAAGACGTCTAAGCTTATCAAGCATCTTCGCAATTACCTTTTACAGTGATTTCAGCCGTATCTGTAAGCTACTGCGAGAATTGTTCTGCAAAAAGACTGCCCGCTTTTTCTGCAAGAAGGAAAACCGACATTTCCAATCATCAACAAATAGATAACATACGAGTATTATTTTGCAGGAACGTCGGAGACTACATTATGAAGATATCGCCTTCTTTAATTTTTTTTTCATGAGCAAGGGGATTCGCGATTATTAGAAATGGTTAAGTTTTACGTTCCGTAAATCTATCTTTCGTTATATCTTATCTGCTCGATTCGTTGTGCCGAATAACACGAGACGTGACTCTCAGAAATGTTCGTTGCTATTTTGAAAGCTCCTCTAAAAAAAGATTGCCTACTACCTTCGATGGGGAAATGCGCCTCTGTTAAATTTAATGCGCACTTTTGCAGGCTTCGCTTCGCGGAATATAGAGGAGCTGTGGAATTGGCGATCAAATCGAGTAGAACGGGATCAGCTCCGAAGAGCTCCGTATAGAGTTCGATTTGACCCCTTTCGGAGTACTTTATGAGGGAAAATTGCCACAGGCGTATCTCAATATTACAGCCACCTGAAATAATAACCAGTTCGGGCGTAAATCCACAATTCGTCCTTGAGAAGTTTAAAATCTAGAGTTTTCGCAGTCAGCCAAAAATGTACTTTTCTTCTTTATCGCAAGTTGTCACATCGGCAATATTTTATGAAAATGCAAAATGCGTACAAAGATTTCGCGACAGACTGGGTAGCATGATAACGTAGCGATAACACTGCAGTTACTGAAACGAGATTAGAACCAACGGGCTCGTTAAGGAATAGATACACATGCATGTAAACATTAGACGAAGTGTTGGATATACTCTGCTACTCGTAGAAGTACGCGACGGAAATGGGAACGAAAAATATATTCCATTCCAAAGTTCTGCTCTTCATGGTCGAATTATTTCAAATCCAGATATTTTTATAGGGAAGAAATCTGATAACGAACAATGCTCTACGATCTCGACTTCGTTACTGTAATAATTGCTCGTAATCGACTTGATGTAACCGAATTCAACCCATAACGGTAAAAGTCGAGCAACTATAAGTGTAGTAATTATCCAATTTAATCGTTATGGTATTAAGTCGGTGACCGTAAACATGTCAATCTCAATGCTACGGTGGTAATTTAGTGCCACGCACGGCACACGCAGAGTGTACGTTTATATTACTCGCAAGTTATATATGTTATGCACTCGTCAGATATTATTTACAGAGAGTCGGAGAAAACACGTATCGTTAATTTGACTTTAACATTTTTCAGGTCTGGCTCTCGTTTTTCGTCCTCATCGTCCTGGAACACCTCATACTGCTCCGAAGGAAGAAAACCTCTTTTCGGTTGAACGATCAAGTGACTTCTCTTTCTCACTGGATACTTCAAGAATCCTGGCGGTAGGTTTCCATGACTTTAAAAGTATGCTGACAAATGCGTGAAACTGCATTCGGAACAGTTCGCTTAACGCGTTACGTCGTCGATGAATGTTAATTTCTGCTACCGATAGTTCTGCCGGCCGGGTTTTGTATTTCCTTGGAATACAGGTAACGCAAACAAGTTTAATGTACTTTAAATTCTCGCCAAGCCTTAGCCAACGAACGTCCGAGATTACTTCATTCACGTCGCCTCCCGACGTATGAAGAAAATTATTATTACCCGCATTATTAACGGCATTATCGATCGTATTAAAATGTCATTATCACCCGGTAGGATGTTACATAATGGCTGACCGAGAAACTGCTGGAACGGGGAAAACGGCAATATCGGTGGACCTTGAATATTGGAAAGATTTGCGACTTTCTTTTTCTCTTTTCAGGATTCTTTTCCGTGGAGTCGAATATTACGCGTACATCTGGATTTACGAGAGGTATCGAGTATGCGGTCTACCCTGGGATTCCCTTTGGACGTGGTATGTTACCGTCATTGGTGTGGACTTCTGTTACTACTGGGTGCATCGTGCAAATCATGGTTGTCTCCTATCTCCTCGCAATCGCATCGTTTAAATTCAATAAAACCTTTGCCGTCGTTTACAGAAATCCATGTACTGTGGGCCCAGCATCAAGTACACCATAGCAGCGAGGAATTTAATCTTGCTGTCGGTTTGCGGCAGTCCGTCTTACAGCATTGGTGCAGCTTCGTAAGTGATATTATTAACCAGGCTACGTATCTCTAACTAGGTGACACACGGACGAATCAGATCAAATTACAAACGAGGTCGTCTTTCAAACTGGTTTTAATCGAAATTAAAAACTTCCTTCTTGTACAAATAATTTCGGTATGAATCTTTTGTATCTAAGAAACTATTGCGTCACGTATGAAATACTCGGAATATTAATTAATTGTAAAATTCATCAAAAAGTATTTTTCATACAGGTATATGGTAATTCCTATCGATTGGTTGCAGGTGTTCTACTTGCCACTGGCCTTGGTCATACCTCCATCGCATTTTATAACTCATCACCAATTAAATTTAGTGTACCAGTTATGGATACACACGACCGTTGTCAAGAATCTAGGACCTTTGGAATTCATTTTAAATACTCCGAAACATCATCGAGTTCATCATGGTGACTCTTTTTTTTTAATTTTGATTCAGCATCATTTCGGAGAAAAATTGTACTGACTATTATTTCTCTAGGATGTAACTTATATTGCCTGGATAAAAATTATGGCGGCGTGTTTATAATATGGGACAGAATATTTGGAACCTTTATGGAAGAAAGACCAAAAGAAGACATAATATATGGTCTCGTAATGAATCCTCGTTCGTTCAATCCGCTGTATTTACAGGTAAGTCCAATGAAATATAAGGATTAAAAAACAAAAATTTCCACGCAACGTAGGTAATGTTCCGTCAAAAAATTGTCGAACGTATAATTTTAATTCACAGATTTTTTATACAAGAGAAATGCTCAAAAAATGTTCAACCATGACGTTTTGGGGAGATAAACTCTCTGTGATCTGGAAGGGTCCTAGTTGGTTTCCAAGTAGTCCTCGCCTCGGACTGGATGAATTTAAACTCAATGTAAGAAAAGAAATATTTCTGGCACGGAACAATTGCAGTAATTTAATTTTTCTTCACAGATCACGTCAAGAATTAAATATGATCCACACGTTCCAATGTGGCTAACTGTATATATATCTTTGCAGTTTTGTTTGATTCTTTGCAGTCACGTTCAACTCTACGGCAACGTACTCGTAAGTTTATTTTTTCTGCAGCTTCACGATTTATTACCGTACTATTACTTTTATTTTGTAAAATGTCTTCATTTCAGGATTTAAAAGACACTGACTTTAGACTGATAATGTTAAACAATTTATTTGCATTGACAACAATTGGTTTGCTATTTGACAGATCAAGGTATGCCAGCCTTGCGGAACTAATCCGCTGCATATTTTTTTTAATGACGGTAAATAATATGTATAATAAGACTTTATACAAGGTAGTATTCTATGTGCACATAACGTCGACTTGCTTATGGGTATGTTACATAGCACGTAAAACAAGACTTGACCGAGGACTGAAAACACAGCGAATCAAAGACGCGTGAACATATTTAAATACCATTAGACTTGAACTCTATTTATTAGTGTCGCGATAAAAAACAGTATAAACAGATGTGAGACATCCTTGTAATCAAGAATAGTATTTCATGAGGTAGCTTTGTTACTTAACGACCTTGAGCCACACATAACCCATGAATATCGCAGTTTTTACTAGAACCATTATTCCTGTGGTTACCGAACATTTTTTTAAAAAATTGGTGATAACTTTTCATCTTTACATTTGTATATTTCTCCTTTGAAAAATTTATATGATTAAAATTATGTATAAATAAAGAGAGAAAATTTGTCTCCTCAACAAAAATCTAAGAGAATTCTAATAGTGTCTCCTAAAATTTTCGCATAAGATATGTAATAATGCTATTAAATAAACTCATGTTAAGTACATTCGCAATATAAATAGTTGTGGTATTATGTCGTATACAGATTTGTTAACTTTTATTATACTCCAATCCATGGTACAAAATTATACATGTAAATTTCGCTTTGCCATGTTTTCAGCTATATTTGCTCCCACAACAAGAATATAAGTGGTCACGTGAAAGTACCCATTACATAATGGATCACTGTTACTTTTCAAAATCAATTATTACATCTGTACCTTCACACGATTATAAGATAACTAGAGCGATTCATTCTCACTGAGTATTAAGAAAAATGTAACATGTCGCCATATTAAACAAATCGGCACTGGACTAATCTGAAATGGACATTTGATAATTCACTTATCGCCGTTATGAGATATTTATATTTACCAGATGAACGATACATCCACTCCGACATCAAGGCTGATTGTATCCCCTACTGTCCATTTAAATTGGAATTTGAAGGCAGGCATATGGGATTTTTAAAACCTCCAATACATCTACAAAATACTGTCTTGGGATAGATTCACGGTTTCCAATTGAGGAAACTATCTTGAATAATGATTTGTTTGAATATACTATTTGATGTTGGTTGTGCTACTCTTCGATTACGTTGGGCCTCAAAAATGAATGTGACTTTTTCTTTAGCTTCACTGCGAGGTATGTCACCTCTAAGACTCAGCAATCTGATCAAGTGATCCTCGGTCATGTCTGGGTACTTTTCAACTAACGAATGTAAGTCAAGGGAGAGAATTTCAGAATCTTCACAGCGCAATACTTCAGCTAAACGCTTGATAATTTCGAACGGAGAGTCAAAATTAGCAACCTTCGGTGCAATTCTTGTGAAAAAACTCTTCAACTTTTCTGCTTCAGTCATTATCTTAGAGGTACAAGTTAAGCACTCATCATATGTTTTCAGAGATACTTTCCTTTGTAACATTGCCGAAATATAACGCTTAGCGATTAGATTTTGAGCTTCTGTAATGACATATTCAAAGTTTTTTACACGCAGATGATTATAATCTTGAAAATAGTCATCCAAGGTTACACAAATAGTTTCCACTGGAATAGGAGAAGACAACCATTTCGGTGTAAGCAGATCTTGAAAATGAAGTTCCAAATCCAGGAAGGATTCTTCCAATAAAATCATAGCTGCTTCATTCCTTAGCTGTTGATAATTGGCAAGAAGTGTTTCGAATTTAACAGCTGCCTCTCCACTACAATCGGCATCTGGTACCCAGTATAACTGCTTCATTTGTTGTGCTAGCTCAATGAATTGCAAACAATTATTTACTACTGTAATCATATGATGAGTAAAGTATGGAACTCGACTTCTATCTTCAAAGTGTTTGCTCTTAAATTCAAGTATTGCTTGACGGTACATATATCCATACTTAGTCACTTGGTCGATGCAAAGAACGAGGGCCTTTGCCGTTAAGTCTGCACCAATTGTTTTGGTAACTTGAAGATTCTGATCCACCATTTGGAAAATTATAACTGGTGCAGCTGTATGATAGTACGTCTCGTGCGAACTACCTTCGGGTAGAACACCACTCCACCAATCAACCTTTTCCGTTTCAAGAGTTTTCTTGGTCCAGTCTTCATAGTTTCGACACATGTTCTTTAAATACTTTTCTTGCATTTCGCGCAATATCTCACCACTTAATAACGGCCCAATGTCAGCTATGTCTATGTTTAATTCAGGATGGCTCATTAATTCTGGACCCATATATGTGTTTACAATCCATCCTAATAAAGAAACATACTCGTTTCCTTCAAGACCACCTGCTATTATATCTTTAAGGTGTTGAGATAAATTAGTGTGATACATTTCAACAAATTTATGTACAATATCGTAATGAGGAGGAAAACACGGGCCACAGAGTGTCTTGACAACCCTTAAATCTTCTAGAATCAAAAGTCTTGTCAACTCCAAATATCTGACCAACCACATTTTATCGTCAGCCCTCTCTTCCATTTGAATACCTTCAATTCTATTAGCTACAGATTTCTCAAGAACTTTCATAGCCATTTCTTTCCACTTTTTAGGCCTGCCTGGGGGTAAAAAACCACTTTGCCGCTGTCTCTGTATTGCAAATTGATCAGCTTTCTCCTCCCTTTCGATAATACGAAGGGCAGTGACAATGACTGTAGGTTCCTTTCTTACCGTATTTAATGTCCTGCTTAGGACTAATCTAATTTGCTTTTCCATAAGTAATGATAATGTTTCAACTTCTTCAAAGTAAGCCTTCAACATAACCTTAGTCATATTATCAGCCGTTGACTGATTTGGGAGTTTGTGAAGTTCATAAAGCAGATCATCTCTGGAATTTTCAAGATCCATAAGACTTTGGTGGGCATGCAGCAACTTTCCTTCATTAATCCACTGTTTGGTCTTTTCCACGCTTTCTGGCACGGTAAATATATGCTTTAAATTCTCCTTAGCAGTAGCATACTGAGAATGGCGCATATTCTCTTCCTGAACCACTTGTAATTTTGTATATAATTCCACTGTAGCCTCAAATGACTGCCGAATAGATTCAAGCTCATGTTGAACAGCAGATATGCTTTCCAATGAACTTTGTAATTGATCAAAACGAACTCTTACTCCATCCAACTGACTCTGCATGGCAGTTTTGAGCATAGTCTCGACAGAAGCCTTCTTTCGACTAATCCTACGTTTATACTGTTCTACTTTCTCTAACTGACCAGGACGTTGAAGCATATTTATTACATGTTTTGTAGCCGTCGCTCTAGCTTCGTCTTCCAACTTTTGTAAGTCAATCATTGTGACGAGTCTTACAAGACCGTGTAACTTACTTCTTAATAAAGTCTATTTGATTTTAGTTGTTTAAAACATGGTTTAGCGTTCAATAGACTCTGAAATAGGAATGCAGCAAATGAAGAGAATAGTAATCTGTTGCACTATCGTTTCTACCTTAATTGCAGAAAATCAAAATAGACACGAATGAACACATCCGATGAACCGCCGAACAAAACACTGTGAAAGCTAACGTACGAAACTGTACGAAACCAAAGGGCAGCACAGGATCTGATCGCGCGACCCTGCTCGTGAGCAATCTCCCAACTCATCTCTGGTATGAAATCCTTTTGACTACATAGTCAAAGGGTTAGCTTCTCACACTGAGCCAGGCAGGGCTGCCAAAAATCCCTCTCCATTTTCCCCTCTCCATGGATAGGGATTTTATCTCCAAATATATCACTGCCATCTGGCTATGCCCTTCCGAAACATTTCCACGCTTAGTATGGTTATACACCTTATTCCACGACGGGTTTGCTACGCTGCTGAGATTATGTGTTGCAATCTTGCGGAGTTTCCGGAGCTAAATACATTTTTTTTTCAGAAACATCCAGAAAGTGATAATAGAAAAATTCTCCCTACGAGTTCGCCTTATCGCTTGTTGGTTTATCTACGAATGGCTCCAAAATGGCGCTACGCGTAGCAGAAGCACGTGTTCCAATGAGATTTTAAGATTTTTTTTGATAGCGGAAGAAGTACTGGACTACATAATGGAAATTGAAGGCCAGAAGCTTTTACGCTGCTTTTACGCGTCGAGAGTGTTTCCATAGCTTATTAAGAATTGTCAAACGTGCGTTCAATCAGCACTGATTCACGACAGACTAATACAATAACCTCAAAATGGTGAAGGAACAGTTCCGAGAGACTGATGTTGCACGTAAAATGTATGGTATTAATTTTCATGTTTTTGAATAATTTTGTGTGTGTTGTTTTAAGAGCGAGACTGTATTTAATTAGGGAATTCTTGAAACAGATCACATGTTTCCTTTGGAGTGGATAGTCGCCACAACATGGAACGCCAGGCTCACATCCATGTTGTGGCGAAGAATCTCTATACCCAAGATAGCCAGAGGACACCAGTTCAGTATGGTGTTCTTGACAGGAGAATGGTAATCATTTGTTATATTTGTATTGAAATGTTACTAAGTCTAGATTTCTGAATTGGTTATATCAATTTATGACTTATAGGGAATATGTTCGAACATGAGCAGTTGCGGAACATGTGGAAAATCATTGAATGAGTGCATTGGTCACTTTGGGTACATAGACTTAGAACTACCTGTCTTTCATGTTGGTTATTTCAGATCGATCATTGGAATATTACAGAGTATTTGCAAGGTGCGTTCACTATAGGTTTTCAAAGTAATGAAATATTAATTCTTGTAATTGTATTTTACAGAAATGTTCACATGTACTGTTGAACAGTACGGATAAAAAATTCTACTTGACCCGTGTCCTTAATCCTAATTTAAGTTATCTCGGTCGTAAGGCTTTAAGAAGGCAAATTTTAGATAAAGCAAAAAAGATAACTACTTGTCCACATTGTGGAGAATTAAATGGAATGGTTAAGAAAGCTGGCTTACTCAAAATCGTTCATGAAAAGTATAAGACCAAGAAGAAAACTGATCCCATTGTCCAACAAAAATTAGCTGAGTATAATGATGTATTGGAAGACAATAAGGAAATAGAAGGAATTTTACAAAGTGGACTTGTATACGTATTAAATCCATTGGAGGTACGGTCATTGTAATTAAATTTTCATATAGTACTCCAGTAATATTAAAATTCTTTATAATCCCCCTCAGGTACAGGGTATATTGGAACGGATACCATCATGTGATGTCCCATTACTACTCATGAATCCAAATTGTGCATTACCGAAAGACTTGATATTAACTAGGATTCCTGTACCACCAATTTGTATTAGGCCAAGTGTTGTGTCTGATTTAAAGGCAGGTACAAACGAAGATAATTTAACGATGAAGTTATCTGAAATTGTATTCATTAATGATGTTATACAAAAACATAGACAAAGTGGTGCAAAGGTACAGATGTATAATGAAGATTGGGAATTTCTTCAATTACATTGCGCATTGTATATTAATAGCGAAATGTCGGGTATTCCACTTAACATGCAGGTTAGTTGTCTCATTATTTTAATATGAAAACTATACATTTTTGAATTACCTTTTGTATGTTATTGTAGCCAAAAAAATCAGGTAGAGGATTGGTACAGAGATTAAAAGGAAAGCAAGGTCGTTTCCGAGGTAATCTGTCTGGCAAAAGAGTAGACTTTTCTAGCAGAACTGTTATATCCCCTGATCCCAACCTTCGGATAGAGCAGGTAAGTTTTATGCATTACACTAAATAGTTTTATGTTCAATGTTCAAGAAGAACTTCAGAAGATTCAATAATTTTACATTTATATTCTCAGGTTGGCGTACCAATTCATGTTGCAAAGATTCTAACTTACCCTGAACGTGTGAATCGCTCAAACATTGAATTGATGAGAACTTTAATACAAAATGGTCCAGATGTTCATCCAGGAGCTAACTTCGTACAACAGGGCAAGACACAATTTAAAAAATTTCTACGTTATGGTAACAGACAAAAGATTGCACAAGATTTGCAAGTGAGTTTTAAAAGTGCTATTATAACAAAAAAGCTATCACATTAACATATCTAAGAATTAATATGAATTTTATAGTATGGAGATGTAGTCGAGAGACATCTCAGAGATGACGATGTAGTGTTATTTAATCGACAACCCTCCTTACACAAATTGTCAATCATGGCTCACAAAGCCAAAGTACTTGAACACAGAACATTCAGGTTTAACGAATGTGTTTGCACACCATACAATGCAGATTTTGATGGGGATGAAATGAACCTGCATTTACCACAATCTGAAGAGGCAAGAGCAGAAGCCTTAGTGTTGATGGGGGTAAGTGAATAAATGCTCAACGAAACTTTGAGAACATTTGTTGAATGTTTCTTTATTGTAAAAATTATAATTAAGTAAAGAACAAACATATTAAATCATCAAAATGTTTCAGAATAAAGCTAATTTGGTAACGCCTCGTAATGGAGAGTTACTTATCGCAGCTACTCAAGACTTTATTACGGGTGGCTACTTGTTAACACAAAAGGATACATTTCTCAATAAAGATCAAGCATGTCAATTGGCTAGTTGTCTCTTAGCAGGTGCAGATGCAGGTATGCATATTGATCTTCCTCGAGCTGCAATCTTAAAGCCGCGAAAACTATGGACTGGAAAACAAATATTTAGCTTAATTTTAAGACCAACTAAAAAGTGTAACATCAAAGCCAATTTAAAGACAAAGGGTAGAGCTTATACCACCAGTGAGGAATTATGCATCAATGATTCATGTAAGTTCTTATACGAAGTAAGTAAAGCAAAGCAAAGCAAAAAAAAATATAGAGCACTCTAGAAAAAGGTAATACTTGTTTATTCTTTCAGTCGTAATTATTCGCAATTCAGAGCTTTTAGCAGGCTCGATGGATAAATCGACCTTAGGCTCAGGATCGAAACAAAATATATTTTATGTCCTTCTTCGAGATTGGGGAGAAGATGCGGCAACGACAGCTATGTGGAGATTAGCCAGAATGGCTAGTTACTTTCTTATGAATCGAGGATTTTCTATTGGCATCGGTGATGTGACCCCTGGTCAAGGGTTGCTTCGAGCGAAGCAGGAACTCTTAAATGCTGGGTATGTGCGATCTTCAAATAAATATTTAAAACACATTATTTATTGTTAATCGAATTGAAACATACTGGTAGATACTCTAAGTGCACTGAGTATATTCGACAAATGGAAGAGGGCCGCCTTGTTTGTCAACCTGGGTGTACGGAAGAAGAAACATTGGAAGCTATGATGTTAAAGGAACTTTCAGTAATTCGAGACCATGCTGGGAAAGCTTGTTTGAAAGAACTCCATCCTAGTAACAGCCCTTTGGTAATGGCCTTGTCAGGCAGTAAAGGAAGTTTTATCAACATTTCTCAAATGATTGGTAATTTTTAATGAATTAAACTGTGTTAGTTGAAAGAGCTTTTGAACAAAGCAAGTCCTCTGTGCAGCTTGTGTTGGCCAACAAGCCATTAGTGGTCGTCGGGTACCTAATGGATTTGAAGACCGAGCTCTGCCACACTTCGAAAGACATTCCAAAATTCCGGCTGCCAAAGGTTTCGTCGAGAATTCATTTTACTCTGGACTTACGCCAACTGAATTCTTTTTCCATACGATGGGTGGACGCGAAGGTCTTGTGGACACGGCTGTGAAAACCGCGGAAACCGGTTACATGCAAAGGAGATTAGTCAAAAGTTTGGAAGATTTGTGTCTGCATTATGACATGACTGTTAGAAATTCTGTAGGCGACATTGTGCAAGTTTTATACGGTGGAGATGGGCTGGATCCTACGTATATGGAGGGTATATATTTTTCTCTGATCTATCGTAGTGCAGAATATATACCTATGTGCGATTTTAAACGTTATCACTTGACAGGGAAAGATTGTCCAGTCGATTATAAAAGAGTTTTGGATCATGTAAAGGCGAAATCTCCTTATAAGGATGAAGCGTCCCTGGATGGACCGAGCGTGATAAAGGCTACTAACGAATTACTAAATTCTGAGGAGTACGCATGCCTTAGTATTGAATTTAAACAGGAGCTTGAGTAAGTTTATTATGAACTATATAAACTCTAGTACGCTCTTTCTTACAGGGATATAAATGTCGAATTTTTTTTTAGGGTTTTTCTCAAAACGGTAGCGCGTAAAATCGCTCGTCTTAGGCAAAATGTGACGTCAAAGTCTCGAGTGATATCGCAACTGGAGCGACTCACAGTTTCGCAATTGGTAGAATTTATTCACACTTGTAAAGAAAAATTCATGAGAGCCAAGATCGAGCCAGGTACAGCAGTGGGTGCCCTTGCGGCTCAGAGTATCGGAGAGCCTGGAACTCAAATGACATTAAAAACCTTCCACTTCGCTGGAGTAGCTTCGATGAACATCACTCAAGGTGTACCGCGTATCAAAGAAATCATTAATGCAAATCCAAAGATCAGCACACCGATTATAACTGCTACACTGGTGAGGAAGCTCAAGAATCTCCATATTGAATTAACTACGAATTTCTACAATTTATATCTTCGTAGGAAAACGACACGGATCCAGAATTTGCAAGACGAGTTAAGGGCAGAATAGAGAAAACTACATTGGGCGAGGTAACTGAATACATAGAAGAAGTTTATTTGCCCGATGACTGCTTCCTCTTGGTCAAACTCGATACAGACAGAATTAAATTATTGAAGCTGGAAGTTGACGCCAACTCCATTCGATACTCGTATGTTTATTATTCCTGTTATATTTGGCACATAAAATATATGTTATAAGAAAGTATATTTCTTTAAGGATATGCATATCGAAGCTAAGGCTACATCCTAAATTGGTGAATGTCAGAGGGGACTCCATCATCACCATCAGTCCAAATAGACAGAAGCATAGTTTAAATTCAGCTCTCACACAACTCAAAGAGATGATACCCAATGTTGTTATCAAGGTGAACTTGAAAAGTATCCATGCAATTTATCTTTTGACTTGTACATGGAGTACATGGAGTTACTTTGATTTCAGGGATTATCATCCGTAGCTAGAGCTGTTATTCATAATGATGACTCCAGTGGAAAGACAAAGTACAAGTTGTTTGTCGAAGGTGATAATTTACGTGAAGTTATGGCAACGCACGGAGTCCTCGGATGTAAAACCACGTCGAATAATACAATAGAGGTGCGGCGAGAATAGATAACAATGTCGTTGATTAATTTATCGCCTGTCGTAATCGGATTAATAATTTGCAATTTATTAGGTATTTCGAACGCTCGGAATTGAGGCAGCAAGAGCAACGATCATGACTGAAATTAAGTTGGTGATGGAAAATCATGGTATGAGCATTGACAGAAGACATCCAATGTTAGTAGCTGATCTGATGACAAGTAGGGGAGAAGTTCTTGGTATCACGCGACAAGGTTTAGCAAAGATGAAGGAATCAGTACTGAACTTGGCATCGGTAACTCCTACAACCTATATTCGCCGATCGAAAATATTAAACTTGAATTAAACTAATACTTGTTTTTTAGTTTGAAAAAACAGCGGATCACTTGTTCGACGCTGCTTATTATGGGCAGAAAGATGCAATATGTGGAGTGTCCGAATCTATCATAATGGGCATACCAGTTCCTGTGGGAACTGGAATTTTCAAGTTACTTCACAAATATCCTTTTCTAAAATCTCGTTGTACGGTGTTATTTAGAATTTACAAAAATTATCCATGCATAGTAAATTATTCTTTCAGAATATATTCCTTAACGATTCAATACAGCTGACAAGGAAGAGCCACGCAAGAGACAACTGGTATTCGACGATCCGCAGTTTCACAAGAAACCTACGAAGACTGTAACATAACTTAACTGTAAAATCCTAAAATTTAATAATAAAACACTATTTAATTTATTACGAGACTCGAATGAATCATATTCTTTGGCTCCTATACCACCGCTATAAAAGTAGGGAGAACTGGTTGCTATGGAGATGAATTTTGTTTGATCTAAATTGATTCAATATCCGCATACTCTACCGCCAGTTAATGCCAGATAAATTACATATTTCCTATATCGAGGTTTATGCTCGCGAAATAGAATTTTGTTATAAATGGGTTCATGCCGGACAGAAATACCAGAAATACAACTACCGGTTTGTTTGAGCTTCTCAAGTTCCGCTTTTGATTAACATAAAAGAAGTAAATGTCTCGCTCGGTGTAAAGCGGAAATGGTAAATGAAAAAGAGTTCTGGGTTGAAATTCGAAAGGACATTCCAAGATATAACAGGAAGCCAAGGGTCGTGCCAGCTTTTACGATTCAAGCATTGCAGGTAAAATATTTGAAGACATACTACGTAGATAATTGACTTTCTTCAATTTTATCGTAACATTGTTTTGACAGGAAAATACGGTTGTTGCCAAACCTCCTAAATGCGGTTTATATAAACCGCGGCCGCCAAAACCATCGACCTTTCGACAATTCTACAGTCGCGGAGTATTCCCAATTTCAATGGAAAACGACGGCTATGGGCCGAAGATCAATTGGAAAGTTAAAATTGAAGAGTTAGATTTTCAACATTACCTTCCTCTTTTTTTCGACGGTTTGACGGAAACCGAATATCCGTACAAGTTTTTGGTCGAACAAGGAATATCTGACATGCTGGAACACGGTGGTCCAAAAGTGTTGCCAGTGGTACCGCAATTAATTATTCCTATTAAAAGTTAGAATCACGATTTTCTCTATAAAAATGACGATTCGGTAACGAAAGTAATTTTTAAATGAATATATAATGCTAATTTTTAGATGCTCTGAATACAAAAGTGCCGGCAATAATATGTAACACCATGAGAACCTTACAACGGCTGGTCCGTTCCGCTGATTGCGTGGGCGAGGCGTTGGTGCCATATTTTAGACAAATTTTACCTATTCCCAATTTACTTAAAGATAAAAATGGTAAGAACTTGATGTTGACATTTATTCCCGCTTTATATAAAATAATTTAAATGTTTCAGTAAATCTTGGAGAAGGTATAGATTATTCTCAACAAAAGGGAGAGAACGTCGCAGATCTAATACAAGAAACTCTTGAAGTGTTAGAAAGGTACGGAGGTGAGGATGCGTTCATTAACATAAAGTATATGGTTCCAACGTATGAATCTTGTATGATGAATTAAAATACTCTAACTGTGATCGTACAGATTAAGAATTCAATGTAACTTTAATAATCGTCACCCTGGAGAAGTTATGTAAATGAAGGAAATATAGAATTGTACGAATCTGTATTAGAGCTGCCATAAAAATGTGTATTAATTTTATATTTCCTTTCTGCAAAAATTCCTATACACATTTACTATTTAAAAAATCATTGTATAAAACTTTTAGAGTAACGCGTACTTAATGCTGACACATTTTGAAGGACTATATTTTTCCCGCGTCTTCTTTCAAAGTGACCGTCCTATTAAAAATCAGCTAAAACCAAAAAATAGTGATTACCAGAAGATTATTACATTTTTTTTTAATGTAGATTATTGAAATTACCTTGCTTGGCTTTGTGTCAGGATCGACACAAAAGAAGCCAATTCGTTCAAATTGAAATTTATCAAAAGGTTTTACAATATTTGCCATGCTTCCATCAATATAACCTACGACTTCTTTTTTACTGGCAGGATTAATATCGCTCAAAAAACCGTTAGGAACTTCAGCAGGGTCTTCTGGATTTTTATGCTTAAATCTGAAAATTATGGTATCTGTTGTAGTAGTGTCAAAATTTTGTTCAAGTACTCACTAATTTAATACTATTACTTACAAGGGTTCATAAAGCCTCACTGATGAAAGTGTTGGTTGACTGACCCAGTGTATAAACGCTTTTGGTTTGTTACTTTCCGAAACAGGCTCTTGTTTTACAATTAAATTTACAATTTGACCACTAGCATCTTTCTCTACACTTTCCAACGTAAGAACCACTCCTGCATGTTTGAGACCTACAGCTTGTTTAGGAGATAATCGTCGGAAGCCCTTCTCTTCGGTCTTGAAAAATATAAAATATAAATATTATACATACGGAACATGTTTCACTTTTTTCATATTCTACAGCTTAACTAACAGACCTCTCGAAAATCTGAAGCTTCGATGTAAACCACTTCATCAAACATTATAGTATGTTGACTTTTATCTGGTTCATTGGGAAAGTCTGGGACAGTAACTTTGATCGGTGACTCGTGAGGGAAGTTACTAATGGTTATCTTAAGAGGATCTAAGACAGCCATGTATCGAGGAGCTGTTATATTTAAGACATCTCTAACCGATGCTTCTAAGACTGCAGGATCCACTACAGCTTGAGAACCGGTTACTCCCATTAAAGCACAAAAATTGTTAATAGCTTCAGGTGGGAACCCACGTCGACGCAACGCGGTAAGCGTAAATAACCTACGGCATGAAATGGAATGTTCAGTAAAGAAAATAATATATGTATCACATCAAGAGTGTTTCTACTTTACCTAGGATCATCCCAATCAGAGACAATGCCTTCATCTATCAGCTTAGCAATTTTTCGCTTTGAGACGACAGTATTGCTAATATTTAACCTTCCATATTCCCACTGAACGGGACAATACAGATCTAATGAATTACACAGCCAATAATAGGATGACCTTCTTGATTGAAACTCCTTTGTGCAAAGTGAATGGGTAATATTTTCTATACTATCACACAGGCAATGGGTGAAATCATACGTCGGGTAGATACACCAAGTATCTCCAGTTCGATGATGTGGAGCATATTTAATTCTGTACGCAACAGGGTCTTGTTTTCCTTCTTCCAATGTTACCTTCATCCTCAATGTTGCTTCTCCTTCATCAAACTTTCCTATTTTCATATCCTGTTAAATGAAAGTGTTTATTTTGTTGTCTTAACACTATAAGTAATACAGTTGGAAATACTAACGTCAAAAAGTTCAAGACTTTCAGCGATAGGCCTTTCTCGCCAAGGACTGGGGGGTGGGTTAAAGCCCTTCATTTCTTCATTTTTCTGGTGGCAGATGTAAGCATGTCCCTTTTCTATAAGTTTCACAGCTAACTCATACAATTGTTGAAAGTAATCAGAGGAATGAGTGATTTTTGCTGGCTTATACCCAAGCCACTCGACCATTTCTGAAATTCCAGTGAAAAATTTCTCTTCCTCCTTTTCAGGATTTGTATCGTCATAACGCAAGTAGCAAATTCCATTATGCGCTGCTGCATACCTGTGAGTTTATTTCTTATGTTATGTTTATTTAATACTTTCTTTCTATTAACAGGAAACTAACCCAAAATTAATGTTAATGGCCTTAGCATGTCCAATATGTAAAATCCCATTAGGTTCTGGTGGAAACCTAGTACGCACTTGGCCACCAGTAATCTTTAAATGCTCTTCCAATAATTTAGCAGTATTAGGAGTTACAACATAACCTTCAGTCTTATAATTTTCTCCAGGCTTATGAAAGTGCACCTTGGTTTTCATTAGTTCACTTATTGTTTGTGCTCCTACATGATCGCCTACCGTTGCACATTTTTCCTGTCCTATAATTTTTCAAGAATAAAGTCACAATGTTCCTAGTGGATAAAAATAAAAAATACTGTTTACCATTTGGTTTGATCTCTTTTGTTTCTGAAGGTTTAGCTTTTGCTGATTTAGGTTGTTTGGCAACTGGAGCAAGATCAGCTTCTGTTTTTGGTCCAAGCAAGTCTAATAATTGGACTTCGAATTCACTTTTGATTGCTTTTCCATCTGCCCATTTTAAAATATTACGTACTTCTTGCATTAGTGGTCCAGAGTTGAAACGATACCTAAATGAAATGTTAACATTATATACACAGTATCAAATCATTTTCCAATTAAGCAGTTTATTACCGGATATCTCTAACCTTTTTTCTATGATTTCATCGTTGTGTTTTTTAATCAATTTCTCAACTTCTTGTTCAATTTCTTCCGGTGAAACTACAACTCCTACACCACATGCTGTCTCAAATTCAGCAATATTGACAACACTTTCAATGTTACTTAATAAATAATTTAAGGCAGCATCGACTCTCTGAGTTGTATCCAATTTCTTTTCGACTATATATTGAGCAATAAATGGAATTTTATCAAGAATCTGTGCTTTAACTTTCGATGCCAGATGGTACAACAAAATCCCAGTTGTTGGTTCAATATGTCCATGTTTGGTCGCCTTCATTAAAAAAAAAAAATCAATTTTATAAGTAATTCTCAGATAGGCATATAAAAACAAATAATATTAAATGCACATTTTAATTGTGCCGATACCAAAATTCAATCTATTATGACAAGAACTTTACTTCCTAGTAAACGCCGGTAAATTATCTAAAACTTACTAACCTCACATATGGCGTTTTTTAAATTCTTGGTAACTTGGGCATTCTTTAACGTTTCTTTAGCCTTTTGTTCACTGAGTCCTATTGATTGAAAGAGTTTCACGTCGCTTTCAGTATCTGTCGTCATAGTGAAAGATGACAAATTACAATATATTACAAAATTCTGAAATGCCCTGACAAGTGCAGACCGGATTACACATAAATGAAGGAACGACGACGTGAATCCTTTTTCCACCTTTTCTCATCAATGAGTTTAAATGCCCCTAGGCAACGTAAAGTGAAGCCCCGACGAAACCTACCTAATGATGAGTTGAGAGATTCACGGGAAGGATCGAGCGACCGCGTCCTGTGCGACCTCCGGTGGAGGATGCAGACGGCTAATGCACTTGCCACCTGTTACAACTCTGGGCAGCCCGAGAAGTGGCTGAAAAAGTGATGAACTCACAAAAGCTCCAAACCCTGTATCTCCTCCGAAAAAAATCGACCAATCACGGTCCTTTATCGGGCCGGTGACGTCGTCCAATCACGGAGTCGGGTCACGGCCGGGGATTGCGGCTCGGCCGGCAACATAAACCTTGCAGTTCCTCGTTAATACTCTATTAATTTCTTTATTTCCAATCATTTCCATATCTTCTTAAATTCGGATATTCAAATTTGCGCCTTTGGCGGTCATGTTGGAAAATGGCGGTTGCGTCGGGCGGTCCTGTTGCGCAGAGCAGCGTGCGCGTTGCGCATCGAGTCGGACATCTTGGCAGTAGTCGGTGTCCAGTGGCCTTGCCAGCCCCTTCCCTGCGGAGCGAAGCCACCGCGACGGGCAAACCCGGTAAAACGGTACGAAGTCGCCGGGGGGGCGGACGCGTCGTGCTCGAGCTCTTCTCTCTGTCGGAGCCGCACGCACTCGAAGGCAGTCCCAATCGATCGCGGCGCCACTCGATAACGCCGATCGCACTCTCGGCCGGTACGTCGGGATATGAGGGCTCGCCCTGTGATTTGACAGTGATCCCCGAGGAAGTGTTAATCGGGAGGATTTTAGATCGCAAGGTATTAAAGACGCGCCTTTTCCCGGCGATTTCGGGGCGGCTCGACATGTCGGGACGCGCTCGATAAAATCGCCCGTCCCGGATAGCTTAGCGCTGCCGTGGCTCGTCTTCGCAGCCGTCGCTTTTCTCTCGATCGATCGGCCGCCTCTCGACGGACCTCGATGACTCTCCGATTTATATGACCCATCTGTTCTAAAAACCATCCAGGATCATCGCTTACCTCCAGCGCGACTTCGCGGCGTAATCGCCGGCGACCGAGTTAGTTCGGCCTTGCGGTAAAACCTTAATTGATTTTCCTGGACGGAATAGAAATTTCGAGCAATCCTCTTCGTGCATCGAGAAATGACATCCCCAGGTCGGCTGAAAGAGCTTGACCGGTTTCGATTATCGATTTGACTTGCACTCGCGATTTTTATGCCTTCGAGATTTGGGTACCGGTGACCCAAGGTTTTGCAATCGAAGTTCAGCAAATCGATCCCTTTGGGTCTGGAGGCAAAACGCATAAAATCACCCCATCGCCCGATATGACTACCTTATTTCTGATCATTTCCCCATTACCGAGTCTGCTTCCCGAGTTTTCTACCCGCGTTCCCACATCGGTTAAATCCGTTAGTCTGTTCAAATCGAGTTTGGGCGTGCATTTGTTGCGTCCAGGAGAGGAACATCGATCGGCCCGCCGTTATAACTGCCGGCGATAAAATGACCGGTTTCTCATTCTCACCGAAGAGATTTATTCGACTGATATTCCACCCCACCGAGCGGTTTCTACGGCTCAGCCTTTGATCGTTACCTTTTTAGAAACTTCATTTTCCGAATATAAGGAGGACGGATATAAAATCGAAACTTCTCCAGTTAGCCGCCAATGATTGCATACGAGCGCAGTTAATAACAGGCATTAAAAAGAAAAACGATTTAGGCCAATTTAAGCCGAAACCAGATCGATCACCCCATTGATAATCGTCTGGGTCGATCACCTGCCCCGAGGAAATTACCTGTCCCTGCCTGACCAATAAATGACCGTTTTCATTACTTTTTTACCCACCACTGTGTGTACTTCATTGAAACCGATAGTAACGACAAGTAATTCAAGAATTATTCATCTTCGACTCCGGACCAGGGAAGGGCACTTCCACTCGGCATGGAGAAATAATTTATGCTTGTTTAAAAAATGTACATGTATTCCTTCAAACCAGTGGAAGGGTGCTTCTACTCGGTACAGAGGTGATCGTTCATTTATGGTCGCCTAACAAAATCTATATGGATTTTTTGAAAGTCAAGGTCACGCGAGCCGGTTTCAAGAATCGAAGGGAAAAGGCCGGCTACCGAGTGGAGGGGAAATTTTCATTGAAAATCGGTGATAACGGGAAATTTTCACCCCAAGGTGGGAGGTGACCAGCCAGGAGGAGGGAAACCGGAAGAGCCAGGAATAAACCGGAAGGAACGATCGCTCGGGGGTAGCGGTTGCGATGACGGGGGAGGATGGCAAGGGGGTCGGGCCCGGAGGGGGCGGGGGGGCCAGCGAGGGGAGCACCACTGATAACGCGAACGTCAATCGGCAGAACGGGGCACCGGAAAAAGCACCGGTCGTCACCGGGACCAACATGGAGACTTTACCGCGACCTGGGAAACAGGTGAGTTCATTTTAAATGTCCGACTAACGCTTACATCTTATATGTCTTATCACTAGGAGATCCAAGGTCGAGATACCGGCCAAGTTTATCTGCGTTATCAACGTGACTTTATCTATCTAGTACATAAGGGGTAGGTTGTATCGATATTATTATTCTGGAGGATCCTTTACCTGGAACGAGCTTAACTGACGATTCTTACTTTACGTCTCGTAGAGGGAGTGCGAGAGATGGGGGAGAGAGTCGGAGAGAGAGAGAGGGAGCGTGCCGTTATCGCATCGACATTTGAGGTTCGGCGAGCAGGATTCCGGGAGCAGTTTTAAGAACAGTGGCTGATACGCCGGTGATGGTGTAATCGGGTTCCGGGCTTGTTTACGTTTGCAGAGCGTTCGACGCCGGGATATAATGCGGTTAGGCGGCTCCTCTGTCCCTTCTTCTCGGCTTTTTTCTCCCTTCTGCTTCTTCTTTTTTTTTTTTTATCGCGTAACCCGAGCCGCTTCGGACGCGATCGTTGGGCGGATATACGCGGCGGATATACGCGGCGCTACTCCGTGACGTCACTCATTTATGGGCTCTTTCGCGTCGATAAGACGGGGCGAAATCAGGGGGCGCAGGGGGATGATGTCAGGACGGGCAGGATAGGAATGCGACTTCGGAGCGAAATCGATTGGTTAGGGACTTGGTAGGTTTGCGAGATGGAGTGACCGTACAGGGCAGGTACAAGGTGAAATTAGTGGATTATGGACCTCACTTTTAGAGTCAACCTTTTCGCTGCTAAGCCCTTTCGACGTATGGGCGAAATTCGTTACCCCGGGCAGGCAATAATCGACCAAATGTTGGGCACGCGTATACGCCTTTCACGGTCAAAGGGCTTAAAAAGACGTACTTTATCTGCAGTTTTTGAATGGGAAGGGGATGTATTTTAACGCTGAATGCGAGGTATTGGGATGATTTCCAAGAATTAAACAGTTTTGTCGAATGAATGCGAACTCGGACCGTTTAGGACTGACAAAGCCAATCGACAAAGGAGCGAAATCAAGAAATTGCGAGCCGAGTCATTTTGTCAAATGAACGGGAAGTCAGGTTGTACAGAGCAGGGATAGGGTGCGACATTCAAGCGAAATCGGTACGTAGAGGAGCGAGCAAATTCGTCAAATGATCGGGAACTCAGGTTGTACAGAGCTGGCATTGGGGGCGATCGGAGCAAATTCGGCACATCGAGTAATTTCGACAGACGAATATAGCTAAACTTGACCACGTTCATTTTAACGCTTAACTTTGTGCCTAATCGCGTCCACGCATCCGCACCTTCGACGCGGCCAGTCTGCGTGGAGGTGCATTCGTATGTACTCGGTAATCGTGAAAGGTCGACGCAGAGCAGTCGCAGGGTGATTCGGTCATTCGAAACGGTCAATAGGCAGCTGTCGCCTCGGCCCGATCTCCCACAGCTGTTCCCTTTACGGTACTTTACTATACGCCCCGTACGTGCGATCGGGCCATCTCTCATTGACCAACACCGATTTCGGATTCCCTTCCCTGCCCCCCTCTATCTGCCCATTTGGTCTTCCACCTTATCGCGCGATAATCGGACGACCTTTGCACGATAAATCCCTCGATCGATCCTCCCCTTGCGAGGGAAACGCATTTAAAGGGGGGTTAATTTAATTTCTGACGGGATTACCTGGCCGGGGGTTAAATCATTCGTAAGCGGTGGAGTGCGTTTCGCACGATGTACCGGCAACCGCGAGGGGGCCTCGAATTCCCGGCTGGATTTGAATTTTAAAAGGGAGCTCGCTCGATGCATATGGTCACGCTTATATTTAGACACGAGGCACGGCACCGTGACGCGTGTACACCACCGCCGAATGCTCGTACCTCTCTTCGTGACCCTCACCCAGTACGTCGACGCGTTGCGATATTACGAGACCGCTAGCTCTTTAATTTTTCACTTGCTTACGTCATCGCCAAGTCGAACCCTATCAACATCCGCGACGAGCAACCATGGGCGCGACGAGGTCGCGGGGATTTTTCCACTTATCATTACTTTTTTTTTTTGGTTTTCACTTTTTACCCATAGATTGCACCGTCGACCAGCTCGCCGCTGTGCAGGCGCCCCTGCAATTTTGAAGTTCTTAAGGATGCAGAATTTTGTGCATTCCTATTTTCCTGGCCTGCTCGGGAAGGAATAATGGATATGGTACTTTGGGTTTGGATGGGCGGATTTAATGAGGAGGATTCGATGGTTGTTGATTTTGGAGCGATTTTGAGACTTAATTTATCCGATTTTTGGCCTCTTGAAGGACGAAATGCGGGGAATGGGATATGTGTTCGCCTCTGGGAAAAACTCCGGAACCCATTTGGCTCTTGGCCACAGTCCTTGTTTCTCTCGGCGAGGGAAACTGCACCGAATGGCCGCGGCCGCACACAGGGCTGCATGAAGGCAGAGTTGCACGTAGGGAAGTGCACAAAGATGCACGCGGGATGCTGCATCCTGTGGAAATTGCACCGGTGGCTTCCCGCAGAGATATTTTCCCGGAGTAATAGAGGATCCGAAAGAAAGAGAGAGGAGAACGTGGATGTTTCTTTTACGATTTGTATTGTTCGACTCGTGCCGAATTATTGTGAGTTCTTAATTCTGGTTGAGAGGAATTAATTTTTATTTCTTATTGTTTTATGTAAGATGTTCTCTGTCGGTGGTATCGAGTAGGGCGTTGATTTTTAGGGTCGTGAAGGAGAAATTCTGTATCTTATGAAGGAAATATTCATAAAGGGACAAAGGCAAAATGATCGGAGGTGTATGACTCTATTCCGGAGATCACGGGCGAGAAGACGTGATCATTGCCTAAACAACTGATATGGCTAAATCAAGACTATCTCTAGGAACAATGGACAGAAAGGACACTCAGTCTTGGAGCACAGAATCGAGCAGTGGGCTCTTATTCGGAATACTCTAGTTTTGAGGCATACACGCATATTTGTCTTATAATAGGCCATTATACCAGGCTGCGAGATATACGAAATATAGGAAAATTGTTAATAGCAGACACGTGTATTTTAAATAGCTCATACACTTATTGCGAGATATACAAAATGTAGGAAAATTGTTAATAGCAGACACGTGTATTTTAAATACCTCCTACACTTAGGATATTCGATGGAATAATGTCGATGAATCGTGGAATATGGACAAAGGAATCGAATTGATTGTTCGGAGAAAGGCCGGGCCGTTTATTGACATCACTCCGGAGGTTTCGGGGAGTTTAGACAAATCCGAGGACAGCTTTCGTTTCCTTTCCCAAGATAGATTTTCCTCGCGTATCAGATTGTCACGTTCTCTTTGTGTTCTTTGAGCTTAATCCTCCGAGGAACACGACCAGCCTGTATATCTCCGTTTCTTTATTGTGCACTGAAGGACTTTACGACCACTTGCCGCGTGAATGCGATCTTTACACCGTGTCCCCCTTTCCACGACTAAAAAGTAAAAATGCACCTCAACTTTTAGCCGGCGAATTATTGTCCATGTCGTTTTATCGGGACTCTTCGTCGGCCAGTCGGAGAGAATTTGTTGCCTATCGGCTTTGAAAACCCCGATCTAAGGGATTCGATACGAGGGAGCCTTTCCCGGTTTTATGGTAAAATTTCGAGGTGAATTATTTTCTTACTACGAGGAGTCGGCAGTTCATAGAAGGTACAAATGGACGGCTATTTATCGTGCGAACCGCTTCTACATTTTTAAGAGACCAGCTCGTTGCTTCACCCTCCTCGGTACACCTCGAGGATATTTCAGAGGCTCCCATGTCGCAGGGTGCACTTTTGAACCGCCATAAATAAGTGGATCGAAGGGGGTCGTACCCTTTATTCGGAAAGACGCAGGGCTGAGCCTCCTTAATCAACCCACGTGAGTGCTCTCGTTTCGCTTCAACTCACTTGCTTCGATTCGAGCATGCGACATTATTCACCTCGAACAGTCTAAATTGGCGAAAATGATATTCTCAAAAAGAAACGAATTACCCCCGATCTCTCGTTCTCTTCGTATCTTTATCTCGAGGGATCGAGAAATGGCGACATTTTTTGGGGGGAGAAAAATATGTTAAATTTTCATTTCCAGATTTTTTTTTTTAAGAAGCAATTCGCTCACTCACTTAAAAATTGGATTTCTTTCAATCTTGTCGATGGAGATTGCGAATTAATTAAGAGAAAATAAAATTTCACGTAATTTTCTACCCTCGCCAAGATATAGCGAAATTTCTTTTGAGGGTCACGGTCGTTTTAATCGCCTACCCCAGGGTTTCCCGGATCGACCTTAAAATTGGCCGGATGTGGGGTGGAGGCCGTTTTTCGGACTCATCCCCATGGGTCGACCCCTCCTGCCATGAGCTGGCTTCGAAGGGATCAATTACGCAACGAGGGTGCCTCGCAGCCCTTCCTCGTTCCTGTCCCTCTATTCCGGCGAAACGCTCTTCCGTTAGGGCGACTTCGAAGGAGCAGTGGCCCCAACAGGTCTTGCGGATATCCTGGCGGGGTCTGTGGCGCACCCAGTAAAAGGTGGAGGGAAAGGCGGCGAGGAGGTAAACGCACCCTCGGAATACGAGTCCGTGTCCACAAGAGGTGACACTAACGTCGGGCGAATTAACGCGCTCGTCGGGGGCGAACCTAGGATACGGTTTACCCAGCGGCCTGACCCCTTATCACGGGGTAAAGCGTTATCACATAGTTATCACGGAGCCGTGCGAATTTACGGGAACGGCTATTCTAGTAACGTGTTAATTAGGGCTAATCTTAATTTTTTTTTTTAAATTCATTTTTAGAGTTAAACAAGAGTTCTACGGTTTCGACGATTTTTAAGGACGATTTCAAAATGTTGCAGACTGACCCCTTATCACGTTTCGTTTTGAAAGTCGTATGGATTTACGAGTGCTTGCTAATTTAGGGCGTAGCTCTGGGGAGATTTCTATCGTTTGGTAGCTTTCAGCTTAAAATTGAGTTATGGGCGATTATTAAGT